AACTGTAACTAACTTGAATGACTAATCTTTTATCCTTACCTTGGCTTCACTTTTATGATGATTTGAAAATTAAGATGTTGATAACGAAGCAGCAACATCTGCCGGGCTTCTTAGCTCCTTTACTTCTTTAATTCAGCATCAATGCTCAAAAGCTTGGCCGATGTTCACCATAGGGTTGCTTCTTTTCTGGGGTGGCTTGAATCTGAGAAATGTATCTAAAGCCCCGTTTACACTATCCTCATGAAACTGTGCTGAGAACAGTCGGAGCACGGTAACCGGGATAACTGTTGAGTGTAAATGGAACGCAACTAAACTGGACTGTGCCAGACACAACCGCATTAAATCTAGTACTAGTTCGACAGCAGGGCTGGGCACGGTTCAGATGTGGCTCCGTTCTCTGATAACAAAGAGTGCATGAGCAGACAGTGTCAACTCCTTTTTACAGTCAGCTGACTGATTTTGTGTCATGAAACGGTGTTGGTTTGGAGGACCCAAATGCAGAGGCCAGTAGGCAGAGGTAAATTTAAGTGGGTTTATTAAGGTTCACAGGAACTGAGGCAGGAATCAAAATCCAACAGAAAATAACATACGCACCAGAACCAAGGAGACATCAGGGGTTAACCAAAACTCTAGAAACCAGGGAGAGACGAGGAAAGCAGACAGACGTTAGACGAGGATCCAGCAAACAGGAACTGAAGAGGGAGGGCTTTTAAAGGGGACAGAGACAAAGAGAGGGCTAACGAGGGAATTGAAAACAGGTGAGGGCAGAACAGAAAACAGAGCAAGGGAAAGAGGACACAAGAGGGCAGCAGAGGACAACAAATGGAAAACCAAGAAAAACAGGAACTAACAAACCAAGACTGACATTTTGTGGGTTTTTTGGCATGTCTGGTTTTGCAATTCACAGATCTCTTCACCTGTTCGCAACATGAACTTCTTCTCAGCCTCTTAACAATAAATGGCCACCATTTTTGTCCGCTACAAGAGCTGCAGAATTGTGGACCAACAATAGGTGACGAAGAACTGTGCTAGCGTGATGTGTAAATGGTCATAAGAACCAAGCTCAGCACGGTCAACTGATCCAAGCTCAGTCTGAACTTGACACGGATCGGTTTCAGAGGGGTAATGTAAATGGGGCAAGTGAGAAGAAGCCATGTCTCACTTCAAACTATTATTCCTCTTGGCGCAGAATTATTTTGTGTCGATTTTGGCATTACCACAAGTAAACATTTATATATTTTAAACTTTTACAACTTTAAAAAATTTATGCTACTACATTTTCTTTTTCATTAAAATAGTAATGTTATGCTGCACCACTCAACACATTTTGTGTATTTATTTATTGATAGTTTTAATGAAAAAGTAGTAGCTATGACCTTTAACAATGAAATATTAGCCCCTCTTTATGCTTCCCTCCACCATGAAAAATCACTTTTCCCATCCTGTCTCCATAGTAAATCTGATCTAGAACGGCCACTGCATCAAGTCCTGCCTCAGGTCTTTGTTGGATTTTCTCCTGGGTAAATTAAGTAACTTCCAGGTGCTTTTGAGCTGTGTAAAATATAAATTTTAGCTGTACACCTGAACACTTTTAAACTCACTAGAAGTTTTAGTTGACAGCTTTGACAGCTTTCAATGACCGACAAAGTTGCTCCTCCAGGAATGCAAAAGTTCAATGCTTGATATGAGAACAAGAACAAGCGGGAATTTGAGAAAGAAAGGGTTTCGCTGTGAGACCAGATATCAGTTGATGATTCGAGGCTTTTAGGCTCACATTATAAAGGCTGCTTACAAAAATCTCACAAAAAATTTCCTTGAATGTGTTACTATAACCAACTGCTTTTAAATGCATTGGATGTACTGTAGTTCTGGAGGAGGGAAAACATGTTTACTTGAGCAATAAATCACACTTCAGTATCATGCCAAGAGGACCATAGATATCCAACTGTATTTTGCCATTTGCAGTTTTTTCAGAAGGAGCATAATGTTTTTTAGCTCGAATTCGTTCGAATTCGTTCTCCTAGCGATGTGAGAACAACTTGATAATGGAACCTTTCTGCTACCTAAGGGACATGACTAATCTGATATCTATTATATATATTAAAAATCACTAGAAATATGAGATATTTGAACATAGATCACATTGAAGCCGAGGAGTGTGTTGTTTTTGTTTTCCAACTAGCAGTTGTTGCACTAGTGATTCTACTACTTAAAAAAAAGGTGCAGATTAACAAACATAACATCAGTGTGTATGGGAGGTAGAATGCTGTACTGTAGTTATGACCACAACTTTCCAATTCCAAGGCAACCACTCTTCCATTCATACGACCATTTATAGAGCTTGATAAGTCAGAAGTTACTCGCCCGATTTATGTGGAAAATAATAATTGGAAATCATTGCTTTTTCATGAAGCACTTTAACAATCTGTCCAGTCATTATTTTGTGGATTGCCTTAAAGAGAGCTTTAAAATCAATGACTGCATATTTTATTTATCATTTAAAGTCCTGGAATTCAAAATGGCCCCTGGACACTGATTGCTAAAGACTGTGTTGCTAGAAAAAGGAAGGAACTACAAATATCAATATTCAGATGTACAAAAACTAATGGAAATGTTGGAAGCAGCAGGTGGAAAAAAATATTGTAAATTTTATGTTACAACATTTTAAAACTTAAGGTCCTATAATACAGAAAAACATAACTGAGGGGGGGTGGACTTAAGTTTCAGCTCTCAAAAACCTACAACACAGTGAAAGAGTTGATCCCTTCCCAGCTATCATCTCAACTCCCACCCCCATGCAAGGGACCAAAACATCTTGTCTGGTCAGCCAGGCCAACAATTCCCCTAAAGACCCCCCTTTCCGAGGCTTAGACCAGTATCGGGTATTGCAGGCTAAAAAAGAACCCAAACGACCCCCATTCCAAAGAGGCGGACCCATTCCTCAAGTCCAATTTGCATGTTCTCTAAACCAAAACAAGACTTTGTTTGGGCTTCTCAATTAAGCTTGGATCTCATTTCTAATTTTTGAATTTTTTGGATGGGAGGTGAAACATTTTCAAACTTGGAAACAAATTCCAATAGCTTGTTTTTTAACTTTTTGGAAAGAATATGAACTAGATGACTGGGAATCTTCACCTGCAACATAACCGAGGTAACCCCAGTGTAGCACCAGGGGCCTGTTTCAATAAGGAAGTTCAACCAACTCTGAGTTCAAACTTGAACTCTGAGTTGACTTATCCTGAGATTGGAAACTCTGAGTTTTGGGTTTCAGAACAGCTGAAATTAGTTAGTTCAATCAACTCTAAATTGACTGACTCTGAGTTAAGCGTGTGCACCACAACTATAAAAAGCCATTATCAATGGAGCACAGATATTACGAGTCACCATGGCAACAGCGTCAGACAAAAAAAGGTGTGCATATTTCTCACCAGCAGAACTGGATGTGCTTATGCAAGCATATGCAGAATTTGAACATGTATTTAAAAAAAAAAGCAACACGGCTGCAGCGGCGAAGGAGAGAGAGTTAGCTTGGGTGAAAATAGCTGCTCGAGTCAATGTGTAAGTTTACATTTTAATTACTTTTATACAGCGTTGGGTGTAATGAATTAAGTTACTTAAGTCATATAAATACTGTAATTAACTTAAAGACTATAAAACAATAGTGGATTTAATATCAAATTTTAAAAGGTATATTTTGATTTGAACTTTCTCCCTCTAGTTACACACTTTGGTCAATTTAAGATTAATTCATGCAACTGAATATTGTTTATTTGAAAGCATTAGAAGTGCAGTTTCTTGTCTCTCCTTGTATTGTTCAAGTGGTTGAGGTTGATTTGGGATTTAGAAAGTAATTAATAAGTAAGTAAAACAAATTAGTAAGTAGACCAATACTTTCTAGAGACAGTAATTATTACATTAATCTAATTAGACTTGTTGAAGATAAAATTTGTAGTTAGTAATTAAGAACTATTTTAGAGTAACTTACCCAACTGTTATAATATCAGAGGTGAAACTGGAAGAACAGTATTTTATTAAACCTAATTTAGTTTTCATGGGTAGGTGCAATCCTGCAGGCATCAAAAGAACATGGCAGCAGCTGAAAATGAAATATAAAAACATACTTCAAGCAGGTAAGCCTTGAGCACATCATGGGAGTAGAGTAGCTACCTGGCTTTACAAACAGGATCATCCATAAAAGAACATGCCATTTCATTCCCTTTGATGCGCTCTACGTGACTGAAATGTGTGCAATGAATACTGTATGTCCCCAAAGAATCAATGAGGTGTTTAAACACCACTTCCTCTTTAAAAAAGGGGAGGAGACCAAAATAAACTCTGGATTTTCTGAAGAAAACCTGCTCCCGACCAGGTTAGGTTCAAAGAGTAAATTCCCATGGTAACTGACTCTGTGTATAAGTTATCTCTCTTTCAGAAACGGGCTTGACTTACTCTGCTTTTTCAGGTTTAACTTACCTCCCTTTCTGAAACAGAAAACCCAGAGTTTCCCTCATTTCAGCGTTAACAAACTCAGAGTTTTCACTTAACCTCCTTTCTGAAACAGGCCCCAGGTCAGCAAAACCAGAAAACAACATCATGAGCTAAATAAAGGGGAAATTTAAAATACCACTAATACAGAGGTGTTTCCTCTTATACAAATAACACTGGGAAAAACTTTTTAAAAAACACTACATGGAGTAGGATTCATCTGAAAAGTTTTAGTCTCACTCCAATAGAGAAATAGTTGGCATTTGCAACCCAGGTTGGTCATATTATAGTAAATAATGCATTGTCATCCACATCAAATTGTTTGAAAAGTGTCACGCAATTTTTGGTAGTGCACTATAAAGTCCCAACCTTTACATTGCACAATCTTTAAAGGCCCAACCTTTACATTGTTTTTTTTTTATTGTGTAATTGCAATATAAGCAACCCACCAGTAGGTGGCGCCATTAATACGCATATTGGGCTTATGTCGCCTCCTTGTACCAGTTTCCGGTTTCCTCACAAAACAAAACAGCTGATAGTAGTCAAAGATGGCCGCCGCTACTATGGCGGGCCTCGACGCCCACAGGATGGAGAAGAAGAAATTCGAGTACTTTTCCTCCATAAACTCCATGGCAAACAAGATAATGCAGGAGCGGGAGAAAATAAAAGCCGAGTACGGCCCTTCCTGGGAGAAAATGACCCCTCAGGAGCAAGACACCGCCGTAGATAACAGCATGATGGACCCTCATATCAGAGCCAGATACGCTATGCATAAAGTGGACCGAGAGGAGGTGGTCTGTTACCCTAAACTGCTTCTCCAGACCGGTCAGAAGATTGTCCACTTTGGTGAAGAGGTATTTAAAAATTATTTGATTTTTATAGTAAGGTTTTACGCTCTTTTTGGTGTTGTTGCTAACAATAGCCACGTAGACGTAAATTACGTAGCTAAACGTCACAACAGCTTTTTTAACGTAACTAACTTAAAGAATTGGCTTACGATCGGGATACGCTTGGTTTGTAGAATACCATAATATCAGCGGCAAAGCGATTAGGAAAATGAAACAGCTACACATATTATAAATTATAACAACAACAAAAACGTTAGAGGTGACAAAAGCACTATTCGGAAAAGACAACACTATGTAGCTGTTAAAAAGTACTTTTATAATTATTTAATTAACTGTACCTATTCTGGAAGCATCTATTTCCACTTTCACACCTAAATGTCCCCACCATAATAGAATAATGTCTTTGTAATGTTCATTTTGTAAGTAATGATTTTAAAGGCATGATTTTTTTTTCTGAGATTCGAAAAGGAAATGTTAAAATTTAAAAGAAAAACAATTAAAAGCACACTATACAATGTTATTTTAAGGATTTTCCAAAGCAAAGATTTGTAACTTTGTTTTGGTAACATCTCTATCTTTCCTGTTAAAGTGTAAAAATTTTATTTCTGTATGATAAAATACATATTTTAATCAAAAGTATCCAGAGTAGACATACATTGCTTGTGTCTGAGTGTTTCATATCATTATGTAACAGTCTGAGAAAATACAATTAAAATAGAAAAAAACTTTGTCTACCATACACAATGATGGCAGAAATTTGCCTTTGGCTTGCTTACACACAACAATGTAATAAAAATACATTAAAATACAATTATAAAAGAGTTAATTGCAGACACAGCAGCAGATTCACTTCATCAAGGGAAGAGAAGCTCAAAAGACCATTAACAACTTGCTCAGCTCCTTGATGGCAGAAATCACAAAATTATTTCTGTACACATTTTATACACATACACATAAGCTATATGAATTGAAGTGTGGACTAAAAACAAGTAAATAGTTTAAAATCGTGTACAGCACCAGATAAAAACAAATATCAATACAGATATTTTTAGTTTTGCTCGCCATTCAGTTCCAGTTATAAACGGTGTTGGTTTTCATTCTATTACCAGACATCTTCTCTCATATTGCTGATTGGTATAAAACAGTTGTAGTTGCTTATATTACAGCTTTCATTATTAAGGTTTTCATTTTTCTTATAGGATATCACTTGGCAGGATGAGCACTCTGCCCCTTTCTCGTGGGAGACAAAGGTAACATTTCATTAACGGATAACATACACATAGCTTACCTTTATTTGCATCTTTGCAGTATATTTTATTCATAGATGTTATTGTATATGCCTGAAAAATGTGTCTATTATAAACCAATTTGTTTTCCAGAGTCAGATGGAGTTCAGTTTGATGTCAGGTTCAGCAGATCAGGTGACCTCTTCCTCACAGGCTGACTCCAAAAATGCAAAAGTTTCTCATTCAAATCAGCTTGGAAAGAGTACAGCAGGAGCTAAGGTACTGATTTTTTTGTGTATTCATAACCTGTGCAGAAATTTAATGTGCATTTTTTTTTTTCTTGGAAGCACGGTTTTTGATGGAATGGTCACTGCTTTTAATCTGATTGTTTATTTGATTTGATTCGGAAGGTATCTGCCAGTGAGGGGCGAAGGCCAGAGGAAGAGTCGTCCTTCTGGAAGATCAGTGCTGAAAGGTCGAGGCTGGAAGGGGAAAAAGCTGACTTCCAGTCCCTGACCCCGAGTCAGATCAAATCGCTGGAAAAGGGAGAGAAACCCCTCCCTTCCTACCTCCGACAGGTAAACACAGATAAATACAGCAGAAGTGTTTATATATATATATATATATATATATATATATATATATATATATATAACATTATCCAACTACATTGTTTAAATGTTTTTTTTTTTTTTATTCAGGAGAGCTCCACCATCTCAAAGGAGCCTGAAATCGCTGAGTTCCACCCTCCAGCTCCTGCCAAGTCCATCAAACATCGGGCGCCCAAGCCTCCTGCCCCACAGCCCCCCGGCCCAGTGGCTGTCAGTGCAACACCTGCATCCATCTCCATCGCACCCACACCGGCACCGCCCATCAGTGACTCCTCTACAGTTGCAGTTTGGGAGAGATCTCAGAGCACCCTGCCGTCTGTCAGCAACACCCCGGATGAAATCTTTTCCTCCAATCCCATATCCAAGCCTTCTAAGTCCTCCACAGCTGCAGAGAAGGAGAAAGTGGAGGAAAGTTCTCCTCCTTTGGACATGAGCCCCACCTTTGCCCAGGTGAGACCTAAAACGGGTTAAATAAGCACCAATCCTGACAAGACACAATACGTTCATAACAGTAGAGTAACAACACTAATGGTTAAAATGCTCTATTCACAGTTTAACACAAGCAACAGCATCCTGAAGACTGGATTTGACTTCTTGGACAACTGGTAAAAATAAAACAACCCAAACACAGACCAGTCGAATGAAGCATCCTCATCATTATTTTGGAAATGGACCACACCGCCATGACTACAGGCGTTCACGTCTAGATTTAAGAGACAACCTCTTTAATGTTCCTGTTATCATCCTGTGTAGCTTAAGAGATTATTTCACCACTTGTGTATTTTTGGCTTTTTGACTTTTTTCCAAAGCAGAAGAGCATCTTTCCTTGTTTTCCTCTTGGTATGTTACAAGTCTGGATGCATGATCACTGAACTGCCTACAGACACTATGTCCCAAAACACTAAAAGCATGTCTTTCTTTACTACAAAAGCTTTATATTGCATTTGGGGTAGGGCTGGATGATATAGAAAAAAAGCATATCGATAAAAAAAATGAATATTGAATGATAATTACATAAAAGATATAAAACCATATTTTAAGTGAGCTCTTACCATTTAATGGTATTGCTAACTGAATTTTGATTAAATAAAAATAACTTAATAGACCTGAGTTATGTTACTAAAAATGAAATCCTCAGGTTCTATTCTTTGTCTATGTATTGAATTGAGAGGCTGAGGTAGGGCTCGGATGTTACCCTCTTTTGTGCCATTGTGCCACACGTCTATCGATCGATAAATATTGTTATTAAATTATCATCCAGCCCTACTTTGTTTTTTTTTTTATTTGTTTTTGTCTTAAATGCTTTTACTTTATAACTGTATATGTTTCTGATGTGTTAACCTTGAAGTGTTAAAGCTGTTTTTAAGGCTGCGGTTCTGCACACATTCAGTCTAATAAGGAATTCTGTTATTTAAGGGATTTTTAAGAAATTGAAAAAAAAATGTTTAAATCATGAAAATGAACCATGATTAGATTTAGTTTAAGTCCAATAGAATCTTTATATTTTTAAGGTAGCTGAAAAAATTTAAAGATTAGACATCTCTTGCTCCAACACCACTACATTGCATCATTCCATCTACGCCTTTTGTTTTTTTTAAAGAGATTATGTGCATTTAAACCTTTCCATGTCAGTAAACCAACACTAGTACAGTGATTTGTAGTGTTTATGATAGACTAAATATCTAGAGTACTATTTTAACTAGTTTTATATTTATCTGCTAATTTTATCCTCAGCTTTACGTGTACAGTGAGCTCACGTGAGTTATGGAATTGGAATGAATAAAATAAAATAAATTAAATCTTAAACTTTTTTATGTCTTTAAGTCTGTTTAGAGGCTGGATATTAACATTTGTTTTGTTTCACGGAAGCTTTTAAGTCCTAGTAGTTTAATGTCTAAAGTCACGGTATGTAAACAAGACAGCCACATGTCAGAGAGTGAGGTTCCAGACAGAAATGTTTCATATATCAAGATTTTTTGGGGATTTCCTGATCTTAAAATATAAAACTTTAAAGTCTAATAATATGTTTTTAATTGGATGGAATTGTAATGAAAATCTTTTGGAGAAAAAATATCCATAACAACCAACATTCTCCTGAGGATCCAAATGAATTTGAATTAACTTTCTAGCTTATATGACTTTTTATCCCGAGTTGTACTTTCAAATCTAAAATGAGCTGTAAAAAAAAATCTGAAGCCAGATGACAGAGATATTACCTAGATTTCTTTTAGTTAAATCAAGAAGCTTAGATTTGGCCTCAATCTTTTACCTTCTGGTAAAAGGCAGCTGATCTGCAGAGTATTTATAGCAGTGCTGCTTTCATGCATATTCTATGCTGTGGGAAGGGACAGAACGACTAGACTCCTCTGTATTCTAACAACACAGGAAAATTTAAAGTGTTTTTTTTAGGACTAGAAAAATAACTTGTTCTACCCTCTAACACTGCGAAAACTGATCTAATAATAAATATATTTGCCCTCCAGGTAAATAGGATGAACAAATGGAAAGGGGTTTTGCCTTGATGGAGTTGTTTTTAGATCATATTGCATTGGTAAATTGTCTTACCTGCTCAACTCACGAAAGGGGCTCCATTGGGTTTTCCCCTTAACTGCCGTTTACTTGACTTACATGAATGTCACTGCAGGAAGTGAAAGCCTGCAGAGGGGACGCATCTAAAACATTGAGAACGTTGAGGATCCCTGATTGGCAGGGATAGGAAACACTACAGGTGCTGGTCATAAAATTAGAATATCATGAAAAAGTAGATTGATTTCAGTAATTCCATTTAAAAAGTGAAACTTGTATATTATATTCATACATTACATACAAACTCATATATTTCAGATGTTTATTTTGTTTAATTTTGATGATTACAAATGACAACAAATCAAAATCTCAAATTCATCATATCAGAAAATTAGAATATTGTGAAAAGGTTCAAAATTGATGGCCCCTGGTGCCACACTCTAATCAGCTAATTAACTCAAACCACCTGCAAAAGCCTTTAAATGGTCTTTCAGTCTAGTTCTATAGGCTACACAATCATGGGGAAGACTGCTGACTTGACAGTTGTCCAAAAGACGACCATCGACACCTTGCACAAGGAGGGCAAGACACAAAAGGTCATCGCTAAAGAGGCTGGCTGTTCACAGAGCTCAGTGTCCAAGCACATTAATAGAGAGGCGAAGGGAAGGAAAAGATGTGGTCGAAAAAAGTGTACAAGCAAGAGAGATAACCGCACCCTGGAGAGGATTGTGAAACAAAACCCATTCAAAAATGTGGGGGAGATTCACAAAGAGTGGACTGCAGCTGGAGTGAGTGCTTCAAGAACCACCACACACAGACGTATGAAAGACATGGGTTTCTGCTGTCGCATTCCTTGTGTCAAGCCACTCTTGAACCACAGACAGCGTCAGAAGCGTCTTGCCTGGGCTAAAGAGAAACAGGACTGGACTGCTGGTGAGTGGTCCAAAGTCATGTTCTCTGATGAAAGTAAATTTTGCATTTCCTTTGGAAATCAAGGTCCCAGAGTCTGGAGGAAAAGAAGAGAGGCACTTCATCCACGTTGCTTGAAGTCCAGTGTAAAGTTTCCACAGTCAGTGATGGTTTGGGGTGCCATGTCATCTGCTGGTGTTGGTCCATTGTGTTTTCTGAGGTCCAGGGTCAACGCAGCCACATACCAGGAAGTTTTAGAGCACTTCATGCTTCCTGCAGCTGACCAACTTTTTGGAGATGCAGATTTCATTTTCCAACAGGACTTGGCACCTGCACACAGTGCCAAAGCTACCAGTACCTGGTTGAAGGACCATGGTATCCCTGTTCTTAATTGGCCAGCAAACTCTCCTGACCTTAACCCCATAGAAAATCTATGGGGTATTGTGAAGAAGAAGATGCAATACACCAGACCCAACAATTCAGAAGAGCTAAAAGCCACTATTAGAGCAACCTGGGCTATCATAACACCTGAGCAGTGCCACAGACTGATCGACTCCATGCCACGCCGCATTGCTGCAGTAATACAGGCCAAAGGAGGCCCAACTAAATACTGAGTGCTGTACATGCTCATACTTTTCATGTTCATACTTTTCAGTTGGCCAACATTTCTATAAATCCTTTGTTTTTATTGGTCTTCAGTAATATTCTAATTTTCTGATATGATGAATTTGAGATTTTCATTTGTTGTCATTTGTAATCATCAAAATTAAACAAAATAAACATCTGAAATATATGAGTTTGTATGTAATGTATGAATATAATATACAAGTTTCACTTTTTAAATGGAATTACTGAAATCAATCTACTTTTTCATGATATTCTAATTTTATGACCAGCACCTGTAATTTATCTCATCTCATGGTTTTTCTTAGTCCAGGATTGAGTTCAGACATTTAAATGCAGTTGTTTTGAAAGTAGCTAAAAGCTTGCTTCTGAGGATTGTGGTTTTTATCCCTAATTTTGAGTATTTCATGAAAAACATCACCTAGACCTATGACCTTGTTTAAAAGTGGCGCAGTGTGTAGCACTGCTGCCTTGCAGCAAGAAGGTTCCAGGTTCCATTCCCGGCTCGGGGTCTCTCTTGTTAGCATGTTTCCCTGTGCATTAGTGGGTTTTCTCCGGATACTACGGCTTCCTCCCACAGTCTACAAACATGACTGCTAGGTTAAATGGCTTCTCTAGATTATCCTCAGGTTTGAGTGTGTGTGTGTGAGTGAATGGTTGTTTGTCCTGTTTGTCTTTGTTACCCTGCGATATTAAGGTTATTATTATTTAAATCAAGAAAGAATACAAAATAAAGATTAAAGTTTGCGTTTTTGGACACTACTCTCTTCAAAAGGCACCAGTTCACAACATATTTCATCTAAATGTTCACCATGACGGCCCATCCTATTCAGGTCACTAACTATAATCAAACTTTATTACATTCAGTTATCCTGAGCAAGCATAGGGCGACAGCTGAAAGGAAAGACTTCCTTTAAACAGCAAGAAATCTCTAAGGAGAACCAAGTTTAGTTTGATTGGTGATGGGGGTTATGAGGACAGGGAAGAAGTAAACTAAAGGTTAAGGAGCATGCTGAAGATCAGTTTTACTTGAACATGCTTATACATTAGAAACAACTTCTCCTTTATGTAAGAAATCTTATGTTTTTCAGATAAGAGTCAGAGGAAGTTCCACTTAGCCTGACAGCAAAAGGTGGCCTGCCCCCTCTCAGTTAAGGTTTAGTTTCCAACTCCTACTTGGAGCTTTATCTCAACTCTGTTAAGGTGCAGAAAAGACTGAGCCAAAAAGCAAAGCATCATCTAATTCCTCAACTGTATAAATCATAGTTCTGGATATAGGGAGCCAAAATGAATTTCCTCCCTAGGTTAGCCAGACTTAACCTTAGAGAAATAAGGAGTTGCTTCTTCATCCAGGGGGAGCTTAAAGCAAAATGATTTACAGTATAAGTAATCCACCCAAATATCATAAATCAGGGTCTGACCTCAAATATCTAACAACTGTATATAATTCCTATACTGTATGTTTGTGTTGCATCCTCTCTTAGTGAGCTGAGGCACCTCTGCCCAGGTCAGCTTTTCCTCCCCTGCAGAACCACCCAGCTCTTCGGTGGCCTGAATGGCGGCTTTGTGCTCAGAAAGTATTTTGGCATATCCTTAATATTTTTGCTGAATGGAAATGATTGCCGGCCATTTCAGAGGCATTGGCTCAGTTTAAATGTTTGCACCTTACAGGACATTATGTTTAAAAGAGAACCAGAAGTGATTCTCCTAAAGAAAAAAAATGGAAACTGTTACTTGGCTCATAAAAAGTGTTTGAGGCTCAGTTTCATGTGTCCTGAGCCGACCCTTTTCATAACTCATAATTAGACGAACCATCAAGAATCCCAGAATACTGAGAGAATATCCCACAACAAAAAAATATTCCAAATAAGAGCATACGTTTTTAAATATACGAACCACAATTTTTTCCCCCTAAACTCTGTAAAAAAAAAAATCATGGTCAGTATTCGAATTGCATAAATGTTTGGTTTGTGCACTTCGGCTAATTAGAATTTAAATAGACGCATTTAATTTTTAGTCCAGGCTGAAGTCTGGAAACGTTCCTGGTATTTCTGATGTTACTGGAACAGCTGTGTAGGAGCAGACATCCTGCAGACTCCAACACATCTGACCCTCAGAGCCTGAGCCGCTGCTGGCACCACTCCCAGTCTCCACATCCCCCGGCTCTGCCTCAGTTGCTTCTTTGGAAACTCTGCTGGATTCTTCAGGCGCTTTAACTGGCATACCTCCTGCTACAACCTCAAACACATACGCACACACAAGCAGACGCACAGCCTCTTACATAACACCGCTCTGTTTGACTTCTGTTGTTTCCTGAAATTACTTAACGCCCGTATTTCTGTTCATTTCATTAAGAAGGAATTGCACACTTGTCTGGTATGTCACGTAATTAAATAGAGTTTGTGAGAGAAAATGTGTTTTCATCAGTTTTGGTCAAATTGGTCAGTAAAGGTTGAAGCCTGAAAGGACACAGGCGGCAGAAATGTAATATTTCAAGGTTAATGTTTGGTTTACAAAATTCTTTCCGCTGATTAAAACAAATGATTTGCACCATCTGGATCCTAAAAGGCCTAAAAAAACCCCCCAAAAATCCTGAATGTTGTAACTTAAACTAGAAAATTCACGAAATTCAAGTCCATATTTTTCTTTGCCAATTAAAAATAACAGATCACTTGAGGCGACTCCATTTTAACAGCAAGACTCAGACCAGCATAAAGAACAACCTGCTTTTGATTTGGAGTATTTATAGTTGACAATACCAATAGTTCCATCAGCACACAAATAGGACACAGATAATCACCAAAGTAAAGAACCAGGGGTACTTTCAATTGGAAACAAAGACAAGAAATTGATAACAGCAATTGATGACTCTGTCCATTAAAAAATAGATTTGTCATAAACATCTAGACCTAGAAGTGCTTTCTTTGAATAAGAAAAAAAAAACAAAACAAATACATAAAGCCAATGTTTATCATTCCCCTGTCAATCCAGAAAACTAACATCTATCCACATAGGAAAAGAACCGAGAGTACTTTCTATAGAAACCTGGACACAGACTATGTATACGTGAGAGGCAGCAATGGTTCAGTCAGTGATTTGGTGTAAAGAAAAGAGCTAAATTCAGAAACACAGGGCCAGGGGTACATTCTGTGGCAAAGAAACCCCTAGTCCACAGAGTCAATGGCTCCATCCATAAAAAAAAAGACAAGGAGTACAGATTTAGTTTAATTAGTGTAAAAGATCCACCCTCAGGTAGTGGCAGCAATGGTTCAGTCATTGACTCTACACAAAAGAGCCACAGCTACTTTCTATAAGAAAGGAAAACGTAAAGGACACGTTTTAGGTAAGAGGCATCACTATGGTTTCACTTTCATCCAGTGAAATTAATATAATAACATGCTTACAAAAGGTCCCACATCATCATACTGCCACTACTGAGCAGCCACGCAGCTACTTTGGTCAGCCAAACATCCTGGACAACCTCTGAACTAATATATGCTAAATAACACTGATCTCTTTGTTCGACTTTATAACCATCATTGCTAACAACAAACTTAATGACTGTTTATTTCCCCACTTTTCTCTCAAGAATACTGGTGTGTTTTCATGCATAAATACAGATGCATGTTTTTCTTTCTTTCTTTTTTTTTTTTTACATATAAATCCCTCAGTTGGACTTTTGTTTTTGTTTAATAGTATTTTCTCCAGTAATGTGAATTTGCTCCAATTGTGCCGTCTAATTTCAAATGTTTCTCCATGCTTTAATTTTTTCCATCTGAATTTCCTCACTAAGCTGAAGGTTATTTCTGTCCTTGTACAGCTGTTTAGATCTCAAAGAAATCCTTACTTCCTCTGGAAACATTCAGGGCTTCTGTGTTAGTCGCATATAAAACCAGTGATTTGAAAAAATATAGTAGATCATTTTGTTGGATCAGTCGTTTATATTTGTGGCACACAGCTTTAAGCTTTTGTTTAATAAGTTTCAAGTTTATTCCATTTTCTTCCATTCATTAGGGTAGAACGTCAAAGAAAAAGGTTGTTTTTTAAAATTTCCCCCCAACAGTAAAGATGTTGTACCTGGGATGCATATGGTTTCCACAAGACTGAGATCCATGGAAAACCGCACCGCTCTCACGAAGCGTGGAAATGAAAGATGGAAGCAAAAACAAAGAGGTTTCCTGTTGTTTAGAGGAAATCAAACCTGTCCGGAGAAAACGAAGAGGAAGCATTGCTGATAGGCAACAGGGAAGTTTTGTTTTTGGATCCCTGCCTTTACTCCTTTTTTTCCCCCTCCTAGAGGGGTGTGTGTGTGTGTGTCTGTGTGCACCCTCCCATTCACATATCTAATGGGAAAGAGGTTCCAGCTGCTGTTCCATGAGGCAAAGGGAAGGGAGAGAGTGTGGTGCAGCTCAGAGGTACATAGAGAGCTATAGCTGCTGGAGGAAGAGTAACTGGAAGGAGTAAAATGGGACCAGCTGCCACCTTCTACACATTTCTGTGTTTATGCTTTCTGGCTGTGTGTGTTCCTGTAGGGATGGTCGATGCTGCGCCAACGCAGGTCAGAACTTTCTGTACTGTTGGTATTACCTTGGTATGCTTTTTTTTTTCTTTCTGTAATCTTAATTCATGTCTGTTTTGGGGTAATTTTTTCACATTGGGTTAATAAAGCATTCATCAAGAGGACAAAACACTGGAAATGTTTTGTACCTTAGCAGCAGTAGGAGAAATGAGAAAGATGACGTCACGTCTGTTAATGATTCCTAAATATTTAAAGATGACCATGTTTAAAGAAGCAGACACTGGTAGCAGAGCGTATTTGAGACTTCAAAAAAAGCCGCCCCCTTCTTATTAGCCAATAAGAGACTCAGAAATATGATAGGTTATGACAGTAATGTGTCTTTACTTGTAAATTCTCTCGTAACTAAGAGCTTTTCCAGTCTCTCCTGATTTTTTTTATCTAGACGTTGGATTGTTTTCCTCTCATTTCAAACCTGACTGTTTAAAGACAACCAATCTTCCCATTTGTTAAACCACTTAACTCTGGAGAATGAAGTCATGAAAAGGTTGGTGAACCAAAGAATTGAACCAACATGTCTTCAAAAAGCCAGATGGCTTTGGGTAGATTGGATTTTCTATGTAGCAGCCATCTACTAACCATTGCCTACAGGTCAAATAAGTTGAAATGTTCAGTCTAACAATTTCTGTTACTGGGAAAACATTTAATCCTTTTTTTCTTTCAATTATTTACTTTTGATGTGTTTTTTTTTTAAGATAGATAAGTGAAATATATGTGATTACAATCCTTTAACAACTTAGAATAAGATAAGACCCCTTGTTTTTATCAATTGGAGTCAAACAAAGAAGCTAAATTAGTCAAATATGAGAAAGGTGATAAATGTTGCAATGATGATATAACCAGTAAAAATAAGCAAATAATTAAAAAATAATATTTTTTTTATAAAATAAATAAACTTTCTGCTTTGGTTTCAAAAGAAACCAACACAAGATGTGTCGTTTTTCTAATTACTGAATGCGAAATATTCAATATTTCCATCTTAACAGCAAGGTTTTGTTTGGAAAAAAGAATTGCTTTGGGTCCATATCTGCTGTTTTGGCAATTAAACAGCTTTTTTGTAGTTTCAGGTGATGCAATTTTCATAGATGTTACTGAAATTAGACACTCACCATTATTAGCAAGCAATGAATTAATTATTAATACATTTTGTAACCCTAGCCAACACCCAAACCGGATGTTCTGTTGTTCTTTGTTTACATTTTTAGAAATACATGACAATCCAGTGAAAGAAATGTAATAAAAAGTAATAAAACAGCAACCTGAAAGTCAAAGCCTGAACCCTCTTGGACTCATTTCACAAACAACTGATTATTTAGAATTAGAGACAGATCTTTGTCATTGCATCTAAAATTAGATTTTAAATTCATTCTTCAAACAGTTAATTGCTAACTAGTCTGGTGTGATGACAGCAGGAGCATCATGGAGATCCTACTGTTTGTTAATCTGTGTGCGTTTGTCAGGCGTCTCTGCTGGAGATGAAGCGGGCCAGAGGTGATGTTCCTGATATTCTTCCAGAACCAGAACCGGAACCAGAACCAACTAGTCAGGTGTCAGACTTTGAAAAATCCTACAACTATGTCTGTAAGTAATTTCCTGCTTCCTTATGATAGCCTTTGGGTCAAATACTAGATTTAGAAAGGCGTATATAGTCCAAGTAAAATAAATATAGTACACCCTCCTTATCCATGTATAACACAGTGGATTGCAAAAAGTAATCCCACCCTTGGAACCTCTTTTTCTTATTTTGTTTCCCAAACGAAAACAAACTTATGCAATGGACGAACTTAAAGACCAGACAGAAGGAAAGTAAATCAATATTGCTTTAATAGAAAACTTAGACATGTGGCTTGCTTTTATATTAAATTCCCATGATCTATGGAATCTGACTGAACAGCAGCTATTTAGCTCAAAGCCCACACAGCTTGTAGCTGCACTGAATCAGAATATTTACCTCTTTAGAGGTAAAACAATTTCAAAACCATATATAATTTCATTCCTGTTATGCACAACTATGTGTTGGTCTATCCCAATAAATCCCCCCTAAATACATTCATGCTGATGGCTGTAATACGACAAAATATTAAAAGCAGTAATAATACTTTGCAATGCACTAAAAACTATTAAATGATGGGATTTGTGGCTTAGACTTTAGGTGAGATTTTAACAATCTGTTCTGCATTTAACCATAAATATGATTGAGGTTGAGATTTCTTTTTACTATGACACTTCCTATGAATACAATATGTACAATTTATCACTTAATCCTGCACTGCAAAAACAATCTAGAAATAAGTAAAGATTTCTTAAATTAAGTGTATTTACCCTTAATTTGAGTAGGTAAGTAAGAGGATTTGCCAATGGAATGAGTAGTTTTACTCTTAAAATAAGATAATTACATAAAATTCACTTGAAATAAGAAAATGCAATTGTTTTTTCTTATTTTAAATGTAAATTGTCTTGTTCTATTGGCAAAGTGTCTCACTTACCCCCTCAATTCAAGAAAAATGCATTGATTTTAAGAAAAAAAGACTTATTAAGATTGACATTTTCTGCAGTGTGTTCTTATGAGTAGATGGGCTGTCCTCAAACTGAGCATAATGAAGCAAATACTTTATTCTTATATTTTCCATTCAAGGTAAAACTGTTTTAGTTTGGGTTATTTATTTATTCTTATGTTTCCACAGTATCCAGACTGGCTGGTATAGACCAGGCCATCCACAAGCTTAACGTTGGTCATTACACCCTGGATGTTAAAGTCAGCCAGCTAATCGACCGGATCTCCAGGCTGGATGGTAATATTCTAAACATTGATAAGGTAATTCCGGTAAGGCTCCATAAGCTTTTATTGCGCTTTACTCTGATGGTCATCATCCTTTCAATTATAGCTAAAGTTGGAGATTTGGAGGACAGCATCCAGGAGGTCTACCAGCACAGCAAAGACAATCGTAAGGAGATTGGAAGACTGGAAGGTAAATTTAACCTTTTTCAAGCATCATTAAAGCTTAAATATGCAGATGGATGATTATGGAGCATAATGTTTATGAAGCAATTATGGGTTATTTATCAACATAACAACAAATGTGATATTAAAGACTATTTAGAGCTGAATTGCAGTGATTGCAAAATCCAGAACTCTATGGCTGGACATTGTTTACTGAAAAGGTGGTTAAAACTGAATTCCCAGCTATGCTTGGTATGACTTTCATTATAATCATGACAGAAATCTGTCAAAAGTCGAAATATTTTGTGAATCTCAGTTTATCAAAACAAAAATCTAATTGAACCTCCACATTTCAAGGTGCATATATGAGAGATATAGTGATACGTTCCAGAGCAATCATGATGATCAGGTTTCCTCCATTTACAAACATGTAGGATTAATAGACATAAATACATGAGGTGACATGCAGGAGTAATCTGGTTTTTAACATGCAAACAATCTAGATGCTTAGATCACTGATGTTAAACTCTGCCAGCGTCAGGAAAATGTTGCATTAGGTAAATATCAAAGGGAATCTGCTGTCATTTCCTTAGAAAATTACAGCTTTGCTGTGCTTGGTTGCTATGCAAATAACATGCGTCACTACAGGCATGAAAAGAGAAGCAGCTCTGAAGGGAGGATCAACAGTACTACAATAAAGCCCCACTCTGCAGCGTGTTCTGGCGTGATTCTGCTCAGGGGTTGTTATGATTCAGTCTGTTGTTGCTCGATCAAACCACGGAGAATTATCCTTAGGCCTCATCAGCTGTTTTATCTCAGGATGCCGACTTTTGTTGTTCTTTCGTGGTAAATAAAGTGATCAAGCCCAAATCTGCACACTAAGAATTTAGGGGTATTTAGTTTTAAATTGGGGGTATAAATGTTACCAGACACTTAGGTAGAAGATGTTTGTTATAAATTTATCCAGATGTGTTCATCTTTGATCAATCCTACATAAAAAAGCAGGGTTTTAGAAACTTTAAACAGCAGTTTTTGGGTGATCAATTCCACAGAATAAAAAAAAAAGGTCCTGAACACAAACCTGATCATTTTAGTCCTATTTTGAAGTTGTTTAAATAAAAGCAAATTTCCTTTTTAGTCTTAAGACATCAAATACTACTTATCAACAACCAATTATTCAGTACTCTTGTATGAGGACGTTAAGGCTGGACTGTGTTTGGGGTTTGCCCTTGCGTTTATAAGCTGAATAATAACACTTAGTTGTATGCTATGCTTCTGAGTTCACTGGAGGTTGTATTTACATCATGAGTCACCTCATGTTACTTCCAGAGAACCAGACTATTTCTAAAGGAATGCTGACTCTGTTTATTTGAAAACTCTGCAGACTCTGAAGTAAACATATTAAGGAGAAAAGTCTCTAGAACCATTTGACAACTTTATATACCGGTATATGAAGTCTCAACCATGAAGAAACAATGTATTATTTGCATGTTATTTGGTATAAAAAAGCTAATTGTGTGGGTATTTACCAGACTATCAAGTGCACTGATTGGTAACTTTGGGGTCATGATCCCACTTGGAGTCCTACATCAACCAGTATTTGTGAAGTTTGGTGGATGTTACTGTGGATCCAAATGCAGAGTAGAAGAGGCAGGGAGGATTGCTTGCGAAACTTAATGAGGAAGGAAAAATATAGAATCCATAGACCCGAACCGATCGACAAGAAACTAAATAACCAAAAAATTAGGAGACACTTATGAACGTAAAGAATGACGAGGATTCAGCCATGAATAAATGAACAGGAGGTGTATATATGGGAGACAAAGACAAAGGGAGGAGTAATTAGCTGATAGGGAGCAGGTGTAGACAGAAGTAACTAGAAGGAAAAAAGAAGAAAGAAAGGGACACTGGGAGGCAACAGAGAATATTCAGGGAGAAAAAACTAGATATAATTGTAACTTGAAAAGAACTTAAATAAGGCTAAAAGGGAATAAAACTAATGACAACAAAATAAGGAATGACCAAGGGGAAAACCTGGAGGATAAGAGGTGGGACTGGAAATTACTGAAGCCTTGGAAAACCTCACCTAAAGATAAGAGAAAGAATAATTAAAGGAGTAAATAATACCAAAACTGTTAAAGAAAAGAGATGAAATGAGATGAAAAAACTAAGAATAAAAAAGTGATCTAAACCTGGAAAACACAGAAAAAAATAAACTTGGGAACCAAAAAATAAAAACCTTTAACAGAAGGTCCAAAATGTGAGATCATAACAGTATGGGGTCTTTAGAGCCACAACAGAAATTAAACTAAACAAACATTTACCTTAAAAGCATAGCAGAGGATTTTCGCGAATTCTTGAAAAGACCCGCCCTCTCCACTTAAAAAAAAAAAAAATGCAAATACACAAACCTGTACCCGCTCCCGAGAGGGAACGGCTGTTAAAAACTTGCGAGAGCATCCATTCCTCCTCGTGCACGCTCTGTTTGCATCGCTCATACAAGCTTACTTTCAAAAAGAAGATTTGACATTTTTCCACTAAGTCAGACTCTCCACCGGTAAGTAAAAATGGGGAAGAGCGTAGGACGGCCTTATGTAAATATACCACCAAAATGATTGGCAATTAGGAGGACCACTTATTTAGATGATCCACCCGGAAAAAGAACATCCTCCACTATAGCTTTAAGATAGAAAACCATCACCTAAAAATGAACAAAATCAACTACTTTGGTTGTTGATGCTGTCTGTAATATAATTTCTGTCATCATTTGATTTTGTAGAAATGTTTATTCAATAGTTTGGGTAATTAATCCACTGTGGTCAAAAAGGTAAAAAGTTTTGAACGTCTGATCAATAGTGTGAAATCTAGGCATCTTTATCCAACCTTTTTTTAGTTTTAAACACCATCAGAGCTGATGCAGAGCTACATTTCCCTTAAAGCTTGTTCTCAGGTTATTTTCTACTTCCTAGGCTGCCAGAAAGGACAAAAATTGGGCTACAAATGTTACCTAGTGTACAACAGTTTAGCTGACTATGCCGGAGCATCCAGGAAGTGCCTGGAACGTGGAGGACGTTTGGCGATGCCCCGTGATCGCAAGGAGCAGGAGGCCCTGGCGGACTACATCAAGGACTTCTTCAAACCGGGGAACTGGCCCGTCTGGTTGGGCATCAACGACCTGCGCTCTGAGGGTCTCTACCTCTTCGACGACGGCACACGGGTCTCGTACTTCCAATGGCGTAAACACTTCCTGTCCAGTCAGCCGGACGGAGGAAAACGAGAAAACTGTGTTGCCATGTCATCAGACGATGGGGACTGGTGGGACCAATACTGTGACCGAACCATGAACTATGTGTGCGAGTTTGACGACAGGGTGGCACTTTGAGTGAAAAAATTGTTGTTTTTACTGATAATGCCAGAACTTCAAATCCGAATGTGTCGCGAAATATGCTTGAAAGACAGGACTGTGCAAACAGACCCTCTAGTTAACATGAACTGTACCGACTGAGTCAAGAGGAGACCATATGCATCATTTTGTATGAATATGGATCTAAAGAAATTCACAAGAAATTTAAAGTTATTTGTTTTTTGTAGGATCGTTCTACCCCCGAAAAAAGAAATAAAATGAAGCTTAAACTCATGAGGAGAAACTTTGCACTGGGGTTAAATTCAGTAAACAACTGTTTCAGCATTAAACTTAAAAAAAACAACTTCTAAATTTGTAAACATAGTATCAACTGAAATGTAGAGGTCAAATGCAAACAATTCAGTTTGTGTTTTAAGGTTGTTGTTAATATGACTAAACTGCTGAATAAATTCAGGGAATTCTAAACATTGGATGAGGATTTCAAAACAAGGGTAAAAACTGAAAAACAGAGGAGCTTTGTGGGGAATCAGCACATACCGAACCCCTTCAAGATCTCCATCAGTGTGTACTTGGGCCTTAAAGGGAATTAAGAAAAGCTCCTTCGGAAAGGATCATAAATGTTTTATAAACCCTGGTGCTGAGCGTGACTCCCACTAAAACTGCTGTAACTCACATTCTTCTGTCCGGAGTATTTCAAAGCCTCAGGTCAACTTCTACCTTCCTTTCAGCCAGCAGTTGTGATTCATATTCAATTATCTCAAAAGCTAATTAATCAGCAAAACAAGAAAATTATTTTAAAAAAAAAGAAGTGAAATGACAGCTTCCATTTTTATTCGTTTTCATACAATCTCTGAAACAATGCATCAGTTTTTTATTTACTGTAAATAAAAACTCTAAACTTTACTTATATGTTGGGTATTGTTGTTTTACTGATCTTTGTATATTTGAACTCCTGGGCTTTAATCGTTTTAATCATTTTCTCTCATTAGCTAGGTCATTTGTTTTAGTAGCTGTAGTTTTGTGATGCTTTATTTTTCAATAATAAAGTCAAACAACCATGGAAACTAACAATGTCTCTCCTGCTTTTTAAAAAAAATCTAAGTTTAATGTACTAATAAAAGTATTGCAGCTTATGCATGAATATACAGTTGAAGGCTGTTAACATAGGCTGCATTTATAAACATCTGCTCTTCACACAGTAAAATCTGAACTATAAGAAGGTCAACTTTTCTCAAAATAAGTGTATTTCCTTAGTTTTGAGCAAGAAAGTACAAGAATCTGCCAATAGAACATGTTCAATTAGATTTAAAATCGGGAAAAAACAACTTTATTCTCTTGTTTCTTTATTGGCAGATCTCTTGTTTTACCCTTTCACTTGTTTTAAGAAATGTTTTACTCATTTGTAGATCAGTTTGTGGAGTGCTAAGTTTGCATTAAACCAGATTAAACTTTTCTGTTTTAGGCCATTATTAGCTGTCTTCTATTTACTTAGCTTTTTGTAAAACTTTTTTTTTTTCAAGTTTGCTTCTCTCCTTATTTGTAAGTATTACTGTTTATCAGCTATGACCTGGGTTAGATGTTTTTGTGTCCTTCGACAGGCTTCTAGCAATACTTTTCTGGATTTTTGACCCATTCCTTCTGCCATAACCAGTATAACCCAGTCAGGTTTAAAGGTTGCCTTCCTCTTAACTTCTCAGCACCTAAGCCATTCAAACCCTGACCTCCTTCTCTCCCTATAACTCATCTGGCCGTGTTCTTACACTGCAAAAAATGTCAGTTTTTCTTGTTTTGAGGAGTTAAGCGGGACACTTTGCAAATAAAACAAGACAATGCACATTTGAGATAAGAAAAAAACAATTGCATTGTTTTATTTCAAGTGAATATTTTCTAAATGTCTTATTTTAAGAGTAAAATACTAATTCCATTGGCAAATCATCTTATTTACCTACTCAAATTAAAGGTAAATACACTTAATTTAGGAAATCTTTACTTATTTCTAGATCGTTTTTGCAGTTTAGGGTCAGTGCTCACGACCACCCATCTGTACTAAAGCTCCAACTTCCTGACTGCTGTCTTCAGATGCTCATTCACCATTTCCACATTACGTCATGTCTTAATGAGATCATTTATTTGTGTAAAGTGATCCACTCCCTCCTGAAAAAAAAACCACACTAAGATTCCCCCGTTTCATTTTTCCACATGACATGTCTCCATCAGTTAGTCCTTCCTTCATGAGAACATCTACAAACCTTAATCTATTTTCATATACTGGCATCTTCCTTTCTGAGCGGCCCTTCAGCTCATGTCGGTAAAAAAAGGAGTTTCCTTGTTAATGATGACAGAATTACCAGCTTCAGTCAGGATCTTAAGAACTACTGAGGATTTGTTTTCTTCTGAGGTTAATCTACTTATTTTACAACTTTCTGCAGAAGGTTTAAAGAGTGGACTTTGCCATTCTCATTATATATGCATCTGGAGCCAGAGGGTGAACCAGCTGTTAGACTTCCAAAAATTCTTCCAGATAGAATCTATTTAATCATGTTTTTAATCAATAAAATAGTTTGTCTTATAAAAAGAACAGATATTCCTCATATTAACTTCACTCTTATGTCTGTTTAAATGGTAAGTGTAAATCTAGATGACTAATGAATAAATGTTTCATCCTAAATCACAACACTGACATCACCAAAGAAGATCAATTTAGTCTTTTCTGCACAGTTCAGCATCGGTCGCATCTCTTCATAACGACTGTAAGATGAGACGTCATCCATGTGCATCAAGAGCTGGTCGTCCTCAGTGGCATCAATGTTTTTCCTATAGCTTTTATTCAGCCTGTGCGTGTGCCTCTTCAGAGCGGGTAGAGTTGGCTTCAGCAGCCTGTAGGACATCCGTCAGGCTCGGTCTGTCCAGAGGGTTTTTGGAGGGATGAGAGAGAAGCACCCTTCCCGTTTGGTCCAGTAAAAAGTCCCCTCCCAGCTAAAAAAAAAACGGGATTACATAAATAAAACAGCGCAAAGCAAAGTTAGCTATGCATTGACTCTGATAAACATGATGATAGAGGAACACTGCTAAATTTTTAATTCCTTTAAGCTCACAGACTAGTTTATAAATTCTAAGTTTATAAATGCAAAGGATCAGAGATTAATAAAGTCGTATCTGGACTGCAGCAAAGTTGGTTGCATATAAATTAACCTGTTGCTGGCCTTTAATGTTTGGATGGTTTGCATTATACCCGCTGTGTATTATAACATGCTGCAGAAAAATGACCAACAGCTTAAAGTTATGGATTTAGAACAAGCGTAAGATATGATTAAAGTTCAAAACAGTTAAGGCCTAATGGTCTTTTAACAGACATACTGTATTACAAGGCACTAAGTTTTCATCGATATAGGGTTTCTCCATTCCCTTAAAAGGAGTGAAATTTCAGTCAGATAAAAAAAAAGTATCTTAAAAAACACAGAAGATATAAAAAACCAGGATACAAAGAAGCCAAGTCCTATATGAGATGTTTTGAGTTGGACTCCCTCACATGGCATTGTTTTAATTGAAATTTTATTGTAAGTGCATATTTGGCTTTTTTGTGTGTGTTTTTGTACGTATGTAATGATGTGATGTAATTTTGATGCCTATCTTGGCCAGGTCTCCCTTGCAAAAGAGATTTTTAATCTCAATGGGCATTACCTGGTTAAATAAAGGATAAATAAAAAAAATATAGGATTTTAGAGAGTTTTATATTGATGAAAGTGTTCTGAGGGGGATTGAGCCCTAAAGACACCATAAAGGTTCTCATATACAGTTTACATATCATCCCATTAAAGACAATGATAACTTTACACTACTAATTCCAATAACACAAAACTGAAAAAACTTATAATTAAAAAAAAAAAAAAAAATATATATATATATATATATATACTATATATAATATATATATAACTACTTGATAATTTAGTTAAAATAAAACATTGATTTAGAATTTTTATTTAAAGAATACTTTTTTTCCCAGACAAATGGAAATACTTTACTGATGAACAGTGAACCAAGATACCTGTCAACAGGTGCAGAAGTCGGACTGAACATTTCCTGAACATTACAGAAAATCTCTAATTTCACTGACTGCCTCAGTTATTACTTTTTTTCAATTTCAATTTATTTTACTGGCAACTGAAATTTTTTTGTCTAAAACTGAAGGTTATGTAAACGGTCAAGTACAGCTGTACCTAGATTCACCTGCACCATACATAATAATTCATATACCTATATAGTAGTGATGCACAGTATCACTACTATATTGGTCATTTTTAAACATATTGGTATCGGTCCTAATAGTGAAATTGGGTCAGTATTAAAAACTTCTCTTTATTTCTATTTAGTTTCCATGGAAAAATAGCAAAAATATCAATTATCGATCATAAGGGCTGTATTTATTTTCATATCTGTGCTTTGCAACTGTATAGTGATGAAGTAAAGCTGTTCTTAAAGCCAGCAAAGTTCTGTTTGTTTTATTCTATCAGTGCCGTCGTCTTTGTACCTGATAAATGTCTCCCAACAGGCGATATGGGAAATCAGGGAAATCTCTGTTGGCGATGCTGTACTCTGAAAACTGCATCAGGCAGCCAAACTTCAACACCTTGGAGACGGATGAACCAAGCCCAAAACTCCTGTAGACCTGGACCAGACAATACAGGCTAGTTATTTAGAAAGCAAGCATGACTGTCTCTATGGCAACTGTCCCGGTTGTTTTAAAGCCATCATCTGGTCACTAACCTCTCAGACTACATGGTCTGAGCATTTGGATCTCTGAGCTTTAATGATATCATTAAACAGCTTGAGTAAATTCCCCTAACTCTTTTCTTTAGAATGTTTTTGCTACTTCAAAACTATTTCCATATGTGGTAACAAAGTTGTGTGTTTATTTCTCACATTTTCCACCAATGTATCACTTCAACCATCACTTTTCTGTAACGTTAATTACGAATATTCACCTTCCTTTGTGAATCCAAAAGTATTTTAAAGCTGCACCCAGTCTCCTCCAGCCATAGCTGAGCTCCCTCCTCACTGCCAAAGGAAACCACTACGACCTGCACCGACCGAGCCTCCAGGAGGGTCTGCAGGGCAGAGAGATATACAACACCGCTTACAATGCAGCTTTTGTCTTACTGCAGAGATCAAGTGGAGTCAGCAGCTTTAGAAAATACACTTGAACTGTTTGCTTTACCTTTTGGAAAAGGAGTTTTTGCAGCATTTCTCCATAAGGTTTATTTAAACTCTTTTTTTTTTTTTTTACTTTTCACAGTATTTTATAACAAATCATACAAAGTGCACTGACCTGATGGGCCTCCAGCTGGGCCACATGGTCCCGTCATGGCAGCCATCCAAAATGCCCAATGAGAACCAGCAGCAGCTTCTGACCCTTACCTAAGTACTGACCCAGAGTCACACTCCTTGGAAGAAAACAAAAGAAAAAAACACCCCATGTCAAAGTCATACACTGATATAAACTGATGGGAGTGTTTGAAACCTTTCCTTTATCTGGAACAATCAGCTAAGGGTTTAACTGGTTTTAATGGCTGAAGGGTAAACTTACTTTCCTGACCGTGCATTAGAAAACAGAATGTCTGCACTAAGGCTGTCTGCTGTCTGTGCTGCAGAAAGCTGCTCATCTGTCATCTGCAACCCTTTGTCCACGCTCTGCAGGAAGGAGTCCCACTCCGCCTGCAAAATAAATCATAAGAGATAGCTGGAAACAGATTAAAGCTATTTGGTGCAATAAATATAAGTGTGTTGTATATAAAGATTAGAAGTGAAGTAAGCAATCCCTGTTTTGCTTTAACCACACTTTTCTCGTACCAGAATTTGTATGTTTTATGAAAATAGGAAAGGAAAACATAGATGCAAAAGAAAAAAAAGATGTTAAAGGTAGAAGCATAATCAGAACAATGGACATCATTTTAAAGGTTTATAGCAAATGAAAGCAAAGAAGAAAAGACATTTAATAGGGAAAAAGCTTTAATACATATACAGACCTCTAGTTTCAGAAGCTCATCTACTTGTTCTCTGACAGCAGGACAGCTGGGGAAAATGGATTTAAGATACATGCTTAAATCAATAGAGCTCCTCAACATTTTGAATGTCAAATCAAAACGTCCACCATTTATAGCCTATTTATGTATGGTTGTATTATGTGAGTATGTTTCAGGGCGGGGGGGTGGAGACCAGTTATCCAGGGGCCCTGACCTTTAGATAAGTAGAAGACAATCGACTGACGCTAATATAAAGAAGGGCCCATCAGTAGGACCAGTTATCAAAGGCTTGAAATTATCAGCATCTCGTTCCTCTGGGAGATGATTGGAACAGCAAATTAAATAAGCTTAGGTGCTTTGGGATTCTGCTGGATGCCTTCATTTACAGATTTTTTTTGGGAGATTGTCCAACTGAGAATAGATCCCAAGACACCCAGAACTCAATTGGATCTCCTCCTGTTTGGGAATCCATTGGGCTGTCAAGGTTGTTCCTCCTTTACTGGTTTCCTCTATTACCTGATCTTAGATCAGCTGAAATAGCCAAATTAGGCAAAACATTTATTTAAATGTAAATGCTTAGAAGCAGGTTCATTCCACCAAAAACAAAAAAGCTGTTGATGCTGTATCAGCTTAAATAGGCTTGTTGGACATTTTAGTGTAATTGTGTCATAACTTACTGGTAGGATTTCTTCCAAACAGCCTCTGCTTCACTTTTTGTCTTCACTCCAATGCTGAGTGGAAAAAAAAAGTTTCTTCAAAATCCAAATCCGGCCAGTTGCATTGAGAACACACTTTTAAACCTGTACAAAATATATATCATATTTAATATGTTTATATTTTTTACCTTCTATAGAAATTCTCCCCAGCTGTGATCAAACCAAATAAAGTAGTGATCTTACGAGGAACAAAAGTCTCCAGAGAGGCTGTAAAATAACAAAGATGCTTTGTTAGAGGTCTGGTGGATTTGTACAATGCCTTTATATTGGAAATAAGCATGACAGGAATTAGATTAGACCAGCCGGTCTGGTATTTTAATCCATGGAGTTATTCTGAGCGCCATTGTTCAAGAACTGTTTTAATATCAGGAAATATATCTACATTAATATCCTCAGTTGTTTATTATAAAAGTCAGTTTACACCACAACTGATGTAGAACTGAGTGTATTTTTTTATTTTACTTACTTGAATTTCAAGGGATTGACACTTAAGCATTAATAACGTTTCTTATCTATGTAACTAATAAAGTATTAATAGTTTTTTTGTTTGTTTGTTTTTTCTTTTCTTTTAGTTAATGCTTAATTAAAAGTTTTTAAAATGTAACATACCAAAGCAAAATCAAAAACAACAACCAAAGATTATACAGATATATTTATAATTCATCCTACCTGCTGCTTCCTGCTGGGCATTCTGTAGTAAAATTGTACCCAAATTGACCAGCAGACTCAGGCCACTGGTTAAGGCCTCCTCTGATACAGCATCAATCTCCGCCATGGTCACCAGCTCCTACTGACTGCCACCGTTTTCACATCACCTGCACTTAATGGACAGCCCAGCCAGTGAGACCCCTTATCATGAGACAAAAAACAAACACAAAAACATGCCTTTTGCAGTTTAGCACCATCTGGTGGTGAAGAGTCGCCAGACTAACCTATTAATGGTTCTCATAACAGAGGTGGTCCGAGAACTTTTGGGGCCCTGAGCTGATTTTGATGGAAGGAAACAATTTTTTACTCACACCAAAGCCAGAACTGTAACATCATCCGGAAAACTGACTAGCCAAAATGGTGGATATACATACTGAAGCATGAAAACACTTATGACGAAAGGATGACGAACAGAATCCAGTTGATGGACAGGTCCGGCAACTGCAGGAAATTCTTTGGCTTCTTTTAGGCCAGCGCTTCCCAACCTTTTTTGCACCACGGCCCGGTTATATGTCAGACAATATTTTCACGGACCGGCCTTTGAAGTGTGTGTGTGTGTATGGGTGTGGCCATGTCTTTAATACCTGGTGGGGACAATTTCCTAGGAATATGCTACATTTTGGGGACTCATAGTTACTTGCGAGGACCAACAACTGGTCCCCATAAGGAAAGTTTCTCTTCTTGGGGTGGGGGTTAGGTTTAGGACTAAGGTGTGAATTGAGTTTAGGTTAGGTTTAGGGATAGGTATGTGTCGGTAATGGTTATGGTTAGGGCAAGGGTCACGGTTAGGCCATATAAATTAGTGGGAAATGAATGGAAGTCAATGGAAGGTCCCCACAAGGATATTGTGACACAACGTGTGTGTGTGTGTGTGTGTGGGGTGGGGGGGGGGGGGGGGGGGGGTATACGATTAAATGAAATGATACGACTGGCATAAAATCAAATGCAAACAGCATAAAAATATAACTAACCATTACCTTGAATTAGTGGAATCCCTGAGCTTGTTTCTTTGAAACAAGCCGGTCCCATCTAGGCGTAATGGGAGACAAAGACACACGAAGTGTGCTCCTGATGTCCAGTCTGCTCCGTAGCTTTGTTTTTGTCGCTGTAACCGCAGAAAATCCCGCTTCACAAAGATAGGATGTTATAGATAGGATGAGTCTTGAACTGAATTAACCTGTGTCAAGAGGCACAGATGCACCAACTGATGTAATAGGGAGAGAATACTTCAATTTTTCAGATTTTTCAAAATAAAACATCACTCAGACTCTTATCGTCAATAAATTATATATTTATTATTTTTTTCTGTGCGGCCCGGTGGTTGGGGACCGCTATTTTAGGACACTCAAAAGGCCGGCTAAGGTGATGCACTGATACACGGCTCAGTGTAATTGCATATAGTAGCAGAAATTTGTTGATCGAAACCAAAACATCATCTCTTTAGCTCTTTAGCCAAGTTTAAAACAACAAGAACAGGTAGTTTAACATTTAACCATATAAATCATTATTGTTTTTATATTTTTTTCTTTTTTCAAGGCTTTAATTTATCCTTTTATTTGTTACTATTAATTATTGCTTACAAGTTTTAGGCCAACATCTCCTGTTATCCTTTATGATATGGATCAGGATTTTTGTTTGCTTAAAAAAAGTAACTCAGTAACTTTTACTTAAATACTGCTCATGTAAGTTTTACTTTCATTCGAGTAACATTTTGCACTGATAACTGTACATGAGCTTTAGAACTCAATTTTCTTTTAACATTATACAGTTTTCTTCCACTGTCTGCAACTTATTTTTGATTAACTGTATGTGAAAAAAACATTAAAAGCTTTTTATACGGTTTAAGTAGTTAATGAAATCCTGTGTGACCAGAACAGGTGGGAACATTGGAAGCATTAAGTTACTTCTTCAGTTAATTATTTTTGCACTGTACTGTACAGGAGTGATCTGGGGCTCTGCTGGAGCTTTTGTTCCTGCTAATGGGGAGTTTTTTCTCTCCATTGTTACTGCCTGCATGCTCAGTATGTGTCCTGTGTCGTTCCATGCTAATCCAGGAGTTTTTGCATGGAACAAAGTGACCTTGCCATTCTGTAAGGTCACTGACTCGATGCAATGAGCTGGTTTTCCTTGACAGAAACTTTTAACCAATCCAACTGAATTGTCTCTTAAGTGCCTTGAGATTACGCGTGTTGTAAATCAGAATAGAATGGAATGGAATAGCAAAGCAAATGGAGGAAGTTGTGCAACTTGAGCAAAGCGAGATGATTAAAGTGATGTTGGACCTGCAGACAGAGCAAAAGAGAAATTTGCAGCTCAGTTTTCCTAACATTAAGAAAGTAATTTTTTCGTGTTACTTCGAATTTGATCAAGTCAAATGGGAATTAGGGACAAATTTTCAATTTGTGGTAAACCATGACACAAGCCAAAAAATGTGTGACAAATATATCTAATAAAATTAAATTGAAGCCCAACTCAGGGAGATTAGCTTTTGGCTAGTTCTGACCAGTATTGTTAATCTGATTTCTCATTTCGCCCAAACAAATTTATATTTTTGAGCAGCATTTGTGTAAAACATCACCAGTGAAAGGAGGCAACTGAAGTATTTACTCATTAAGATTTAACTGCACTATGGTAATATAATTACCACATTGTTTCAGAACGCTGTTAATCTAATAAAACCTAAACTGAATGATAACTACCTGAAGTCAAATTAATAGTGTTTCAGGAAAAGTAGCAAACAAAGAAAATCATTCTCAGTAAAATTAAAATTATGTTCTGGGTCTGATTTCTTGCCTCAAGACTTAAGCTGATTTGATGGAACCTTAACTCTACGATAAAGGTTCTGGATACGTTTAGTCTCAACTTAAACTAAGTGGAGATTTTATGGCAAAACAAGTCTTTATGCTCAGAAACCCTCCAGTGTAGAGGAATTAGAAACAACTTCTCCAGTGATGCAAAGGGATCACACTGTGCTCCAGAACTCTTGAAGGGAGTTTTTGCTGCCAGTGATGAGCAAACAATGATGGTTAACGAGTTTCGAGCGATTACTCTTCTACATAAGGCTTTCAGTTTATTCAATTTGATGGCTTTAAAAATAAAAAATAATGAGCCTGGTGAAATTCCAGCCCAGTTTGACTGTTCAACATTCAGTCAATAGAAAAAAAAAAACTCCTTCTCTTCAAGCTTTAGGACATAATATTGAAAGATGTTCTCCCCTATGAATCTTAAGCCAAATTGAACCTGATGTCCCAGCAAAACGAGATGATTACAACCAGTCAGCACATATGAAATACATTAAAAATGTTAGTTGTTAAACAAAGCAGGCCCATCAGAAACTGGAGTGAAATACTGCATGATTATGCCCACTTTGTTTCAACAAACTGAGCTTTTAAGGCCTATAAATCTAAGGAAAAGTTCTTCTTTGTGCTTTAACCCCATGCTGGGTCGATATGAAGTCAGGTAACAGCAAATTTTAGACCACTATCCTTCCCAGGGACGTGGCTAGACCTATTTTAGGGTGGCTGAAGTCATCCCTTCGTTGGTATTAGCCACCCCATAATTATTTTGCGATTTTTATTGTTATTTTTTTATTTATTGATTTTTTTTCCATATAACCCCAAACAATTGCAGTAAAGCACTGAAAACGAGCCACCAAGAAGGCAAGTTAATCTGAAGATAAGTTCCTGTTAGTTTATTTACAAACACAATTATTTATACAATTATTAATATCGTTAGGATATTCATTTCCTTCATTGGCTCCGCGTCCAGCGTCACGTCACGTGGTACACGGCCATCAACTGGACCATAGCAGCTGTGCAGTGCAGCAACAGCGCGCCCTTTGAATCTCCACACAGTCATCGAGCTTGATTAGGAAAGTTATGGTTGCGTGCAGATACATACGGTGAGTTTGCCATTTGATGTCAGCGGTTTACATTTTCTTCACTTTACCTGGAGTGAGGAAAGAGACAATATAGGCCTAATAGCTTGTCTGATTCAGTAGGAATTACGTTACCATGGTGAACAAAGTCAGTGGTGTGGGAAAACACGATGTTGTTGTAGCCTACTAGCATCATTATAATAGTTTTGTCACAGGAGCAGTGATGGGCAGTAGCGCCGCTACATGTAGCGAAGCTATTAGTTTAACTACATTTTCAAGTAGCTTGACCGTAGCGTCGCTGCTTTATTTATCAAGTAACTTTCCTGTAGCGACGTTATTGTTTTGATCAAGTAGCGACGTAGCGTCCACAAACGCTACAAAATCCAGGGCAAAACTAAGAAATGAAACCAGGTTTTCTATTTCTAAACAACAATCAGCCACAAAACTACTGTAAATAGCAGTTTCAGCTGACGCTTTATAAGTGGCGTAGTAGCACAGGCACACTCCGTAGGGTTAAACAAGCGCACCTTTTCCGAGGCTGTCGTTCTATTGGCTGGAAAGGTTGCTAGGCAACGATCCAACTGCAGTCTGAGAGAGCAAAACAAATCCGCAAGCAGAGCGTAACTGAGACCCGTGCAGAGCGGAGATGGAGGCAAGCGAGAGGAAAAAATATCTGTGATAATATAGAAAATATCTGTTTAAATCTGAGAGAAGAAACAAAGATTTTTGAGAGAAGAGAAAATATTTGAGAGAGAGCGCATGTTTTGAGTGTGAGCATTATAAGTTTTGAGTGCAAGAAGATGAAATTCTTTTCTCTAATTGAAGTTATGTGCTCTTGCATTATGGCAGGATAATTCTCCCATATCTATGTGCCACCAGTCTGATAGGGCGACACTGTGTGATATGGTAGTGCTTCCTTGGGTTGACTATAGTTCTAAGTTGTACGTTTCATATACTGTTGATTTTGTGTTTTCATTAATACATTGTACTTAAAAATACTTCCTTTATTTGCATTAAAACTTTGTCAGACTGATGTGAAAAAGTCTCAAGGATATCCTTCTTTGCAATGATGCTATTGCCTATTGCCTACTGTCCATTTATGCAACTTGTATTTTGTGGTTAAACTTTAGATTAAGCAGAAATCTATCAAAGATAATGCTGCATTTATTGTTAAGTTCCTCACATATATGTGTTTCTCTCTGTGCCAGGTGTAGAGAAAGACATGCCAAAGTCCAGGTCACACACACACACCAAGCACACACACAGAAACAGGGTTATTGCAAAGCAGACAGGGGTTCCTGACAGGTTGTGGGTGCAGGGGAGATGGGGAAAGATGAATGGCCAGGTTAAGGGTTTATGAAGATGTTGGGAGTCTGTTGGTTAGACAACTGTCTTCTGTAGAAGGTTTCCATTATGATGAGTGGCGAACCACTTGCCTTCTTCCATTTATGCAGTAATGCATGGCACCTACCATTTACTCTTTGTAATTTAGCACATTTTAACTGGTGTAGTTTAGTTGGTGAAGTAGCATTAGTGAGGGAAGTGTTTCCCAGGTATGTTGCTCTTAAAATAATGAATTTATAGACAGCGCCTTAGAAAGTGCACTGAAAAAATTTCGGCACGCGCTTCGCGCGCGCAATATCTTACCTAGGGGCTAAGCCACCCATGTCTCTCAAACCTAGTGACGGCCCTGATCCTTCCTTTTTCTTTTTTTTGTTAAAAATTACCATCTCAAAGGTAATATTCTATCAAATAATGGAAACAGTTACTTTTCAATGAATTATTTGGATAAATATAAAAGCCAAATTTATGCCCTTTTTGACTTTCAAACCATTTCAGCAACTTTATAAAGTATCTGTAATTAAAATCAGCTTTGACACTTTTTATTGTTAGAAAAAACAAATTTGGTAGGAAATAATCTCTGTGCTCCATATAAAAACCTGGATAATCAATATAACGTCTAGGTCTGATAGGTAGTGTAAAGAAAATAAAAAAATAGTGTTTCCAGTTCAAATTAAAAGTCAAAGACAGAACAGTCAGAGGTGTTAAAGAACAGCGGAAGGCTGGTTTTATACATAGATAAATCCTAAAGCTTATCTGTAAACCTAAAACCATCTGAATGCAGATGAATCTGTTTATTTTAATTATGCAAATACAATCCACCACAACAAAAATATTGATTCTGCTTTAATCACTTAGATTAATTGTCTTGTATCCAACTATACACTCACCGGCCACTTTATTAGGTACACCTGTCCAACTGCTCGTTAACACTTAATTTCTAAGCAGCCAATCACATGGCGGCAACTCAGTGCATTTAGGCATGTAGACATGGTCAAGACAATCTCCTGCAGTTCAAACCGAGCATCAGTATGGGTAAGAAAGGTGATTTGAGTGACTTTGAACGTGGCATGATTGTTGGTGCCAGAAGAAACTGCTGATCTACTGGGATTTTCACGCACAACCATCTCTAGGGTTTACAGAGAATGGTCCGAAAAAGAAAAAACATCCAGTGAGCGGCAGTTCTGTGGGCGGAAATGCCTTGTTGATGCCAGAGGTCAGAGGAGAATGGCCAGACTGGTTCGAGCTGATAGAAGGGCAACAGTGACTCAAATAACCACCCGTTACAACCAAGGTGGGCAGAAGAGCATCTCTGAACACACAGTACGTCGAACTTTGAGGCAGATGGGCTACAGCAGCAGAAGACCACACCGGGTGCCACTCCTTTCAGCTAAGAACAGGAAACTGAGGCTACAATTTGCACAAGCTAATCGAAATTGGACAATAGAAGATTGGAAAAACGTTGCCTGGTCTGATGAGTCTCGATTTCTGCTGCGACATTCGGATGGTAGGGTCAGAATTTGGCGTCTACAGCATGAAAGCATGGATCCATCCTGCCTTGTATCAACGGTTCAGGCTTGTGGTGTCATGGTGTGGGGAATATTTTCTTGGCACTCTCTGGGCCCCTTGATACCAATTGAGCATCGCTTCAACGCCACAGCCTACCTGAGTATTGTTGCTGACCATGTCCATCCCTTTATGACCACAATGTACCCAACTTCTGATGGCTACTTTCAGCAGGATAATGCGCCATGTCATAAAGCTGGAATCATCTCAGACTGGTTTCTTGAACATGACAATGAGTTCACTGTACTCAAATGGCCTCCACAGTCACCAGATCTCAATCCAATAGAGTATCTTTGGGATGTGGTGGAACGGGAGATTCGCATCATGGATGTGCAGCCGACAAATCTGCGGCAACTGTGTGATGCCATCATGTCAATACGGACCAAACTCCCTGAGGAATGCTTCCAGCACCTTGTTGAATCTATGCCACGAAGAATTGAGGCAGTTCTGAAGGCAAAAAGGGGTCCAACCCGTTACTAGCATGGGGTACCTAATAAAGTGGCCGGTGAGTGTAAGTCTTAAAAGTAGATTATTAAAAAGTCAAACCCATTGCGTTAATTTATACAATTAGATTAGCTTGTTAGCTTTAACAGCTTTGACTGAGTTTCTGATCGGATGTTCTAAGGTAATTATAATTTTTTTCTAGTCTTCGAACACCTCTGATTGATGCTGGTTTGCATTACTGTGCAGATGATAGGAAACAGCTGCAGAACAAAGTGACTGTAAGCGCTGATAGAAATAAGACACGCTGCTTAAAAAGTATCTCAAGTAAAATCCAGTAGCCTTGAACGTTTTTTCAAATGTTTTTAATTACAACTTTTATCTTATTGCATCCACACCGGTGGTGGAAGATTTCAAAGTGCCAATTACAGTCGGCCTTTTCAAATCAAACTGTTCTTTAGACGCTGACCTAAAACTAAATTATTTCTAAGCCACCTGCTTTATAATCTAGGGCAAATTAAGATGAGATTTGGTTGAGATAATCCTCATGTGGATATGCTCCATGGATGGGTTTTGTGCTTTTAGTACTTCAATGCGTAGAGAGAGAGAGAGAGAGCGAAGGTGGACACAATCGCTTCTATTTTCCAATAGACTGGAAGAGCCTGGTAGTGAGGGAGAAATAAACAACAAGCTAAAAACAAAAGATTAGAACCAAATATTCACTTTAACCATCCGGCTGTGATTTTGTTTAACTGTTGTTTTACAAAGACTGCATCTGAAACAAATTACCGGGGTTATTTTAGAAGCATATCAGTCAAATCATAATAAATAAATCCAAAAGTGATCGTTAGAGAATATTTAAGGAAGAGTTAGGTGAGAACATTTTCCTTTTTTATGTATTCAAACTGAAATAAATCAAGTATCAATGCTAAACTGGGATCCAGTGATGTTTGGGAAGTAGAACTCTGTGCCTTTGCTGAGTTGTGCAGAAGCTCCATTTTTAAGACTTTCTTTGACGGATTTCTCTGAGCGTTGGAAGACGTTTCAAGACTTCTTTGGACAATGTGAAGACGAGTCTGTGTTTAGGACTTCTATCATTGTTCTGATGGACGGGAAGGTCTCTGCTACCGATGGAAGACTTCGGTACCAACTCGGTAAACTGCGAACAGGAAGAGTTTTAGTCAGATCGGGCTTTCAGGGCAGATAAAGCAGAATAAGAAGCAAAAGAAACAGTTTCCTTACTGTACCTTTTGAGATTCATCCAGCTTTTTGCCGTTTTACTGAAGTTTTCTGGACTTGGTGCCGTCATTGCTTCGAAATCTACCAGCTGAAGAAAAAAGAGGAAAAAACAAATACCACATTAAAGGAGTCATCACCTGGAAATGTGACGTTTTCATTTAAAGGGACTGCATTGTGCGATAATCCATATCAGCCATGAAAAATCTGTATTGATGTCTACAAACATTTCTCTAATGAAAAACTCAAATTGGTTAATTTGTTGATTAGTTTTCCCAATAATTGTTTAATAATCTGATAGCAAATGTTCCATAAGGAAGACGTTTTACTAAATCAAACCGGGTGAAACTTAAACTTTTCCACTTGAGGAGTTCTGGAAAGAGCATCTTGATGGGTGGGTGGGTAGCTCTATCAGCTAAAGGCATGTTATATAGTCTCTATACTCCAATTAACGATAAATTGATAACTAAATGGTTTTAATGATCGATTAATCCGATTGTTTCAGCCCTGGTCAACATATTTTCAGGCTGAGTGTAAAATACAATATTTTGTAGCATTTTCAATTAAAAAGGTGTTTTATGGCCTATGGATAAATCAACTACATGATTACATTAGAAAAGGTCCAGAATCTTTTTACTTATTCATAATTCTCTCATATTTGTTTAAATATTTTAATACAGACACAAAAAAAACATTTGATCATGATAAAACCAATTAATATACACCAAATGTCCCTCCTCATAATGTTTTTACCCTTAATAGAATCCCAGTAGTGCCTGTTTGGAGCAAACGTGCGCCATCTGCTGTTATGGAACTACTAGAAAGTCAGATGGTGGCCACTGAGGCAGATACTTAAAATATCTGGATCTAATTGGAAGAACAACCAGTGGTTACTTTGAAAGAATAATTAGTTATAGTTACTAGTTACATCTCCCAAAAAGTAACTGAGTTACTAACTGAGTTACTCCACAATAAAAGTAACTAGTTACTAGTAAAAGTAACTATTGCGTTACTTTTGCGTTTCTCGCCCCCGTAACCCTCACCACCCAGCCCCCACCTTCTCGCCGTGTGTTTCTAAAGCCAGCTGAATAGAGCGGACAAGGACCTGCAGAGAGTTTAGCATTTATTGCAACTCAACCTAAATGACATCAGGGGGGAACGCCATGTGAAGTTTTTTAACAGGACATTCAGATCTGGTGAGTATATGAAATTAATAACTGGGGATGTCTAATTCTGAAATCCTGTGTGTTTGGGTTGTTATAGATACTGCAACATCTATCTATCCATCTATCTATCTAGATGTATACTCTGTGTGTGACATAAAATATGGATCTCCATCCCTGCCACAAAGGCCATCAAATAATGTTTAAAATAAAAAATACAGTAGGTTGAAAAGGCAGAGTATTCATCCATCCATCCATCCATCCATCCATCCATCCATCCATCCATCCATCCATCCATCCATCCATCCATCCATCCATCCATCCATCCATCCATCCATCCATCTCCCTTTCTCCATATAGGCTATCATTTGATCGTTCACGCTCTCCATAGTTCTCCTGTGGCGCGAGCACAGGGCGACTGTTGCGCGCCTTTAGCGAGCATGCGCATTTCCTGTCGCTTGCGCGGTGAATCGTGCCGCCTGCTATGTGCGGAGATGCAGGGGAAACCGTATCTGATGGGGAAACTCAGCTCGACGTAACATCGGTATTTCCATCAGGAAAACGTTGTTTTGCTGCTGGAGTCCTCCTCACTCTCCATCTCTCTGTGTGTGCTGTATGTTAACACCCGCCAGCAGAAACACCCACCTACCCAACTGACAGACGGAATCTCACTATACATCAGCCAATCTCATCCTCCCCTCTCTCATGACAAGGCGCGCACAAGTCCTATCATGAAAAAAGGTTCATTGTGCGACCTGAGTAACGTGCAGTAACGGGGTGTCTGCAATGGTAACTGCGTTATAGTTACAGTCAAAGTAATTAGTTAGATTACTCGTTACTAAAACAAGGTAACGGCGCTTTTAACGCCGTTACTCCCATCACTGAGAACAACCCATATTAATTAAATAAACTGATCTTCAGTAGCCTCATGTTCTAGTCAATCCTAACCCAGAGCTTGCTATCAGGACATCAAGGAGAAAAGAAAGTATTCCTATTTCTACCAAATGCAAACAGTGACACATCTGATATGTTAGACTGTAGAAACTAAGCATTGCCGTCGCTGGTATCAGTATCTATAAGCAGCTTTATCCATGTTTGACTCTGCAGTGACATCTGATTGCCTCTGATCCCTTTTGGAATCAAACATACTTTTGCATTTTTATTCCACACTGGATCTTAGGCTTTTCCTTATTATTTTACACCTTCGCTGTGAGATGCTATCCTGCTTAGTACTTCCTTTTCCCACCCCTGTCGTACCTCTGCTGTCATTGTAAATACAAACAAATGGCTTTAACAAACTTAGCAAAAACTAAAGAATAAAACACATAATTCACCATCAGGATGCAGTAATCTTTCAGAAACACTTTGTATGCAATCAGAGTGAGCTACTGATGTATAGTTAAAAAAAATATTTTTACTTTTTAAAGATAAATAAAATACCTTAGACTTATTCTAACTTACAAATGTATCAACATCTCTGTTGTTTTTGCAAAGTCTTTTTCATTGTAGTAAACTGTCTGTTGTTATTTTTATATGCAAAAATACACAAAAAATGGAAAGCTTCAGTTTGAGAGAATGTCAGACAGAAAGAAAAATAAAATTTTCATAGTGTGTTTAAATATCTGTTTCAAACTGTGGGAAGTTCAGCTTTACTGACTGTTTCTCTGCTTTTATATTTACCTTTCCTTTTGGGATCCTACCAATGACCTCCTTCCCACTGGCCATCAGCGCCCCCATAACAACCGAGTACGCCACAACACTGAGGACAAAAACACCCATCCTTTAGAGTTTGTCTTTTACTTTTTAACCAAACATCTTTATACATATATATAACTATGCCCATATGTATTTTGACAGAAATGTACCTGGATCCTCTGGATAGAGGCATGAGGTTGCAGAAGTAATATATTAAAGAAAGGATAAGGTTGCAGACCGCATCTGCGTCCTAACAGAAAAATGACAAAATCAGCTTTGTTTGTTCAAATACATCCTCCTTCTACAGCAGTTCATATTAGTAACAACACATAACAAAGATGTTAGTTGTTTTTGTATTACATGAGAGTGAAATCTGGAGCTTTTAACGCATTAGGGACCCAGAAAAGAATAAACAGAGTGGGGGTTTTGTTCCAGTGTTTACATGCAAGATCTCCATTTACAATTTTATGTAAAACTAATTTTCATTAAGGCTCTAATAGGAACTAAAATAACTGAGCTTGTTAGAGCAGAAATGCAAAAATAGAAAATGTTTATTGTCATTATGGACCAATAAGAAGTCATGGTTCATACAAAGAGACCACTTAAAGGGCCATGTCACATTTTCTGAAAAATGTGGACTGCATTTGATCATCTCTACTGAAAGGTATAAAATATTTTTTTGTGACCGGAGTTGTTGTGCACAAGATATTCTTTAAAACAATTTGTGTTTAATATTGTTGTTCTTGTAAAAAAAACACAAAAAAACAGAAAAATTATGTATTGCTGAAAAAAACTTAACTAAAGAGACATAGGCAGCAACGATTTCAACGATTGTCCCACTTATTGCACATTTAAAAAGCACCTTAAACAGTTTCTTAAAAGCTCCCAGTCATGCACTCACTAATTTTATTGTTTTAATGTGTTTTGACTGATATTGTATTATGTGATCTTGTGTTGTTTTGTCTTCCTGCCTCAGGACGACAGATGTAAATTAGCAACTATGCTATAATCTGGCTCATTTACAATCTGTACAGAAGTATAAAATTGTTCATTAATGTGCTCTGTCCTAATTAAATAAATAAATAAACGATTTCAATGGATTTAAGAAACTGATCATTGTATGTTGTAGTAAACTACCAAATTTTGTCTAAGCAGAAAGAAGTTTACTTTATTAAAGACAACAAACATCAAAATATTATGGTCACATGTCTATTCTGGGGAATATTTCCCCCAAATTCTTCACAGTTACTGGACTGCATATTTGTTTTGCGCGTTTGCCAAAATTGGCTGTGTTTGAGAGGAGAAGCTTGTTTTGGGAAATCTTACCCCAAGCTCAGTAGAAAGCATGAGGGCCTTTCCTTTAACTGTGAGATCTTTGTAGATAGACTCGATCTCTGATTGGTACTGCTGGGTCCGTTCCTCTGTTGTCTGGGTCTCTACTGAGAACAACATGTTTCCCACCCTACCAACACAAAAAAATCACACAAAATATTAAATAATAGAAAAAACTACGGAAAAAAAACAAGGTGCTGATAGTGATCTTTGTTTTATAGATAATAAATCCCAGAATTGCCACTTCATTGCTTTAGTTTCTAAGTAGAATTATGATAAATGTATCCCAGATGTTTGTACAGTAGTCTGGATGGATGTTTAAGTAGACGTATAGCTCAATTATTGAAGGATGGATCGATTAATGGTGGATCGATTTATTGATATACATGAATAGATAGTGGAAGTATTTACGGCCTATAATCATCAGGAAAAGATACTTAAGTCTGTTATAACAACTGTTTTTTCAAGTCCGTCAATGATTCTTGAGTAAACGATGCCTACATAACACATGTCCTTCTCATTAAACCAGTAGAAATTTTAATCAATACCTATGTAGTAATATGTAACCTTTTTATCCAAACAATACATTATTTTTGAAGTATACATCACAGAACGTCTCAGGTTCTAAAGAATAAAAGTATTCATTGTACAGAAAAAAATCCATCGAATAAATAGTTCTATAAATCTTGAGAGGTCCAAAATATAATATGTAAACTTATTAATATTTGCTTCTGGTTATGATTAGGGGTGTAAATAATAAGCGTTTTGTATCGATGCATTGATCCAACAGCCAACGATCCGATGCATCGACATGTCCAATCGAGTCAAGAATCGATTCATGTTTTTATTTTTTCCTCCGGTCCATTTTTATCCATTTTGCTCCTGGGCGTAATTCTCCCTCCCGTGCTGCGGTGGCGCTAAACCTATTTTGCCCTCCTACCTCGCTTCCTGGTTATACTCTTACAGCAGTGTGTTGCAGTGAGCTTGACACAGACATTTTTATATTATGCTCAATATTGAAGCGTGGTCTGTGCTACACGCTGTGGGTCTAGATACGGCCGAGGCGGCAAGGAAGTGGGGGCGAGTTTAGTTCGACGACGGAGGGACATGAGGGCCAAAAAGAGCGGAGATCCAGGTGGAAAAAGGGTCCCAGCGTTCTCGCGCACCTCGCTCTTCTAGCGGGTCAAACTTCACGAGTTGTTTTCCCCATTTTTGGTCATAGAAACAAAACAAGCCGTCCTCCTGTCTGCGGTCAGCTACAATTTGGGAGAGGTGCAGCGGAGCGTCTTTGGAGGGGGCGGGACGTCTGGATACAAGGTATTGCATTGCACTCATTGCACTGATTATGTGCAGTATTTTTTTATGCAACTTTTCTACTTCTGTTATTTGCTGTTGTTTCTAAAAAAAATGCATAACGATATTACAGCTTTCATTGATTTATTTCAAACTTGAAACTTTGTTTATCCTGTAAGGTGTAAAAGAAAGAGAAATTTTTTTTTACCGATTAATCAAATCGAATCGTATCGTGGTGTATTCTTGAGTATTGAAAAAAATCGAATCGTTGGGTCAGGAAATCGATACTGAATCGAATCGCCATGATGGATGTGATTTACACCCCTAGTTATGATGCCAATGTCCATGGAAGAATTCTGCATAAGGCGTTGCTAGACTGTAGCAGTTTTGTAATAGAGCTAAAAAATGGCTTATATTTTGCATTACAGTTTTTAAATGTAAGCCAAAGAAAAAACAAACTAAAAAAGAAGCACAAGGGTAATATGGGTCAAGCTTTTGTGTGTTGGTGCAGACTTAAGGAAGCATAGGGACTCAGAAGCCTCATGGAGGACGCCGCTTTCCTTCCGGACAGGTAAGTTAATAGTTTAGATTCTTAACGACTGTTGATTCAATAATGAATCTTACTGGACTGTACGTGTAATAATCAGCTGAAGCCCAAAGGAAGCTTTGAAAGACTTTCAGAAGATCTGGAAACTACCAGAACCTCTGACTCTGGTCTTTGTATCAGAGATCTAATGTCACCTGTCTCCAGTGATGGTGATTGTAAAGCCGTCATACTCCTTCCCAGCATCCTTCAGGCTTGGCACCTTGGAGTTCACCGTGAATCCGTCTCTGGTTTTACTGTTAAACTGCTTCAAGAAATAAACTCACATAACCAACAATCCTGGAAAAAACACTTTAAAACCACATATTAATCCTTTTTGTCACTTAGCTATCAACTTAATTTCTCCTCATTTTTTCTTACCTTCATTATTGGCAGAAGATCTTCTACTTTATTCACATTTTCAAGTGCTTGGCGGACCTCCAGGAGGCCTCTTGGGTTATACGCCCTGATCCAGGTGAAATAAAACAAAAACATTTTAATGATCTCAGAGTCACGGTGAGAAAAAGAGAACTAATAAGGCTCTCTCTGTACACAGAAATGCTGTAATTTACCCGTGGTACACTAATATTCTGTCTTTGATAAATTCTAGGATGTTGTCAAAGTAGGCCAGGTATCTGATGTTAATAATCTGCCCCCTGAAATGAAAAGAAAAGTAACATCAGAAGACTAAAGATGAGTTGATATTTGAGATGCTTTGGGGACACAGTTCAGGCGCCATGTGGTTACCTGATGAGATTGATGTGATTGTTGAAGCCTCGACTTAGGCTCCTGGCTGGCATCTGATCTAACCAAAGGACCGGCTGGTCTGGATCTGCGATCCTACAGGAACAGGAAAAGCCTGATTATAAAGTGTCCAACAAAGGAAAGGTCCAACTCTATTATACGCCTGTATTCCCTCCCCCATCCCTCCTTAAGTCTCTCCTTGACATATTTTCAGAAGTATGTGAGTCATTCTTGTGAAATAGGGTGTGTTTTTGTCTTTTTCTAAAATATTAGCATCACATTCTCCTATTATTCACATTATAGCTGACACAGAATAAAGAATTATACAAAACATTTCTTAATTCTTGTTTGTTTTTCACTAAAAACAAACATTTAAATGATTTAGGCAAATGTTTCTGTTTTTGTAACCTTGCACTTAATGTTTATCTCTGTAAATAACCGAACCACATTCTTTTAATTTGGTATGTTTTCATAGTAGAATATAAGAGAGCAAGATGTCTGGTTAATTAAAATGCAACAATGACAAAGTTTAAAACTTCTTTTCAATCTTTAATGAGACATAAACCTTGGAAAATGTAACGGATGAACGTAAGAGGAGTAAAAACAAAGAAAATAAACACACAATTACCTGCCTGGATAAATGTGAAAAACCTTCAGCTAATACTTTGCTGAACCGTAGTTTGATTCACTTTCTGCATTCGCTTTATATTAGATGATGTTCTCCTAATCTATCAGCATGAGGAAACACTTGTCCTGCACCGTCTTCTTGAAGAAATGACAGATTTTGTTCAGGAATTTGGCCAAAAACTTCCAAAATTTGCATTTTCTTATTGTTAGACTCAATAAGAAGGAGAATCTGATGCACTGCAACCACCTGATCCAACATAAGAATAATATAGCTCTATTTGTTAAGCTTAAAAAACATTGCTTCTTAACAGATGGCATGTATAAGGCTTATAAATACTCAGATAATTTTAACAGGAGTACATTGGAGAAGCCTAAATGCAGCAGATTTGCTGCCTAATTGGGAGCTTTCATTCTCTTAGGTTTAGTTCCACATTCTCTGTGTTCTCAGATTTCAAACCCATGTTTTTTAACCAGTTATTAGCTTCTGTCTAGACATAATGTTACACAAGACAGCTGTAACGTAAGGAGCTGCGAAAGAGCTCATCGGTTTGCTACATATTACAACTTAAGGGGCCTTTTCTTTTCAGTTCAAATCCAAGAAACAATTAAAACTCTTTCCTCTTCTCCCAGAAAACACATTATGAGAGTTAAGCTATACTAACGTACATTTTCCCCCCAGGGTTAAGATGTTTAAAGTATTTGCAGAGGCAGGAAAGGTAGTCGAATACATTAGTCAAATTTGTGTTGCAAGTAGGTTAAAATTCAAATCACAGGCAAAAAAGAGATGTTTTTCATAGAGGACGTATGTTTTACTCTATAAGGGGATTTTTCTCTTTTTTTTTTTACTTTGAAGGGCAAACAGAATACTTAAACTTATCACTATAAATTTCATTATAAACTTTTAGTTTTAATCTTATCTCTTGCAAAAAACAGTAAAGTTCTTAAACATACATTGACTGGATATCTAAAGTTTCCAACTATGGTGAAAGTGCAAAGTGAGACACGACTGCAGACATATTAGTTACTCCAATTAATGCAGACTAATAAAATAATTGTTCCTCTTTAGCTGTCCCAAAATAATATATTTTTGTTTTCTTATAAACGCTTCACATTTCCTACCTCCTCCATTTGACGGCGATGTCAAACATGTCTCTCCACAGCATTTGCCGGGTCTTTCCATTAACTCGTACTTTAGAGTTGCTCCATGTGCGCTGCATGGCCTGCATCACTTCCAGTGTCGCTAAACCCATGGCTTTAGAAGACAGAAATGCTTTGTGTTTTACTGCTGTAAAATGCTTGAATGATGATTTCAGGAAGTGCAGCATCCATCAGAGTTACCTCTGTGTATTCTTTTGTTTGGTAGGAATCCTGGAGTGTCGTACTGCATCAGTAATCCCAGGTGGTCGGCCGTGCAGATCAGCTTCTGGACTTCAGAGCTGTAGCTGTCGAAGTTCTGTGGGAGGACATCTCTACGGATCGAATAACAAACAAAAACATTAAGGAGGAAGCTGATTATGGAGTTTAGATCATTCTCTATTCTGTGGCTCATTGCAATATCGATCTAGAACTAAAAAGTAAAGAAAGTATTCCTTATAATAATTATTTGCCCTTAATCTAAGCAGGTTAACAAGATGTTCTGCCAATGGAATAAATATTTCTTCCCCTAAAATAAGATAAGGACAGTCTTACTTATTTACTCACGGCTGCAGCTGCTGCTGCAGGACAAGAGTAGGTACAATACATGCTTTTACCTAAGAGTCTCCAAAAGCCGCCAGTGACACCGTAAAAAGTCGCCAGATTTGTCGCTAGTCGCTTTTTAAAAAAAATAGTCGCTGGAGGGGTCTGAAAAGTCGCTGAGTTGGCAACACTGTACCTGCGGCGCTGGCTCGCTCTGTCGTATTTTTTTTTCTTCCCCCGTTTCAGTCAAGCGGATGTGATGACGGCGGCGGCGGATGACGCATTAATCGCGCGACACAACTAATCGATTATGAAATTCGTTGCCAACGCTTTTAAAAGTAGATTTTTATCGATTCGTTGTTGCAGCCCTAAACAGCACCAATGTTTAAATATGTTAGTAAGTTCATCAGCAAGAGTTTCATGACAGTCTGATCGGTCTTCAGTGATTTATTTGGAAAATATAGATGTAAGTTCATTGGGATTATTAGAGGTTGACCCTGAACTGGTTTCGGTGCCCTTTAGTTTAGTTCTTGTTTCATTTCCAATTTATGGTGAAGACTTCCATTAACACACCCCAGTAAGGGAGAGCAACTGGCATGGAAGTGAGGGAGTCCATGTTAAAGTATAAATTAACGTTCAAACAAGGCCAATTTTTTGGGCTGAATGCATCGTAAAGTGTTACTCTGTCATTTTCTAAAACTTGTCAGCTCTATGTAACCCATGTTTTTCAGATTTGAAGAATCTAAGCATCATGCCTGATTGATAATTTATTCATTAATAGTTTTTACTGATCAAAAAGATTTCATTTTCCTGTTTTATATTCACATTAATAAAAAAAGATTAACTGTACAAGCTATTCTTCTTTCATACAGGAGACCTACTTGATATGTGGCTGCAGGCCAGGCTGTTCCTCATAGTCTTCTATCAAAAACGGCAGGTTCTTGGCCCAGTGATTCTTAAAGTTGCCTGGTAGGTCCTGGTCCACGTTGTACTCCGCTACAGGAATATCCAGGTGGGAGTGTAAGTAGCGAGAATATTCTGGAGGAAAGAGATAAAAAAAAAGGATTTCCATGTTAATAGCTGCAACTCGTAGCCCCTCCCTGCCCATAAAATGCCACCTCTAAAGCAGAGTACTGTAGGAGTGTCATACTATTGAGAGACAAACGTCCTGTGCATTGCAGTGGCTTTGTTTATTCTTTCTTCTGACAATAACTGATTCTCTTTTTTTCTGTTAAGTATTATAAAAAAACAAAAAAAACAAAACTCATCTTGTTTAAATATATACCTCTTGTGCCGAGTTTTTAATTAATTGGTTTCTGTGTTACGCCCTACTCCCTAGACCAGGGGTGTCAAACTCATTTTTATGCTACTCATTTTACTTCATCGTCATTGGGTCGTGAAAGGGGTCAGTTCAACTGTATAAATGAGACTTTAGTTTTCATAATTTCCTTTGCAAAGATAGCGCTTCTCTAGCATTAAACAAAACTCCTATTTATTCAGCAGGTTCAGCCACTCTGTAAACTTTAAGGAGGATTTACCTATATTTCAGAGATCGACCAGTGCAGAGGTTTTTTTTAAGGCTGATACAGATTGTTTTTCACTAAAGTCTAACCGATCACTGATATTTTTGGGTCAATTCTTAAAGCTGATGTTTCTTTTTCTTCTTCGGTTAACATGATAAAAAAAAAACACACTGACAAAAATGTTACACAAGTCTCAATTGAAACAAAAACAACAAATCAAACAAAACAACAATGGGTAGCAAATAAAAAGACACTTTACATGACCTTAAGGCGTGGCTGCTGAATGCACTTATGAACCGGTGAACACATGCATGCATTGGTCAATGCTGATTGAAGAAAGAGCCAATAGGATCTGTCAATCTCTACACTATTTTATGAGGATTTAACTTGTCCGGTCCTTGAGGGGCTGATAACTTACCATGAGGGTCCAGATTTGGCCTTATGTTAGAAAAAAAACTTAAGCACCATATTTATTTTGCACTGCAATGAACCTTTCATACTGATGCCCTTTTGAACCATTTTTTAAAAAACTGGTTTCCCTTTTCTCCTTTGCTGTTGCATGATGATCACTGCTGCACTTTAAATGGTAATGTTCATTTCACTGTATGAAGTTGTAAAAAACATCATTTCATTTCATATACACTTGGTGTATACGAAATGATAAGGTATCAATATTTGGGAATTTACATAGTCACAATAAATCAAAACACCTTAGCACTATAAGAAACTTTTCCAGACAAATGGTACCATAAACACTCATCACTATTTTCAACCAGATAGGAAAACATTTAATAAATATTTGTCATTAAGGTATGGATCCGTGAAAAGAAACACCTAGAAATGATCAGAGATACGTATCAAACATATTTTACACGATTTGAGTTTGTGAGATAATTTAGGGGAAAGAAATAATTTTTAATATTTTAACTTGCCCAATGCTACTTTAATGACAAAATCTTTGTTTCTTTTTGTCTTTTGACTATTTCCAATACAAAAAAATGCTTTCATTGATGTTAATTAACAAAAAAAGGCTAAATTACATCCATAATAAATAGAACATGCTGCTGTATGCAAACCTATTATTGTTAGAGTAACAGGTGAATGTCAGAGTATACGCAACTACAGAAACTCAGCTAAGACACAGATGAAGAGTTTTGGGTTGATTGTGTATTTTCATGATTCCTAATCAAAGTCTTGCATGTCTCAAAAACTGCCAATTTTGAAAAGAGTCAAAGTCCCTTAGCAGGTACTGAATGATACAGCATTAACCCTCTGTTACAGGACAGTCGTCGTTTTTGGTTTTATATAAGCGTAGGCTCACCCACCTCGGAGGTATTTCACTTTGAGGTACTCTGAGCTGGCTTTTTGTCCCAGCAGAGGGTCGTTAAGCATGACTTTAGTCTGAGCTTTGATGCCCTCGTAGAACTGACCCATGGCCACATGGCTCAGGCCCTTCATGTACTGACACACCTCGTTGTACGGCTCCAACTGGAGACACCGCTGTTGGACAACAGATAAAAAGTTAAGTTTAAAACTTCCTTCATCCTACCACCTATGGTGCGGAGTCAAATGTTAAAGGAATGAGTGGATTTCTGTACCTTAAAGTTACCAATGGCCTCCTGCAGAGAGCCGTGGTGGTACAGCATGATGCCTCGGAGCTGGAGAGACTGGATGTGGTTCTGGTTAAGCATTAGGGCTTTCTGGAAGCTGTCCATAGCAGATTCAAAATCCCCCAGTTCTCTAAAAAGAGAGAAGAAAAAAAAGGTTAAACTTCTCCAAGAGGAAAGCTTGAGATAAGTGACAAAACAATTTATGAAATCAAGTTAGAAAGAGACCTGTAGGCCTGCCCAAGGCTCTTATATGCATCTATGAAGTCAGACTTCAACTTCAAGGCCTCTTTGAATGTCTCGATGGCTTCCTGATGAAGGAGAAACAACACGGGTAATAAGATCTCACAGTCACCTTTTGACAGGTTTACCTACGAACTAAAATGACATCAAGGTGAATTCAAATATACTTTATTTCCTGTTATTTCTACCTAAAACAACCAGGCTGAAATTAGCTCAAAGACCTGTAATAACCTAACAGATATAAAGTCAGCAGCTCTGCCCTCTGCCAAAAACGACAAAAGTCAATAATTCACATGCTCTTCCCTCAGGTTCATAAATTAGTGTCAGAGTGAGGTGGCTCCATAAAGAGACGAGGTAATCAGATAAAGGACACATTTGCACGTGTCCTCCAACACGGAGGAGGTTATCAACTCCGCTGCAGTTTTATACTGATAAAAACAAACGTCCACGAGGGAGGTCCTGCCACGGTAACAGTGGAGCGTTTAAAGCTGTGCTGCTGTCATTTGTAACAAGGGCTTCCCCAGTCAGTTTAGCTGAAGCAATAAAAGCAACAAAATATAAAAACATAAAACTTTTAATCTAATCAGTACGACTGCAAAATAAACTTAGACTGAAATTAAAATGGCAGCACCGTCAGCACATTAAACGCTATCTTATCAAGGTTCTTAATTATATCAAAGTGGAAATTATAAAGTTCAACTGCATTGGTTCTCAGAAAAAAATCTTGATAGTTATTTGAAATTATTTAATTGTAAAAAAGCATTTTGTTGCAAAATTTATATTAAAGGAATAGTACACCCAAAACATGATTAGCCTTCATTTTCTACTCACCCCCATGCTGAACAACACTCTCGAGTACTTTTTTGATATCTCAAATGCATCTGGAGATCTGGGAGGCTTCTTGCTGTCTGCTGACATTCAAATAATGGAGGTCTATGGCGCCCAAGGCAGAAAGGTCCATAAAAGTCCACAAAAAACGTGTCAATATTCCTCCATACTGCCTGGAAGTGCGCATTCAGCGTCTGCTCTGCCAATAATGCAAGCGTAGAAGAAGAAATGTACTGTTTGCCTGTGCAAAGAAAGAAACAACGAAAGAAAAATGTCTGAGGACTTCGATGTTGAGGAAGAGCATGAGTTCTTTGCCGAGCTGAATGCGCACTTTCATCTCGCTTGGTCTGCCGCGGTTTCCGTAGCGTCGTGAACTTGCAGGCGCGCGCTTTCAGGAAATCCTATAAACTACTGTTTATGCTCTAAAAACATTCTAAATGACTTCATTTCGAGTAAATTATGGATGCTACCCACTCAGGACACTTGGAATACATTGGACGAGCAGTATGGAGGAATATTGACACGTTTTTGGTGGACTTTTATGGACCTTTCTGTCTCGGGCATAGGTGGATTAATGACCGGGCCTACCGGGCCCAGGCCCAGAGGCCCCAAGGGGCCAGGCCAACTTGGCCCCGCGGCCGCGACCCAAGCAAAACTACTTTTGCAAAAATAATAATCTTAGGCCCCAAGGGGCCAGGCCAACTTGGCCCCGCGGCCACGATCCATAGAGGGTAAGAGGCCCCAAGGGGCCATGATCCATAGAGGATAAGAGGCCCCAAGGGGCCAGGTCAACTTGGCCCCACGGCCACGACCCACAGAGGCCCTGAGGTCCTAAGGGGTCAGGCCAACTTGGCCCCGCGGCCATGATCCATAGAGGGTAAGAGGCCCCAAGGGGTCAGGCCAACATGGCCCCGCGGCCATGATCCATAGACGGTCAGAGGCCCCAAGGGGCCAGGCCAACTTGGCCCCGCGGCCACGATCCATAGACGGTCAGAGGCCCCAAGGGGCCAGGCCAACTTGGCCCCACGGCCACGATCCATAGAGGGTCAGAGGCCCCAGGGGGCTAGGTAAACTTGGCCCCGCGGCCACAATCCATAGACGGTCAGAGGCCCCAAGGGGCCAGGCCAACTTGGCCCCGCGGCCACGACCCACAGAAGGCCAGAGGCCCCAAACGGCCAGGCCAACTTGGCCCCGAGGCCGCAAGCCACAGAAGGCCAGAGGCCCCAAGGGGCCAGGTCAACTTGGCCCCGCGGCCACGACCCACAGAGGGCCAGAGGCCCCGAGGGGTCAGGCCAACTTGGCCCCGATCCATAGAGGGTCAGAGGCCCCAAGGGGCCAGGCCAACTTGGCCCCGCGGCCACGACCCACAGAGGCCCCAAGGGGCCAGGCAAAATTGGCCCCGCGGCCATGATCCACAGAGGGCCAGAGGCTCTCAATCATTATTATCAAAGCTAATTCTCAAATTGGATGGATCACACAACCTCACTCACATATTCTTTATCAATTATTAAAGGTTGTTTCTGAATTTTGATCACAGAACTTAATGCAAATATTCTTGATTGATTGACAAAGCTCATTCTCAAATTTTGATTACACAACCTTACTCTGACAAATTATCATTATCAAAAAGCTCTATCTCGAATTTGGATCACAGAATCTCACTCAAGTATTCTTAGCTGTGCCCCTCCCCCATCGAGTCTTTCATAAACCGGTCTGTTCTTTTAGAATCTCCTCATTTGGTATTTTGAACTCGTGAGAGACTGCTCAAAATTTGGTTTCCTTTCCCTCAGTTCAGACTCAGAGATAATTTGAAATCATTCAACCAGAAGTTTAACGCGCGCGCACACACACACACACACACACACACTTGAGTTGAGCATTACTTGGAAATTCTTATATTTTCCATTTTGCTGTTACTATCAGCATCTTCCCATTTTGTCATTTTCTTTCGAAAAAGTTTACAGTCTGACATTTGTCACTGCTGTCAGTTAATAACTTTTTGGTCTTTGACCCATTTTGTCATTTTCTCGATTCGATCGTCACTGACCACTCTCTCCTGTCTGGCAGACATCGTTGCTGCCATCATAGCTAGCAAGCTGCTTGCAGATAGCAACATTTTGGTGTCCTTTGTGAAAATATTTAGATAGAAGACAAAAATGCACAAAGTTGTACAATCATTATCTTTTCAAAATATTTGTTTCACTGTCAGTGTGATTGACCGACTTTGCCGCTAGATTTCGTGTCTTTTGGCCATACCTGGCTAGCGACTAAAAACATAATTTAGCGACTTTTTGGTTGTGAAGATAAGTGGTAAAAGCAGATCTGCCTGTTGGTCTTCCCACATTTTGCCATTTGGTACTTTGCACTCTTGTTGGTCACTCCAAGGCATTTGTCAACGCCTTCAGCTAGTCACTTGGCTCTTTTGGAATATATTTCACTGTAATTGGCTCTCTCTCTCTCTTTCTCCTCAGTACAAATCAGTCTGTTCCCTTGCCATTTAGACATTTTCTTGATTCGATCATCACTGACCACTCTGCTCTCCTGCTGTCTATCAGACGAATCAGTTGATTCTCTGCTCTCAATTGTCTATGCTAGTAAGCTGTTATTCTCTGTTTTGGAGTGTTGATGCTGGGTTGCTAGTTTTCTAAATCACCTCACACACTTGAAGGAAGCAGCACCGATCATAAACACACAAACAAACTCACACACACACACACACACACACACACACACACACATAGTTGGTTTATCTGTTGTGATAGGCAAAGAGCCAATGTGCAAAGAAAGAAGGGAAATATGGATCATAAACGTTTAAGTGGAGGAGCTAGAAAAAAAATTCAGCAAGAAAAGAAAAAAAAGGAATCAGTTTTACTTGAGAGTGTTCCAAATATCTCCAGCTTCTTCAGTACAAAGACATCTGCTGAAAGCAATTCTATAAATGCTACTGCAAATTCAGCTAAGGTTAGCAATGCACCTGAGCTAGCATGTAGCTCCCAAGATCCTGAGACCACTACAAGTGTAGACACTGAACCAAATGCTTCTGATGCTTATGATTCAACCAATTCAGCAGTAGCCAGTTGCTCGGATGAATGTGAGGTCACTGCACCTCTGGACAGCATAGAAAATGAGCTGAATCTTTCTTCAACACCATCTACAGTGACAACTCTACCTAGTGATCCCGCTAAATGGGCTGAGACCCTCACTGAGTCAATGAAGGAAGTTCTTATTCAAAGAGGTGCAAAATCATTTCACAACCGTCACAGCCATTATCCAGCTTCTGTGAGGAACAGTGGGCTAGGAGGCAAAACCCGATGCCTAAACAATGAACATTTTACTTCACACTTGCCCAATGGACAACGAGTACAAAGAGAGTGGCTGATGTACTCTCCCTCTACTGGTAATGTTTACTGCTTTGCATGCAAACTGTTTTCCCCAAAAACGCATTCTTTTGTGACAGGCTATTGTGATTGGAAACACTCAGAAAGATTTGGTGAACATGAGCGAAGTGCTGAGCACATAACCTGCATGCAAGCAGTCTTGAACCGCGCCAAAGGTGCCACAGTTGATGCAGACCTGTTCAAACATTTTCAGGCAGAGAGCAGCTATTGGAGGCAGGTGTTACAAAGAGTTTTTGCAGTCATTAAATTCCTTGAAGAAAGGGGCCTTGCATTTAGGGGTAAAAATGAATCGTTAGGGTCACCTCTCAATGGGAACTACCTTGGTATTCTGGAGGTCCTGGCTGAATTTGATCCCTTTCTAAAGGATCACATCAGAAAGTTTGGGCAGATGGGTCGAGGTAATAGCTAATATCTGTCCTCCACCATTTGTGAGGAATTCATTGAATTGATGGGTGCAAAAACCAAACAGGCTATAGCAGATGAACTGCAAGCAAGCAAATACTACTCTATCATTGTGGATTCAACCCCAGATTTATCTCATGTGGACCAATTGACATTCATATTCCGTTTTGTTAGCAAAGAGGGCAGTGTTGTTGAACGCTTTGTGGGTTTTGAGCCCATTACTAGCCATACAGGTGAAAGTTTGGCTAACTGTGTCATGTCTGTGTTGGAAAATCTAGGGTTAGAGCTGTCAAATTGCAGGGGGCAGGCTTATGATAATGCCAGCAACATGTCAGGGAGGTATAATGGGTTGCAGGCTCACTTAAAGAAAAGCAACCCATTAATACACTATATTCCATGTGCAGCTCACTCTTTGAATTTGGTGGGAGTCAACAGCATTGACAGATGTGGAAATGAAGTCTCTAAGTATTTTGACTTGATTCAGTCTATTTACAACTTCACAACTGCATCCACACACCGATGGGACAGGGTATTTGGCAATTCCAACATAGATCTCACACTTAAAGCTTTATCCAACACGCGTTGGAGTTGCCGTGCAGAATCTACCAAAGCACTGTGGAAGAACTACAGTAAAATAAAAGCAGCACTACAGGTTATTTCCACTGATGACACAGAGAAACGAGACACACGAACTGAAGCTGACAGTCTAGTGCGGAAGCTGGATTCACTTGAGATGGCCTTCATGGCAGGCTTTTGGGACACTGTTCTGTCCAGATTTCAGGCCACAAGTCTGCAACTTCAAAAAGCAGACATGGACCTTGGTACAGCAGTTAGATTGCTGGAATCTCTGCGCTCCTTTGTTCTCTCCCAAAGAGATCTATTTGATCATTTTGAGCAGAAAGCCTTAAACATGTTGGGTGGCACCCCATCTTACAGGGCTGAACGGACGAGGAAACGTAAAAAGTTTTCTGATGAATCAGCATCCCCAGATGTTGTGCTTGAGGGAAGGCAACTGTTTCAAATAGAGACATTTATTGCCTCTATTGATCAACTGAGTTCAAGCCTTAATCACCGTCTGGAGGCCTACAAACATCTGAACAATTTGTTCAGTGTCCTTTTCTCTTTGGATACAGAGTCCAATGCTTCAGTCCTTCACAAGGCCAAGATTCTCACTGAATCATACCCATCTGACCTCAATGAAAGTCTTGGACAGGAGCTTATACAGTTCAAATCTTTTATACAGCTCAACAACACTGATGAGGAGAGGACCCCTTCAGGACTGCTCAAAACAATAATACATTTTGGACTACAGCCTACGTTTCCTAATACATACATTGCGCTACAGATTTTTCTCACTCTACCGGTCAGTAACTGTGAGGGAGAACGCTCATTCTCTCTTTTGTCAAGAGTAAAAAATGAGCTGCGCACAAGAATGACTCAGAAAAGATTAAATGCGTTATCTCTAATGGCAATTGAGAGTGAGCTGACAAGAGAGTTGGACTTCAATGATGCGGTGGATGATTTTGCAAAATTGAAAGCACGAAAGAAACCCCTTGCTTAAAGGTGCACTGTGTAAGATTTTTAGGTTATTTCCAGAATTCGCCCATTCACTAATGTTAGGCTACCTGTTTTCATGAATACTTACCACCACCATAAAATTCTAAGTATCCATTATGACTTGGAGAATTGCACTTTCGCCATTTCTGGGAAGTGTCACCTGGATTGTGAAGATAGAATTGACTTTAGGCAGAAGCTTGGTGCTTTCTCTGGCAAACTGAACCTCAAGCTTCATTCTCTGCAGCTTTGCATTCTTGTGCAGACTTTCATCCACAAGGAACTTTTCAACTTCCCCACTATCGTGAAGGGGCCATCAAAAGATTTCAGTGTGTCCAGCATGTCTAGTCTCTTACTCTCCTTTCTTTGAGCCATCTCTTGTTTCTCATCTGCCCTACTCTCTAATTTTGCCTTCATGAATTTACTCCAGTTGAGTTCAACCTCCCTTTTTGCTTGTGCTGCTGCCTTGAAACCTCTGAAGCTCCTGGCACTTCTGTAAAATTATTGACCTATTGACTGCGTTCAGTGTGCCCAACTTCTTCAGTTTGTAGTCCACCTTGCCACATTGTCTCTCCATCCCAATGTTGTGCACAGGGATGCCATCAATGTTACTAGCCTGTTCACTGACAGGGTCCATTGGGAAGGTCTCCTCATCCATCCTCTGCCTGGCCAGGACAGTCTTCAGATGGGGCAGCATGAGATCTGTCAGCTGCTTCACTTCATCCAAGTATTCGGCAGCCACGTCTGACACTGAGTTCAGGACATGTCCAGTGCCTGTCCAGCCACTAAAGCATTCTTGGAAATGGGCTATCTTGACCTGCATGCAGCCCTTGTACCATGAACTGGCCTACACCTTTCTTTGTGGTGCTCTCCGATGCATGTTATCATTTTACCTTTCTCCTTCTCCTCAAGCTTAACCACAAATAGATACAGACTTTGAGCCTCAATTTGCTGCACAGCTGCCGTTATGCCAAAGTGTTTTCCTAAGATATTATTTTATTTTTAATGATAGAAGGGAGGAAAAGGGGGCAAAAATCATGTCCGATTTAGTTTTTTGGGTGGGGTGGGGGGTTTATTTCATGATAGCTACCAACTTCCAATACATAATATCTCTCAAATGACCCAATGCACCATCACTGAAGTGGGCATAATCATTTTCCAAAATGTTTATTTTTAGGCCATTTATCCCCTCCCCCTGTGTCTGTGTGAAACCTGTGCTTGTCAGTGTCTGTGTGGTATACCTAATAGTGTGTGTGCAGTATGTGCACTCTTCTGTACAGGACAGTGTGCATGTCTGTTCACAGTATACAGTATTTCTTGCATAGTGCGTGCGTGTGTGTGCGCCCGCACGCGCGGGGGGTTGAGGGGCCAAGACCATGTCAGGCCCAGGGGGCCAAAATTTCTTAATCCGCCCCTGGTCTCGGGCGCCATAGACCTCCATTATTTGAATGTCAGCAGACAGCAAGAAGCCTCCCAGATCTCCAGATGCATTTGAGATATCAAAAAAGTACTCCAGAGTGTTGTTCAGCATGGGGGTGAGTAGAAAATGAAGGCTAATCATGTTTTGGGTGTACTATTCCTTTAAGTCCCTTTCCTTTTAAGCAACAAACTGGTGTTCCTCAAGGCTGTGTGTTACTAGCCCAGCAATTTTTGTTATTTAACGAAAGGCTGCATATGTAAGTTAAAGGACTTCTGCTGTGAACTCTCATTTTGTCTGTGAAAATATATGTTTTATTGAGCAATAGGTGTATTTAATGTGTTTTATTGTATTTTTAAATGATTACAGCATTTTTATACTAGCAAATGTAGTCCAAGACAATTTTACCCTAAGGGAATAATAAAGTGTATATCTATCTGTCCCTGTATTCTAAAAGCATAGTCACATCAAGGACATTATTGAGTTTGGGAACAGCTTTCTTAGGTCTCTATAATCCAAGAGGCCAACCATTAAGATTTTTTTGCAGCATTGAAAGTATACTGACAGACAAAAAAAAAGCAAGATTTTATGGTAATACTGTGGTTAGCACCCAAGTAGGCAGGATGTGAAGCAGCTTTTCTCCGCCCCAAGTTGCAAACAGTCTTTGAAATGTCAAAGTGAGGCATGGAAAACTACAGTAACATGTTTTTCTATGTTTAAATTTACGCTAGTGAATTGGAAAACAATACATGGGTCTGAATGAGAGAAAATGAGGAGGATTTTGAGCGGCTATACCCGACACATTTGATGTATGCTCTCCTGTTCTGAAAATTCGGAGTGCATTTTTGGATTGAGGGTGGGGATCGTAATGTTCTTTGTTCCTTTTGATGTGCTACACCATATAATTTATTCCTAACATTAAAGACTAGACTGGTGTTGAAATATAAATGTTCTTACAAAATGTATCGTCTGAATAAACCAGGAAGCAGGTCACTTTTACAGAATTTGTATTCTATTCTATTCTAAGCTAAAACCTTTCCTTATTCTTCATGCATTCAGCATGCTGAAGTGAGTGGATCTTCAACAGTGCTAACATCTTTGTGCAGCAGGAGGTTAAACAATATTATTTCTGAGTCAGCGCTAGGATACGCTATCCCTGTGTCAAACTTGCATTGATTGTGTAGCAGTTGTGCATGTGTGGTTTACATGGAGTGTGAAAGCTGTGGTGCTCGAGCAGCAGAATTAAAAAAAATAATCTGTGACATCTTAGCCTTTGCACCATTCAAAATGAAGTGATTAAAGTCATGTTTTAAAGCAGAAAGTATTGTGAGGCAGGTATATGTGCGTCAAGGTGTCACAATTTAGAGGCAGGATATAGAGAACATTTAAGATCCTTAAAGGAGAGCCTAATAGATTACCTCAACCATTTTTCATACATCTTGAATTTATGCATTTCACAGACACCCGCCTTCAACTGTGTAAAACAAATAATTAATGTATATATGCATACATAAATAAAAGGCATGATTAATGGTCTGATTCTGCATTTATTACAGACCCTAAATGCAGCTTCTAGAGTTTTAGGTGCATTTATAATATTGTCTTTTATGTGGGTTGCTATGCCAGTTTGAGATGCACAAAATGCAGCTTACAGATAAAAAAAGAACTGATTATATATTGATCATATATTGCAGATTATATAAAGATAATCTGCATGCAAAGTTATATCCCAGTGATCTGTAAAGACAGGAAGCGAGAAGCGTACCTTTAGCATGCCTCTATGGAAAAAGGTGAGGCCCTTATATAGCATTGCGATGGGCTGATTCTTCTTCAGCTCTAAGGATCTCTGAAAGTCCTCCATGGCTGCAACATAATCCTGGATATAGAACGGAAGTGGCAATTTACCACATGGGAATATAAGGAGCAGAAACATGCAGATTTGAAGGTCAGACCTCAGAAATAAAGAGCAGAGTTCCTCTGTGTCTGTAGAGACGAGCTGATGGCTGCAGCTGGATAGCTTTGGTGAGGTCACTGAGGGCCTCGCTGATCCGACCCAGAGGGGACAGAATCTGCACAAGGGACATTCAATGAATGAGAAGGGAGCATGTGTTGGTGTTTACGTGGAAGTGACTAACAAAAAAATAAACTAACCCAGGAGCAGTTTAGATACTTGAAAAAAAAAATGGAATTAAACTTTTCAGTTGTCTCTGGCATATAAAAAGATCCAGGGCGGCCATTTTCGGTTTCATGATTTTCTAGTTTATTACAACAGTTCTGCATGAAGTTGAGAAAGGGTCGCAAAGGGGAAGTTGTTGATAAAACAGCCTTAGATACCTGAGGAGGCTCAGATCAGATTTCAAGCCTTTGCTCAGTAGGTGCTGCAACACATTAGTCAACTATTAACTCAGATGAGCTTACAGGAGCTTGTGCATCGATTATGTGCACTTTCCACAGGTAATGTGCTCTGTTACACAAGATATTCACATATAAGACATTCTTCCTCATCTTTTGCTTCAAACCAAGTAGCAGATTCTAGCAAATTAGTAACACAAATGCTGCTCCAATATAATTATGCATACATACATGCACAGTGCACTTTATGCAAACTTAAAAACATGCAAAAACATCAGTAATAAATGCATCTTTTAGGGAAGTAAAATAATCTCTGAAAAAACAGAAGATATTCAAGTAACAAGCACCTATTTTTTTATGGTTTTTCTTTACAAAGTTAACAGGCGCACAATGATGGTACAACACTTAAGATATATATATATATATATATATATATATATATATACACTATATTGCCAAAAGTATTTGCTCACCTGCCTTGACTCACGTATGAGCTTAAGTGACATCCCGTTCCTAATCCATAGGGTTCAATATGACGTCGGTCCACCCTTTGCAGCTAGAACAGCTTCAACTCTTCTGGGAAGGCTGTCCACAAGGTTTAGGAGTGTGTTTATGGGAATTTTTGACCATTCTTCCAGAAGCGCATTTGTGAGGTCGCACACTGATGTTGGACGAGAAGGCCTGGCTCTCAGTCTCCGCTCTAATTCATCCCAAAGGTGTTCTATCGGGTTGAGGTCAGGACTCTGTGCAGGCCAGTCAAGTTCATCCACACCAGACTCTGTCATCCATGTCTTTATGGACCTTGCTTTGTGCACTGGTGCACAGTCATGTTGGAAGAGGAAGGGGCCAGCTCCAAACTGTTCCCACAAAGTTGGGAGCATGGAATTGTCCAAAATGTCTTGGTATGCTGAAGCATTCAGAGTTCCTTTCACTGGAACTAAGGGGCCAAGCCCAGCTCCTGAAAAACAACCTCACACCATAATCCCCCCTCCACCAAACTTTACACTTGGCACAATGCAGTCAGACAAGTACCGTTCTCCTGGCAACCGCCAAACCCAGACCCGTCCATCAGATTGCCAGATGGAGAAGCGCGATTCGTCACTCCAGAGAACGCGTCTCCACTGCTCTAGAGTCCAGTGGCGGCGTGCTTTACACCACCGCATCCGACGCTTTGCATTGCACTTGGTGATGTATGGCTTGGATGCAGCTGCTCGCCCATGGAAACCCATTCCATGAAGCTCTCTGCGCACTGTTCTTGAGCTACATGAAGTTTGGAGGTCTGTAGTGATTGACTCTGCAGAAAGTTGGCGACCTCTTCGCACTATGCGCGTCAGCATCCGCTGACCCCGCTCCGTCAGTTTACGTGGCCTACCACTTCGTGGCTGAGTTGCTGTCGTTCCCAAACACTTCCATTTTCTTATAATACAGCTGACAGTTGACTGTGGAATATTTAGGAGCGAGGAAATTTCACGACTGGATTTGTTGCACGGGTGGCATCCTATCACAGTTCCACGCTGGAATTCACTGAGCTCCTGAGAGCGACCCATTCTTTCACAAATGTTTGTAAAAACAGTCTGCATGCCTAGGTGCTTGAATTTATACACCTGTGGCCATGGAAGTGATTGGAACACCTGATTCCAATAATTTGGATGGGTGAGCAAATACTTTTGGCAATATAGTGTATATATATATATATATATATATATATATATATATATATATATATATATATATATATATATATATATCTTAAGTGTTGTACCATCATTAGTTCATACAACTAGCTTAGTGATTAAAAAATTCCTAGAAGCTTTGATCGACTTAAAATTTATACAATACAATTATTAGGGATAAAAAAAAAATATATATATATATATATATATATATATTTTTTTTTTTTATCCCTAATAATTGTATTGTATAAATTTTAAGTCGATCAAAGCTTCTAGGAATTTTTTAATCACTAAGCTATAACTTCCTCTTTGCAGTTTATCTTGCCATCACACACAGTGAGCATGGTAAAGAAAATAGAGTGGCATGTTTCGGCTCCTCTTGTAGACTTTATCTACACTGAGATTTTCTATTTAGGAGGCGTGGCAGTACATCTCCAATCAGGTGGAGTGGAGCTTGCTTAACATTAACAAGAGGTTCAAACCTTAAGCAACAAACTGCAGGTGAAGGTGGTGTTAATTACAACTGAATGGGGAGAAAAACTATCTTTATGCAGACCTGCTTTTTCTTTTACGGAACCAGTTTCCTGTTCAGATATAAAAAGCAAAGTTCATACAGCTTCACTTAATACAGTTCAATAAATTAATCTACATCTGATATTAACTCCTATCTGTATATTTTATCTTGAATTTCTATAAAAAATATAGTTTTCTAGATAACTTCTTTATTATTACAGCTTATTGCTACGATCTGTGTGCATTATTTTGTGCAAATTTATCCACTGAAGGAAAAAAATTATTTTGATCAATTCTATTCTACCCATTGTTAAGTAAAATGGAGTGTCATGATGCTGTGGGCGTACTGCTCTTCCAAACCCCCTCTGAATGTGCTAAGAAACTGGGAATAAGGCTACATTTATACTGCAGGCCTTGATGCTCAATTCCGAATTTTTTTTGTGAAATCTGATTTTTTTTGCGTTGCCGTTCACATTTCCAAATATATACGACTTGTATGTGATCTCCTGTGTGAGCTGCAGTCATACAACGCAAGTGTCCCGCATGCGCAGTAGAGGACGCAATGATGTCACAAGCAAGCGTGCTCTGTGTTTATGGAAGTAAACATGGATGGTAGTGCCAGAGCGCATCGATCGATCTTTCCCAACCTTAAAGGGGAACGCTGTTTTTTTTTTTACATTTCGCCCTTGATTTTACGTTATTACATCATGTTCTACTCACCCATATAAGTGTTGTGTCATTAGGAGCTGTTCTGAAGATAGTCCGTTTTGTTATATCGAAGTAACGTCTTCCTATGGGCGATCGATTTGAAGGCACAAACTAAACTGTTTATAATGTATTATTTATGGTACGTCAGCATTCATAACATGTAGGCGAATCACTGTCCCCCAGACATCCGCGGTTATATTTTTTATATTTATATATTTTAAAAACGAAGCAGCACGTGTATGATGTCATCCGCGTGCGCCGGCTACCGTTAATTTTTCCTGTCCGCTGAACTGCTGCTAGTTTTACTCATGTCTGGAAGATGTTTAGTGCTACTACCACAGATGATCTCGCTCTGGAAATGGAATTGAACGATTCAGATTAGCTAGCCGAATGAATAGAAGGGGTAGAGCGTAGCCACCTGTGGCCCGGGCTGCCTGTTACGACTCCAGTCCACATGCGCGGATGACGTTATACAAGTGCCGCTTTGTTTTTAAAACATACAACTATAAAAAATAGAACCGTGGATGTCTAGGGGACAGTGATTCGCCTACGTGTTATGAATGCTGGCGTACCATAAAGAGTAAATTATGAACAGTTTAGTTTATGCCTTCAAGTCGTTGCCCAAAGGAAGACGTTACTTGGATATAACAAAACGGAATATCTTCAGAACAACTCCTAATGACACAACTCTTATATGGGTGAGTAGAACATGATGTCATAACGTAAAGTCAAGGGCCAAATGTAAAAATACGGTGTTCCCCTTTAAAAACTCAATCTTTTCAAGATGGTTAAACATAAATACTATTCTCAGTATTATCGTCCGACATGGTTGTTGTTTTACTTCCCGCTTCTTCGTAGCAACACACAGAATAGTGACCTATTTCGCGTATTAATGGCATACAGGTCGGATGAATGCGACCTGTGGTCTCATTCGAAAAGATCAGATGCGTATCGGATTCAGGACCACGTAGCCAAGTTGCCTGGGTCGCATTGGAGAAAAATCGGAGCTGTGTTGTTAAGACAGTCATGACAAGTTCAGATACAGGTCACATATGGGCAAAAAAAAATCGGATTTGGGTCACTTCAGGCTGCAGAGTGAATTTAGCTTAAGTTTCTGACATGTCATTGAGAAGGAGAAATATCCAATAGATTCGCCAATAAAAACCATCTAAGTCCTACTTCATGTAGAAACCTGTGGGGTGAAGCATTAGACTCTAGAGCATCTTTAGAGATTTTCCAAAAAGGAATCAAACCAACTTCGTGTCACCAGAGATTCAAATATTTGTGGTAAAAACAAACAGTTCTTAGTGTGCATTTTCCCTCAACTGCATATATGCACTTTAACCAAAGGCTAAATTTCCTGCTGTATGAAAGATTAATTTATAATTTTGCATATTGTCACAATGTGTGTCAGATGTATTAGAGGGCTTAGTAAAATGCAAACATATCGAAAGAAAAACTTTGATTCATTTGTTTGTCACATGACCTCAAACAGTTTAAGCCTCACCTCCGCTCTCTGCTCATAAACCTCTGGCCAGTTGGGCTCGAGTGTGATGACCCGGTTAAGCTCGTACAACGCCAGGTCAGCATTCTTTATTTCCTGGCAGGAAGATGAAGCTACAGTTTATTTGAAAAGCTAAAAATGCAGACAGCTTGAAAGAAGCAACTTAAACCACAGAGATTGCTTTAGCCCCGAGCTTCTGAACAGAAACAGACAGATTTTTTTTTAAGCCAATGCCGAAAATTTTGTCACGAGTCTAACTGATCCCTGATGTCCCGTTTTTTTTCTTTGTTGATATTGTTTTACTGCATTAATTTAAAAGATAAAATGAAACAATGTAAACTCTAAAAATCTCAAACTGTTACTGGTCCCTAAAAAATCTAAACATTATTCAACAGATCAAACAATACATTAGCATCTGATAGCAAAACAAGGGCTTTACATGATCAACTGGCAAAATGCAAGCACATATTGGCTGATACAAAAAAAAAAAAAAACCCTCCACCAATATCGGCCCAAAATATCAGCTGGTCAATTTATCTCTAATTCTTCTTCTGGCAAATTTACATTAGATCTAAAGGAGGAATCTGTAATAAAAAAAATAAAAAAAACCGAAGTAAAGAAAAAAATTCATATAGCATAACATTTCCTCTTTTGATATTCCGATAAACGAAGAAAGGAATTTACCGTAAACATGTGCATTATATTCATGACAACAGGGACCCTCATAAATAAGAAGAAGAGGCTTTAAGTTCACATTCTGAGACCGAATAAATTGTTCTTTTAATGCAAAATTAAAGTTTCTGCATTACCCGCTCGCCAAAAGTCAAATTTACTTGGATGCAGATTTTTGTCTCTGTTGATTCATAGAAAAATAAACTCTTAAATAAGCTCCTTTGATGTTTCATGGAGCTAAATGACTATTTTAAAGTCTCATATTTTTAAAAACGTATTAAACTTAGCATAAGAATTATAAAACTTTACATTAACTAAAAGTAATTTCTTAAGGGGGAATGAATCAAGAAAATTTGTAGCAACTTTAAACTAGCCAGCTGTGTTGTGTATTGTGCTGCAGCCATTCACTGCGGCTGGATTTTGCTGCACTCACCTGCAGGCTTTTCTTTCCGTAGGCTATCCCTCTACCATAGATGGCACTGACTAACTCTGGGTCACTCTGAATTAAAGATAAAACATGTCAGATGAATATCAGCTTTGTTTCTATAGAATCATAAACAGCTTTAAATGGCAACAAAAGCACATTTTAAAGTGAGTTTTTAAAAGTTACATGTTCACACACCTGTAGTAGCAAAGAGAAATGTTTAATGGCTTCATCATAAAGGCCATTTCCTATTAAAACGTAGCAAATAGCTGCAAAAGAGATAAAAAAAGGTAAAGTGAATAAAATAAGGGGTGCAAGAAAACATGGCATTAATGGTAAAGCATGTGCTAAACCTCACCAAGTTCCTCGTTTGTGTTTTGGTTGTCTACAGGGAAGGGGATTTTCTTTTGCTCTATAAACAACTTGGCTTGGTTCTGTGGAAGATCAAGAACAGACAAATAACACCAACACAGGAAGGAGAAATGACAGAAATACATAAAGATATCACATAGAAACGCAAAGCTAAAAAAAAAAAAAGTGGAACAGTGGTTTCCTGTGTGAGGAGGACTCAGAAATGTCGGCCGCTTTGGCTCTTAAATCTATAGATACCTTAAGAGGCTCTTTGTTGCTGTTTTTTTTTAGGTGGTGGTGGTGGGCCTGATGTGATTGCATAGATTTCTAACCCCTCCTATTTAATGGACGCTGCTCAGAATATCCACCACATTCACACCTTGATTCAAAGTGAGTCAGAGGCAAAAACCGCCGGCTTTCACTGACAGAATTAGACTCATCTCAGAGCAGAAGGCATGCATAGTTTCAAAAAACACAAGAGGGACCGAATCCAGATTTGGATTTGGTCCCTCTGGTGTTTTTAAGAGGAGGAAATATAACGAGACCAGGGTCAAACGTTTTGCCATTAGTGCACATCAACCAATAGAAGCCCACATTGGCTCAAATGGTTCATCTTTATAATTAGAAGCCTGAAGGTACGGAAGAGGATTAGGGCCACTGAAAAAAAAAAGTTAACTGATTTTTAAATTTAATTTCAGTTTAATATGGGAAAAAAGTCAGAATTCTGACTTTTTTTCGAAGAATTCTGACTTTAATCTCAGAATTCTGAATTTTCTCAGAATTCTGACTTTTTTCTAAGAATTCTGACTTTTTTCTAAGAATTCTGATTTTTCCTTGATGAAGCTCCATCAAGGAAAAAAAAAATTGACCCACTAAAGAATTTCAGCTAACTTCAAATGAAAAGATTATCAGTAACAGTAATGCTAAAGTTTAGACATAAATTACAGCATCTCCATTCCACTATTGTCAAGTTCTGAATGTTTTTCAACTTATTGAAATGCAATTAAAGTGGTCAGGGTGAGAACAGCATGATGAGGCAAAGACTAAACATTTATGAGTAATTATTTTGTTTTATATCAAAATGGAAAAAGATTTTGTGGAAAAGAACAGTGCTAACTATTAAATATATGGAATTTTCACTTCCGATGGTAAAATATAAAGGAGTTTTGGACAGAACTACGACTAAACCACCTCCTCCATTATTGTAATTAGTATTGTTATTTCTATTTATTTATATACTTTTTATAATTATATATATCATTTTTTTTATATTGCCATTGTTATTTTTGTTTTGCTTTTTCTTTATTATGTATGGAAGTATTTAATGATGTAATGGTGCTGTATGTTAAAAAAAACTAAAGGGAAAATGTCTAAAGAATGAAACACTGATAACCTTAATTAATCCCATCCATTTATAAAAATGGGTTAAGCTTGTTTCAAAGGACCAAACCCAATGACATAAAATAATCTAAGATCAACAAATGATTATCAGCTTGTTCATCGAACTTGGATAAAGAGCTTCATAAAGGCATGCCTGAAGCAGCTTAAAATAGCGGCAGCTATTTCTAGAATTTGTTAAATGAGTCATGAGGGATGAATAGAAGCTAAACTACAGTAGCTTAGAGACTTTGTTTTTGTTTTTCATGGGTGTGTCATTATTGATTTCTCTTTTTCTCTCTTTTAATCTAAGAGTTGCAGGTCTGATCGGTGTCTGACAGGGAGCTCACCAGGATCTTTTCAGCGTTAAGGGAGAAGACCGACTCGCACGGCGGGTTGCTTCCCTCCACGCAGTCCGGATCCTCAAACTGCAAAACTGAAGAGTCTGCAGAGACACGTTGAAAGAACTCAGCCTATGGCAGCACATTCAGGCAAATACATTGTAAATGAACAGATCGATTGATCCGACAGAGGATGACCATTAGGCATTATGATTCAGAAGTGCAAAGAGATGAAAACAATTTGCAGCCTGACACAAAACAGTAACGTATCTCAGTGATACATCACACATAAAACTCCAATGCTCTAATTCCAAAGTGATGACAGCTTTTAAATGCACCATCATCCATTTTATACACCCATTTAATGCTGTTAGGTTTTGCAGGAGGCTTGGTGCCATTAGAAACCACTGCAAGTTTGTTGGACTGTGAAGAAAATGCAAACTAAAATCAGAAGATGGGATTAAGACTACAGATTTTTTCAGTGGTTAGGTTATGTATTTGATAGAGAAGGAAAAAAAAACTTTAATTAAAATAAAAGCTGTGATTCCCATTCAATAAATAAGAGAGTCTCTTTCGTGTTCATCCAGCTGCTTTTAGTCCTAATGTTGCTCAAGCTTCAGAGGTTCAAGTGAGAACATGAGTGGACAAACTGTATTGTTGTATAAAACTACAAACACAGCAGACAGGTGAGGCTGAAAGTTTAAAGCAGCATAAGGGTATGAAGTAATAATTCAAGCACTGAACATCTCACAAAGCTCTGTAAATCAGGGAAGTGTCAGGGTTGTTGAAAGTAAGCCAAACAGCTTCTCCTCTCCTACACTCCAAACAAACTATCCCAACAGGGATGGTGGCAGCAGAATGCTGAGGGAATGCTTGTTTGCAGTGACAGAAAAGCTGCACAAAATCCTGAGAGAAACCAAAAAACCCCAGAACTACAGCTCAGTGGTTTAGATCGTGGACATAATGGGGAGTGTTGGCTTAGTGGGTTGCAAGTACCCGGTTCAATCCCCACAGCCTCCACTCTGGCTCTCTGAGCAAGACCATTAACTCCACACTGCTCTCCGGGCGCCGCACAGTGGCAGCCCACTGCTCCCTAAGGGGACGGGTCAAATGCAGAGGTTAATTTCTCCAATGTGAAATCAATAAAGTTCAATTACTATTACTAAACAGGAAACTGCACATTAACTTTTTTATTCAGATTCAATTTAAAGCATAATTTTCTGTCTTTAATTTATGATATCAATTTAATCACAGGACCAGAACACAATCATTTACTTAAATGAAATTGAATATTAACGAACCTATTAAATTTGTCCATAAAACAAAACTAGTTTGCAGCAAGTAATGTAATGGACGATAGAGGTTTTGAAAGATTACAAGCTTATTTCTAATGCATCAGAAAGTATCCCCTTAAACATTACCTAGAAGGAAATGTTCTACCAAAATTATCCACCTAGCAGTAAGCTATATTTTTATTCTGATTACCTTTAAATTAATGTAAATATGCTCTAGTGCACGCAGTGGGTAGCACTGCTGCCTTGCAGCAAGAAGGTTCTGGGTTCGATTCCCGGCCCGGGGTCTTTCTGCATGGAGTTTGCATGTTCTCCCTGATGCGTGGGTTCTCTCCAGGTACTCCGGCTTCCTCCCACAGTCCAAAAACATGACTGTTAGGTTGATTGGCTTCTCTAAATTGTCCTTGGGTGTGAGTGTGTGCATGAATGGTTGTTTGCCCTGTGTGTCTCTGTGTTGCCCTGCGATGGACTGGCGACCTGTCCTGTACCCCGCCTCTCGCCCTATGACTGCTGGAGATAGGCACCAGCACCCCTCGCGACCCCACTCGGGACAAGCGTGTAAGAAAAGAGGTCACGGATTAGCAGACCCCGGTTTAAAACATTTATAAATTACTGCATGTTATACAGTGTCTAACCCTGGAATCCCACATCCTCCGTCTCTGCTCCGCCCCGCTGCGTTTCAGACCTCCTGCGCAAAGCAAAGCCTACAGCCTCCGTTGTTTCTCTGTCTTGCTCCACTCCGACTTCCTCGGAGCTCAAGAAGAGCATGCGCTATATTATTATTAAATTCAGGAGCAAAACATGCGGAAATTAACGCTTAATTGAATATGACATATGAAAAAAATCCCCACCATCATCCAGCCAGCATAGGTTCAGTTTCTGCCCAAATATTTTATTATTATTGTGGATTTTTGTTATCCTGGTAATCTAGCTCCACTCGCCAGCGGCCAAAATCATTTTTGGAACTGACGAGCCAATCACAACACAGAGATGTGTTTTGAATTTTTCGATGCAAAGCGGGTGGGGTTTTGAGGGCGTGACGACAAAGCTGCGCGATGCCAGAGAAAGCACAACAAGGAAGATGGCAACAACTATGGAACGGTTCTCGTTTGACTCAGCTTTGGAATCAGTTTTGGAAGGATTCGATTTTTAGGGTTTTCGTTGAAACGTGAGCAGGAAGAGGCTCTACGCTCATTCATTTTTAAAAAGGATGTATTCACCGTTTTACCAACAGACTGTTTTATCCCGTCACCCCCACCAGCTTTCTGTCTCGCTTACCAAGTCACATTCAGTTACGCTCATCGGTCAGAGCGTTGGCTAATAGAAACAGACATGGTTTGAAAAACAACGAGTTGTTCTCATCAACAATCTTCCGATTTCTCATTCATCAAATTAAACATTTAATCTCACATTTAGTCTGGTTTATCAGGCTAGATTTTTGTAACAGGGATAACTAGGATCATACACAGTTTTTATGTACTATGTTTGTTCTCTACCTCCAAACTCAGCATCTCTTCATCCAGGCCTGAGATGAGAAGGTTCTTTGGAAGTTGTGAGAGGCGCTCTTGGGCGTTTTGACTGAAATTTTTAAGCCTCTTCGTATAAAAAAAATATTTTGATCGCAATGAGAAATCTGCTTCCTGGAATGTTGAAGTACAAAAAGTTAGCATCCAATCATTTACTTATGGTCTTAGTATTTGGGAATAGGTATATACGCTCACGAATGACTCTGGAATGGCTTGAGAATGGCTTTGTCGTCATTCAAACCCAGTTTTAAAGCCTAGCAGGGCAGCATAAAGCCCACTGCTCTCCTTTAGCCTTTATAGGGCAAGTTACTGTTTTTGTCCCTTGCATACCCCTTACAAATGGAGTCCCAGTCCATCAGTGAGGTCTAGAAGAACTAGATCTATATCCATCCATTCAGCAAAGACACTGCTACATGGCTTTACATCTTATTTTGGCATTTGACCAATTAGATGAGCCCTTGAATGATATATTACCTAACAATTCAAGAAAAAAAGGAAAAAATCTAATTGAAAAGTTAAAAAGTCAATAAGGCTAGTTAATAATTATATTTATGTTCATAAACTTAAAAAAATATAAGTGTTAGTATCAGCATTAATGCCTCTGAGGTTATGTTGGACCACATAAAATCTGTTTCTTTCCTTCTCAGATGGTTTTTGATGAATTTCTTAAAGAAGCACTTTTGTTATTTTTTCTTAATATATTCGGGTGAGTTGGCGTTTCTTGTTATTACATTGACATTAACTTTTGAAATCAAATTATCCATATTTTTTAATGTTACAAAGGTAATGGTCTTGTCCTGAATTCCAATGACACTATTCGCTTGAAATTATGATTTTCAAAGTATTTCACTAAGTGCCCTATAACGGGTTAAGCCATAAAAAAAGAAAAGAGATCAGTTCAGGTGTTTTATAAAATATTTGAATCAGGAAATTGTTCATAAACCAAACTGAACTATTGTTGTTCTCTACTTTAAAAAAAAAAACACTTTAGATTTAAAATGGACAATTTAAAAATTTTTTTAATAATTTAAAAAATTTAATGTATAACATGAATGCACAAAAACCTAATTTTATTTCAGTGTTAAATTCTGTTTAAAGTAACAGATAATAATTAAAAATGTCTCTTTACTGGTTGATTATTTTCTTTATTCAGACCCTGCTGATTTTTAATTGTGACCCCTGATCTAGTGTGTTTAGATTTTGAGGAAATTGGTGCTCTTTGAATTTCAAAGAACAAAATGTTCTTAAAGCTGAAACTTTAGACAAACAATTATGGGCAACAAAGAAAAATGGCAGGACCAAAACTCTCATTTACATGTTTCCATTGTGCTTGTGAGAAAGAAGTTTATAATACTGAGGTAATAATTATGTAATTTAAGAAATAAATTAGTATATATTTTTTGTCTATATATATGAACTCTCTAGCCTTTTAACAGCGATATAAGGGGCATGTTATCCAGACCTAACTGGTTTTATTCCCTCCTCGGAGCTGTCACTGTTTGTTGTTGTTAGCTTCGTTAGCCGGGAAGCTAACCGCTCTCAGAGTGACAGTTGAACCGTTGAGCAGGACGTGGCAAACTACAGAAGCAGCGATAGAGAGGCGGTTTACCGCAGTCTGCAGCGTAGTCCTCCCACTCGGACAGCGAACTGCATCCCTGCTTGTGGAGCTCGTTGTTGAACAGCGTGAGCGTGGAGAAGAACTCCGTGGAGATGATTCCGCCGCACAGGTAGAGCAGAGAGAGCGCTGCCACAGCAACAGCCCGGCTGACAGGGGCCATGTTCGGCTACATGAGTGACGGAAGCTGCTGCAGTCAGAAGCCCCGCAGTCACAGAACTCATCGAAACTACAACAACCGAGCACCCCTGCTGTGCGTCAAACCCGGCTTTCCGGTATGACGTCAGAAATGAGCGTTTCCCTCTGAAATATTTCAAAATAAAATTTACATTTATTTATTTACACTGTTTTAAAACACACGTTTTAAAAATGTATAATCCGTGTCCCTTTCAAAGATTGCTACAGAAATATTGTGAAACAATCTATTTCTTTTTTGTGATTTGCATGTATATATTTAGCCTTCATTAACACAAAACAACAAAATAAGAAATATTCTAGGTGTCTTTAATCACTTATTTATTTTTTTTAATCTATTTGAGAAATATATTTAATTTTCTTCATATTTTGACAAATAGCCCTCAAAAATATTTCAAGGATGCCCCAACTGTGTACAAGCAAAAGGCTTTTTTGTGCCTACCCCTTTTACACAAATTTAGAAATAAGAAATAACATGTTAATATCGTGTATCCTTTATCTCTGCTTCTGTCTCCTTGGATCCCAGTCGGCCTCGGCAGATGGCTGCTCACACTGAGCCTGGTTCTGCTGGAGGTCTCTTCCTGTTAAAAGGGAGTTTTTCCTCTCCACTGTCGCTGCAAGCATGCTTGGTGTTAGGGATTGCATTCAAGTCAATAAATTGATGGAATTAACTGCTTTTCCTTAGATAGAAAAGTTTGAATCAATTTGACTGTATGATCTGGTGAACTGTAAAGTGCCTTGAGATGACATATGTTGTGAATTGGCACTATATAAATAAACTGAATTGAATTGAATGTATTACATTCACAGTGTTTATTTAAACCTACTCCTTCTCTAGGTAACAATCAGCATCTATTCCGCAAATTCACAAAAGCAAACAGAAAAACTGAACATTTTTACCTTGTTCCTGGGTGTTGGTGTTTAAAGTTAGGCATCCCTCTTAAATTACAGCCCCCAACTTTCTTTGAAAACAATTAGAAGAGCAGGTTATTGATTCACCGTGATTAAAAAAATAGTGATTATTTTTTTCTTAACAGAGGATTAAAGGTGTTTCTTTTTGAGTTTGTTTGTGCGATTTTCTGTTTTTTTTGTACTGTTTTATGGAATATTATGGACTTTGGATTTAATGAAGCTCTGCAATGGGATTTGTAGTTAACGATTCAATTTTGCTGTTGTTTCTGACTTGCCAGAAATTTAATCAAATGCAACAGCATCGGTGTGAGATGCTTATATGCAAACTCCTTACATCCTAAATCAGTATCATTCCTGGTCTGCTTGCTCACCAAATCACACCATACATCTTCTTCTTTTCAATTATGGTGGATCACAAGCAACTTTAAGGTGCATACCGCTATCTGCTGTACACGACTGTGTAGCAACAATACTTTACATCAAATTCTAGTTTTTTAAATTTTGTATTCTGTAGATAAATAAATAATACTTCCTTGATCTGTGAATATCCTTTACATTTCTTTAATTTCCCAATATTCCTTTAAGACTCAATTCTTTGCCTGTCCTTCCAACCATTCTTCTCAATTTCTCCCTTTCATGTCCATAAATTTTACAGTTCATTAGTACATGGTCTACATTTCCTTTTACTCCACATCCTTCAAATTTATCACTATTTTTCCTCCCCATTAAATATAAATTGTCATTTATATGACAATTTGACCCACTCTTAATCTGATCATTATTACTTCTTTCCTCCTGTTTCTCTCATTAATTATTCTATTTAATACTGATTTGTGTACCTTATATAATCCTCTTCCTTTCTTATCTTCATTCAATATATATATATATATATATATATATATATATATATATATATATATATATATATATATATATATATATATATATAAACTATCAGGAGCATGTAACAAAAGTAATTTCCCTCTGGGATTGTTCAAGTATTTCTGATTCTGATATCTTTTATTTTGAAATCCAAAATGTGCTTTCCTGTTTCTCTTCCGGTTAGCTTATTTTGAATGCTAGTGTGATGCTGCTAGCTGTATTTAGATGTTAAAATGGGGAAAGAAGCATTTTTTAGGTGTGTTGAATGTAACGAGAAGTCAGTGGAGCTTCACAGGGATTACAGCAACGGGATCCTCAAGATTACAATATGTGTACGTTTAAATATTTTTGATTTCTTTATTTTAGCCCCAAAAGGAAGGGTTACTCTGTGAGATCAGATCCTTGATAGCTCCATAAATGTAAAATATAAGATTTACTAAATTCCTAACTAATTCAACCTCGTTAAGATAACGATTCAAGGACTTTTTATTGCTGTTTCTTGCTTGTCTGTAACATAAAAATAAAGGTAGTCGCCAATAAATGATTGATTTGTTTTGTTTGTTCTCTTTCAGGAGTCCTGTCAGAAACCAGTGGATAAATACATCGAATATGATCCAGTTATTATTCTCATCGATGCCATCTTGTGCAAAGCTCAGGCTTTCAGGCACATTTTATTTAACACAAGCTTAAATGTAAGTAATCCAACTATTGTGAATCAATTTTTGCAATCTATTTTGATTGCAAAAGTTATTGTCTTTTTAAAAAAAAATATTATTATTTTTGTATTATTATTATTATTATTTATAAAAAAAAAAATATTGTCAATGTAATAACAAGAAATGCCAACTTGCACAAATATATTAAGAAAAATAACAAAAGCCGAAATATAAACCGAAATATTTGAGGGGAATGAAAGTGAAGAAAGTCGCAGAAGCAGACCCAGAATTCAGCCAGAGGTTCTTTAAAAAAGGAATTTATTCAACAAAAATCAGAGAAATAACAAAAAGGGCCATAAAATCAGAAAGACTACAGGTATCAGCAGAGGCTGATTGAAGCCAAAGTAAAAGGAGCCTGGATGGAAGGAGGGGGGATGGAGACGGACACGCTGCCGAGCGAGGGGCAGATGGGATCAGACGGCACAGTCGGGGCAGAGGTCTGCACCTGTATGTGGCGCTCCGCCTCGATCAGAGTATCGTACGGATCCCACCTGCCTGCAAAAACAATCCAAAAATGCAAAGCACAACAAAAAAAGAAAAGAAAAGAAAAACACAATCTTGTTTTCCGCAGGGAATGTAGTGTTGGTGCATGCAACACAACCGCAACAACACTACATTCCCCACAATGCAACGGTAGCCCGCAAAGTCACAAACACAAGCAGCCGTGGCCTGTGGGCCTGTTATAGTGATAACTATATACCATCCAGAGGGCCGTGGATAAACAATGGGCCTTGACTTTGACACATGTGCGTTAGACCAACACCAAGCGGTCCATGTTTACAGAGTGGAAAAAAAATTATGTTTTTATTTGTAATCAATTTATTCCAGATACGATTACTAAAGACAGCCTTGTGACTCTACTAGCTTTGCACATCTAGAGACCAATATATTTTTATTGCCCTTGATAAAAGAACCCAGAAATACTATTTATTGCAGCATCAATTTCCAATGATTATAAATTAGCTCTGGACTTGGAAGCATTATATATCTGATCTTAATGCCCGAATGTCGCTTTTTTAGTGTTATGTGTGTTCATTTATGTAAAAGTGTAAAGTGAATTTTATTTAGTCATTGTTGCAAGCATGGAATTTTTAAATAAAGAAAAAAGGCTATCCAGCAATGAAACTTTGAAAAACGTCTTAGTTAAAATATATATTTAAAAAGTAGCTTTACTGTTTTTTTTTATTTGTTTTTTTCAATATATTATTATTGCTGATTTTATTTGTGAGGCGTCTGTTTTTCCGATTGAATTTTACAAATTGCATTCTTTTCACTTTATTTATCAAATCAAATCAAATTTATTTGTATAGCCCTTTACAATAGCCAAATGTTACCCAAAGTGCTTTACAACAAAGCCATAAAAACAATACATAACACATATAAAAACATACAAGATACAACTAAAAGTGCTGTAGTGGTGCAATGCTGCAGGACATTAAAAGCCTTCCAGAGGTGCATAGAAAGGAGCACACAGAAAGATGACATCTAAGAGACAGAGAGAGAATTTCCAGGATTTTCTTCATCGGGAATTGGAAGCAAAGATGTCTTTCTATTCATCTGCATTGATATTTGCAACATAGGACCTGTTATATCATGTTCACACCGGATACGATTCGAGCAGATGCAGCTGGTTTACATGCAAAGCCAATGGTTGACGCATCAAGTGCCTCCGACAGCAGAGTAATATTTAAAGGCAGGATCGTAATCTTGATGAACTGACTGCACAGATGATATTTTGAGGTGGACTTTCTCACTTAAAAATATATTAAAAACTACTTTTTACCCACCGATCACATTAAATATAGCTCTCTGCCATTGAACACAGCAGCAGCAGAAGCATCTGGACACACTTTACTGGAGACACCTCAGGATTCACATCTGACCATAATGTTTACAAGCATCAAAAATGAAGCAGTAGGAGCTTTTTGCTGCTGAAATCGTGTTCAGTGTAAATGCAGCATAAAAAGCAGTTTGAAAGTTTGAAAAAATTTTGTAAAAAAAACAGCAAATATAATAAAAAAGCTAACTTATTTTTAGAACTTTTTTTTTTTTTTTTACATTTTAAATTTTTATTTCTAGACTGCAATTTTTTTTGTTAGTTTCCATTTACAAAACGCAATCTATGTTTGCAGCAATAATTGAAAAAATTGGAAAATTCACTGTATAGAGCACGTCTGTAAAACCCAATTTGAAAATAGTGCAATTTGTAAAGCTATGTAAAAACAGAAATGTGCAAAAAAATAAAATAAAATCTGTAAAAAAAAAAATTATAAAAAAAAAATCAATTTTGAACATATAAAATATAAAAAAAAAATCACATAACAAAATCTGAGAAACAGCAAAGTTACTGAAAACTTTTTGACGATTAAAACTTTTTCCACATGTTTATTTTTGGATTGCATTTTTTTCACTTTACATTGTACAAAATGTTTTTTTTTTCCATTTTCAAAACACCTTTTCTTTGATCAATAACAGAGGAAAAATTCAGAAAATGTCACTCTTTTGCAGCCTCCAAAAGTTTTTCGCTCCCCGTTATTCAGCTGATTGCAATTCTGACCAGCCTGTCTTTCTTTCTGAGGTCAAACTTTCCTGAAGCAGGATGGTTTCACCACCATGTTGCACCACAGGGGACTTGTGTTTAAAGTCATTTTTAGGGATGCACGATATAATGGGCCCCCTATCGGTATCGGCCTTAAAACTGAATATCGGACATCGGCCACCCCACCGATGTTTAACCCGATATTTGATCAGCTTCTGAGTTTCTAAAGTCAAAAAAAAAAAAAAAAATACTACTTCTTCTTCTTCCTCAAAAACTTCTTTTTTACAGACTTAAAAACTTCTAAAGACGAGGGAAAAAATATTGATACATTAAAATAATAAAACCAATAAAAACACCACATCAATCTCTTTTACTAATGAAATATTGCTATATGTCATCGTTATGCTACGAAATCCCCCGAAAATTCACAAAATTTTGCCATATTTTTATATGTTGATATATTGACGTGGTATCGATCTATTTTACTAACAAAATCTCACAAGAATTTGCAAAAATATCACGAGAGTTTGTAACAGAACGATGAAATTTCACGAGATTTTGAAAGTAAAATAGATCGATACCGCGTTTTTAAACATCAATTTGATATCAGCATATGAAAATATATTTGAGTATATTATTTTTCAAAGTGTCAGAAATGGATAACAAAACTGCTATTTTCAATGACTACTTATTTTTGTCCAGCTTTAACATCAGTATTTATATCGGTTATCGGCTACATGAGTTTTAAAATATCGGCATATCGGATATCGGCCAAAATCCCAATATCGTGCAGCCCTAGTCATTTTCACTGTTTCCTCCGCATATGGCTTCTGATCGGAGCACTTTCTACAGATGATGCAAACAGGACGTCTTAAGGCTGGCTGTCCATGGCTCTCTACTTACAACTCTTCCATAAAGATCACATATCCCCATGAATAATGGTTTTCTTGTAGACACATGAGCTGTGGATGTGTGCTCATCCAATGGCTAAACCTGTCCATGCTTGCCTTGGGAGTTTTTAAAAATGATTTCTATTATAATTTTAGATGTCTGTGTTTTCCTCCTGGATCTGTGACCCATAATCTGATAAACGAACACTATAGATGGATGAAGCCCTTAGGTAGAGTCAACAAAAAGTACAGGGTAAAAACAAACGTTGAGCCCACTTTCCAGATGTTAAAGCCACACATTTTCTTCTACTTCATAATAATGCATTGCTTTATGTTGGTGTGTCAGATAAAGTCCCAATAAAAAAAGTAAGAAAATATGGAGTGGATGAAGCCATAGCGTTCCCTTTGCATTGCTCTATGGATCAAAGATGCTTACTGACCTTTTTCTTATAAATTTTAAAGCAAAATGTTTTGTTTTCTTATCTTCTTATCTTGCGTTTTGCAGATCCACTGGAAGTTGTGTGTGTTCTGTCTGCTGTGTGAGGCCTACCTCAGGTGGTCTGCGCTCCACGGCTCTGAGCGGAGCAGCGACCCCGCCGACATAATCCGCTACACCAAGGAATGGGAGTTTTATGGCAAGTTTGGATTGGCAGCCCTCGGTACGATGATTAAACACGTCAAAGCTTCTAAACGCAGAGCCGGAAAACAAGATCATTTATGTTTGATTTCCCAAAGGATTCATTAAAGGATTCATATTGAAAACAAACTTCTGTATTCTATTATTTTTTTATCAGAGCTGATGGCGTTCTGCATCGGCGTCCTGTCCTTCCTCTCGCTGTGGATGTCCTGTCTGCACGGAGGGGGCGTAGAGTTCAGGCCGCTCCTCAGGGGCTTGCTGCTGTCCTGCTACGGTAAAGTCCTCCTCATCCCAGTCGTCATCTGGGAGCATGACTACTCCCCGCTCTGCCTCGGCCTCATCAGACTGTTCGTGCTCACCTCCAACTCGCAGGCTATCAGAGGTAAGAAGACACTGTCATCTTTCCACTGCTCTTTATTTGACATATCTAACCTTGTCGTCTCCTGCAGTGATCTTGAACTGCAGCAGGCGTCTGTCACTGGCGGCTGTTTGCTTTGGCCTCTTGTCAGAAACTCTCATCGCTCAGGCCTGCAGGAACCTCCCATGGAGCATTCAGGACCTGTGGACATCATAATCATTGCCAAAGCAGGGATGGATTCCCCACTACTGATACCAAGCTAATGAACCTGAGCTCGGATTATATTTGTATACATTGAACTTCTTTGAAAAATCAGAAACACAATGACTCATTTGTCCTGTTTGTTTTCTCTCCTCTTCATTCAACAAAAAAAAAAACTTTGCAACATGAGTATTTCCAAAAAAAAGTTAGATAAAAACAATCCACTGGACTTTGTTTCCAAGTTTGAAGACGTTTCGCTTCCCCTTCAGGAAGCTTTTTCAATTCAAAGTGTCAGAAATAGCGTTGAGTTAGAGGCTTTTTAGAGTTAGGGATAAAACGGTTTATGAAAACCGTCCGAACCCTTCGGTTCGACTGTCTCGGTTCAGTTGGTGCAATTGATGTGTTGTTTCCATTTGGATCCGCAAAAATGTGCAAATAAAAGACCTTTTTCTGCACAGAAATACATGAAAAGCTAATACATATGGTATAGGGATGGAGCGGTTTATAAAAACCTTCAGAACCGTTCGGTTCGACTGTCTCGGTTCGGTTCGCGCGTGTTGCGTTCGGTTCATGCGCTGTTCCTTTTTCTCATAGGTGAAGCGTTTACACTCCAGAGCAGAAGGTGGCGGTACTGCGACCAAAGCCAACCACCAGCAGTAAACAAGAAGAAGAAGAAGCGAAGCAGCTTAGCCGGTTGTAGCAGAAAAAAATCAATTGTTGTGGAGAATTGTGTCGGTATGGCGAGTGGGAAAGAACAGGAGTTGGAAGACGCGCCAGCAGCACTTTATAGGTCTGCTGTATGGGAGCGCTTTGCATTTAGAGTGACCTACGATGACGGTGGAAAGAAAGTTGTGGATAAATGTGCAACAGTGTGCAAGCATTGTGCAACACGTTTTGTTTATGCTAACAGCAACACGACCAACATGTCATGCTAACCCCGAAATCCCACATACTCCATCAGAGCTCTGCCCCGCTGCGCTCCAGACCGCCTGCACAAAGCAAAGCCTACAGCCTCCACTGTGGCTCCTGTCCGCTCTGCTCTGAGTCCCTTGGAGATCGTAGAGGGCATGCGCGAGATGATTAAATTCAAAGCAGCAAAACATACGGAAATGATCCAGGGTTTCCGCGGATCATTAAAAATAATTACAATTCATTCATTTTTTTGGATTTTTTCATTAATATCATTTATTTTTATGGGATTTCGGGGTAACAATCAACATATACCGAACCGAACCCTGGATTTTGTGAACCGTTCCACCCCTATTTAGAGTGGACCAAAAAAGCCTTGTTTTGGCTTAGAAAACATTCACATTGAACCGGATGAACGGGTCATGAGCTTAAAATGAGTACGAGAAAAACACACCATCTTCCTGTTCTCCAGGTTACTGTTTAACGCGCTCCAGTTCCTGAGTCACTTCCCAGGAAGGACACTGAAAGACCCCGAGGTTGTAATTTGACAAAAACATCTTCTCTATCTGAACTGGAACCAGACAGCTCTTTGTACATTCTTGGGATTAGTGCTGAGATGCCTCCCTAACTGACTCATGTAATGCACGTAAACACACAAACACCACGGCTAACACTGCAGGACCTGAAGCTCCATCCATTGTTGTTTTTCTTCTGGTTTCAGCAGCTTAGTCAATCATTTTCTCTTTCTTTCTGATAGAAAAGGAGACAGGCATCTCCCAGAATATAATAAAACATAAAAATAGTGTAAACTTTTATATTTTTCTAGATAAGATTTGATTTATTCCCCTCTTAATGATTAATTGAAAAGTCTTCATCAGCATTAGAGCTATCAGATCAGCATGTTTCCACTGGTGTTTTGATCCATATCTTTTGCAACAAGCTTCATGTCTCAAAGTTAAAGTTGTTGCCATCACCCTAAGCAGATTAGAAACATGTTGAAATAAAAAAAAAAGTTAATAATTTTGGCATAAACTGCACTAAGAAGCTCGTTTTAAGTATGAAATTAATTCAGTTCCCCTCTCTGATTCATGTTTGGGTTTCGTCATTGTTCAGACACTATAACGAAATGAACTGCTGTTATGATTTGGTTTATATTCTTTGTTTCTTTATACTTGATATTTTAAGCTTTATTTTAAAAAAATCAGATCTTAAATTGAATGAAGAAATCCACTAGAACAGGAATCAGCTGAAGCCCTCCTTCACAGCTGGTATGTGGAGGCTGTTGTTAAAAAAATGATGTTTATAAGATTGTGTGACTAATAAAAAAAACATCTGTATTCAATTTGTCAGCCTAGAACTCTTTGTTTCAAACAGCCTGCTCCATAAATGTATTTTTAATGAAAAATTTTGGACTTCATTCTGAAAGATTCTGTTGATTTAAAAGAAATGCGTTATTCATATTGGCATCTGAGTAAAGTGTCTCTGAATTTTTACATCTTTTAACTTAACATTGGGTATTTATATTGTTTTGCTGTAAGGCACTATATAAAAATAAGTGTAGAATTTCTCTAAATAAAAGAAAAAGCTTCAAGGTTGAGGCGATAAAGGACATAAGGATGCCTTTGTCACATTGGAGAGACCGGTCCTCCCTTCAGCCACGCAGCGTCTGTACCAAGCTGTACTCTGACAGAGGACGTCTCTACAATACGCTGTCTCTGTAAACCAGACCAGCCTCCTTCAACTTCCATTAATCACCCTCTTCTGGACCCCACTTACATTTTGTACACTTCATACTATATAAGGGACGTCTACACTCACCGGCCACTTTATTAGGTACCCCATGCTAGTAACTGGTTGGACCCCCTTTTGCCTTCAGAACTGCCTCAATTCTTCGTGGCATAGATTCAACAAGGTGCTGGAAGCATTCATCAGGGAGTTTGGTCCATATTGACATGATGGCATCACACAGTTGCCGCAGATTTGTCGGCTGCACATCCATGATGCGAATCTCCCATTCCACCACATCCCAAAGATGCTCTATTGGATTGAGATCTGGTGACTGTGGAGGCCATTTGAGTACAGTGAACTCATTGTCATGTTCAAGAAACCAGTCTGAGATGATTCCAGCTTTATGACATGGCGCATTATCCTGCTGAAAGTAGCCATCAGAAGTTGGGTACATTGTGGTCATAATGGGATGGACATGGTCAGCAACAATACTCAGGTAGGCTGTGGCGTTGCAGCGATGCTCAATTGGTACCAAGGGGCCCAAAGAGTGCCAAGAAATTCTTCCCCACACCATGACACCACCACCAGCCTGAACCGTTGATACAAGGCAGGATGGATCCATGCTTTCATGTTGTAGACGCCAAATTCTGACCCTACCATCCGAATGTTGCAGCAGAAATCGAGACTCATCAGACCAGGCAACGTTTTTCCAATCTTCTATTGTCCAATTTCGATGAGCTTGTGCAAATTGTAGCCTCAGTATCCTGTTCTTAGCTGAAAGGAGTGGCACCCGCTGTGGTCTTCTGCTGCTGTAGCCCATCTGCCTCAAAGTTCGACGTACTGTGCGTTCAGGGATGCTCTTCTGCCCACCTTGGTTGTAACGGGTGGTTATTTGAGTCACTGTTGCCCTTCTATCAGCTCGAACCAGTCTGGCCATTCTCCTCTGACCTCTTGCATCAACAAGGCATTTCCGCCCACAGAACTGCCGCTCACTGGATGTTTTTTCTTTTTCGGGCCATTCTCTGTAAACCCTAGAGATGGTTGTGCGTGAAAATCCCAGTAGATCAGCAGTTTCTGAAATACTCAGACCAGCCCTTCTGGCACCAACAATCATGCCACGTTCAAAGTCACTCAAATCACCTTTCTTCCCCATACTGATGCTCGGTTTGAACTGCAGGAGATTGTCTTGACCATGTCTACATGCCTAAATGCACTGAGTTGCCGCCATGTGATTGGCTGCTTAGAAATTAGGTGTTAACGAGCAGTTGGACAGGTGTACCTAATAAAGTGGCCGCTGAGTGTAGGTCTTATTCTAATCTATTTGTGTGAAACAATAACACAAAAGCACCAAACTATACTCTTTGTTTACCAACGGTTGCAAAATGCCTTGCAGCTGGAAAACTTGATCTTTCAAAAGGATTTTAAAGCTCTAGTCTTAGAGATCACTTCTTGAAACTGAGTTTTTATTAATTCTGCCTTTCTTCAAACAGTTTTCATGTTTATAGTCTTTGCAGGTGCTATTTAAACAATGTTTTTGAGGTATTCTTTAAGTTTCCCCTTGAAAAAGAGATTAATAATGTCAATAATAAATTCCCATGTTAATTAAAGATGTAATAGTAAAAAATTAACAAGTAAGTTGACTTTAGTGAGCATGTTTTTGGTGATGAAAATATCTAGCAGTCTTTATGAGTCTACTCTCCCTCCTCCTTCAATGCTGACATAAAACGGGAGCTAAAGAACCTACTGTCTGCACTCAGTCTCATTGGTGTTGGTAACCAGCCAACTACAGTGGTGGAAGAGTGGATGGCATCACAGTCCTGTCAGAATGAGGCAGGACTGAGCACACAGCCCTGTGGTGCACCCCTGTTTACGAGTACAGGTTTCTAATCCTGATTCTCTGAGATCCGTTTGTTCGTCCGAAGATCAGGGTGTCTAGGCAATAATTTTAAAAGGGAAAACCTTCCTGATCCATTTCTGGAATCAAAGTGTTATTTAGTTTCTACAGCAGGTTCTGTATCTTTACCGAGGCCTCCTGTGTCCTCCCAATGGGATTTTGCTGGAAAACCTCCAAGTATAAATATGCATCCAAATAAGAAGAAAGGTTTCAGAAAAGTGTCCAGAGCTAAATCTGTCTATGTGGACACCCGAAAAGGACAACTATTGTAAAGTCAAGATATTTCTTCAAATAAATCTAAACATTACAAAACCCCCTTTCTAGGAAAACATATCTATCCCTTTTTTCCCCATTTGTCACCAAAAAATTACATTTTTTAGGATTTTCAGCTTTTGTCAGAAATATTGACCCGGTTCCATTATGGATTGAACCTAAATAATTAGCAGGCTCTTGTCTAATTAAAAAAATAAACCTAAACATTCTAGATAGCATTTAAACTTAAAGGAAAACTATCTTAAAGCCAGCTGTAGTTGAGGTATGTGCAGATGTATGCTGCCTTTTTTAAATGAAGACTTGTCAAAGCTTGCCTGTGAATAGCTGAGGAGACAGAAAATCCATGTGTAATGTTTTTAAAAGGTTGGACTCAGGATTCAACAACTACTGGGTTTGTAACAGCATCAGTGGATCAGCTTTTGAGAGTTTTTTGTGAAGAAAGCTTGTGCTGTTCCAACCAGCTCTTAATTTCTAATCTGCTGCACCCCGCCCTGTGGAGAGAGTGAGGCGCACCTTGGATTTATGCAGTCAAGATTATGTTAATCTGCTGTAATCTCCTAACAGACGGTCAAACAGACTGCACAGAACCAGAGTACAGATAGAGATCGTAGGCTACAAACATTTTTATCATAAAACAGCATGAAACGAGCTTTGCATGACCCACTTATTCATCACTTTAGAGAATTCAAACGGTCTCCATGTATGAAAACAAACGATGTTATCATCAGCCTTTCCTTTGAGGCTCCCAGCACCAGAAGCTGCAACATCAAAGCCTCCTGCTGCAGTAATGATCAGTTCTATTGAAAATGCATGGGCATGGCAGCTTCTCAAGACCTAAACGCAGATTGGAGCATTTGAATGCAAGTCAGATACATTGGAGAAGTAGGGCAGCAGCAGTTTGGATTCAGCTCTTCTGAGCTGCGTTCGCTTGGTAAAACATTAATACTCTAAAAGTGTGCAGTTACTTTTAAAATCTTTGCAAGCTGATAAGAAACATTAGTTGCAGTTAAGACTCAATCTGCTTCGCTTCTGGAAAAGAAAGTGATTAATAAAAGCTGTTGAATCCTGTGTTTTCTAAACCAGGCATCCCCAAAGTCGGTTTTAGAGGTTTTTTTTTGCTTCAGCACAGCTGATTTACATTGATAGTTGATTTACAGGCTTTTGCTGAACTGCATCCAAAACTCCCCACAGTCCTGGCTAGAGAGAGCCGCCGATTGCGGCTCCCGGTCAGGAACAGGGGAGCCCGCCGATTGCGGCTCCCAATCAGGAACAGGGGACGCCACCGACTGTGGCTCCACCTCAGGGACAGGAGACACCACCGACTGTGGTTCCACCTCCGGAACTGGAGAGTCCACCGACCGTGGCTCCGTCTCGGGAACAAAGGAAACCACCCATGGAGGCTCATGTTCAGTCTCAGAAGTGGGTTGAAACGTCTGTAGAGGACTCTTGGCGGTTTGTGGCCCCTGTAGAGAGGCTCTAGGAGGCCTATCTCCATCAACTCCAAATTCTGAAGTCCTCCTAATTTTTAGCTCAGGGGTCTCTAGACGGCACAGGGCAGGCTCAGGGGTCTCTGGACGGCACAGAGCTGACTTAAAGTGACGCCGTTTCTTACGCCGAGGGGTCTTGGGAGCTAGGCTAACTGGTTTACTAATTGAATCAGACAATAAATTAGCCGGTTGTGAGACAAAAATTCCAGAATGAATAACAGGATGCAGTTCAGCGTCCTGCATCAGAATCAGCTGTGCTAAAGCAGAGAAACCTCTAAAATCTGCAGGACAGCGGCCCTCGAGGACCGACTTCGGGGATGCCTGTTCTAAACGTTGGATACGTGGCAGCAGTAATGAAGTAGAGGGATTGGTGTGTTGTATACGAATTTCAGTGCAGGAGGAATGAAAAGCTGCTCCACACAGTAATATCTGATGTTACAGTAGCCAGATGTTGGAACCACTGGAATCACTAAAGGTGCAGCAGAGTTGTAAATTAACCCGAGTCTCCGATTGGATAACTTTAGTTATAACAAAAAAGATGAGCGTCTCAACCCTGATCGGCATTTTTAAGAACTGACTTAAGTGTCTTGACTTCATATGACTTTATGTTGACATAAAAGTAAAATCCAATATTAATCTGCATGGTTTGATTCTTCACACCAGTAAATAAATAAGATTGCTCATTATGACCTGAAATCGAAACCACAGGACCTGGATGTTGGACTCTTTGCTCTTTTTAGTGTCTATATAAATATATATTTTTTTGCACAAGTGGCCTTGATTTCAAAGTTAACTGACAGGAAATAAGGTTGAGAACAGTAGACATGCAGCAAAGGTCAAACGACCAGGACTGGAACCAATAACAGCCTTTTAAAGACCAAGGCCTGCACAAGTAGGCTAAATGCTCCACCACCACTTCAGACTTGTTAGTCTGAGACTTTAGCGTTGAGACTTGATTATAAAGACTTGGGAAGAAATGACTTGGTCCCATCTCAGGTATGCAGGATTCTTTTGGTTTTAATTATAAAATAATGACACTGCTGAAACCGTCACCTTTTAACCCTATAAAGGCTGGATTATAATGAAAGTAAACCCCTGAATTAAAATAGTACTCCATATTCAACTTGACAGCAAAAAGAGAATGTAAAACAAAACGACTCCAAAAGGATTTTATCACAAAAATTCCAACATTTTCCATTTTTATAACTCAATTCCTCAAAAAAGAAAAAAAAAAAAAAAACTAAAAATGACACCAGGAAATTATGGAATGACTTTATTATAGGTATGAGTACAGTAAATATAACTGATATTACAGACCAAACACATCCTGTAATAGAGAACCAGAGGAATAAACTGAACCTTCATGTTTCATGTTTTCACACACACACACACAAAAAAATCCCCCCATTGCACTGATCAAATAAGTGTAAAACACTGATTTATATTGAAAGATTCACCTAACTACAAACAGTAAACCTTTAACACACGTTAATAAACAAACCAAAAACCCCCCACTAACTGAACCATCCGACTGAAGCCATCCGGGTGTTTTCCTGCCTGGGGTTGCCAACATGAAAACTCTCCGATTTCAGCTTCAACGGGCTGCGGAGTCACATTCCTCCCTAAAGCTTTACCAGCTACAGCAGCCGGGCTGTGAACACTGAGGCGTGACCGTGATTTTAAGTAGTGCCTTTCAGATAAGTTTATACACGTCAAGCTTCAGCAGCTGCACTGTAATCTGGTCAATTGAATCCAAATGATCCAAGTGTAAAATAAGGCGTCTTTAACATGATACTTGTAACATTCAAATAAAAGTCCATCTTATTTGGGTGATATTTACATTTTGCCTTTGCATCTGGATACAAATTCACTGTAACAGCAGAATTGCCCAAGTGTCACATATTAGACTATTTTCTACCATAATGTCACCCTGAGAACATCTCCAATATGTTAATGAAGTAATTGTGAAATAGTAGAAGCAGGGAGTACAATAAGCTGGTGTTTAGTGTTCCTCATTAGCTCACATGTGCTGGATTTATTTGTACAAAGAGCGCTGTGTGCCTAAGCTAAAAAGCTCAAATGATCCATAGTGAGAAGTTTAGGGCTCAGCTTTCCAGAACACGTCACAAGACTGGATTTAAGGCTGTTAGAACCTGATTTAAAGCTATTCCCCATATAGGATTAAAACTGTATTGGGAACTTTTTAAGGTGTTTTAGGTCTCATATGTCGGTGAAGGTCCCACTTAGATTTCAGAGGGATGAGTCAGAAATCCACCCCTGCTGACAGATGGACCCCAATGCAGGGGCCTTTTACGTCTAAGAATTTTATTGATGTCTTTTAAAAGCATTATTTGCATTTTTTCTTTTTTGCAGAAGCATCATTTCAAATAGAAAATGTGTAATATATTTATTGAATGGGGGCTAAATGCTACTTTAAGTGAGATACTTGAATTGTATTTTCAATACTACATGGAAAAGCTAGAAAAACCAAAACAGACAAAAAATAAAACGTTTAGGCTATATATATATATATATTAATAAAAAAGCTGTTGCTGGGTACCCAAATCAACAAAAAAAAAAGGTTAAGGGCTGATAAAGACATCAAAGTGTAGAGAAAAAAATCTGAGCAAGAGAGAAAACTGGAAATGAATGAGTAATGAATAAAAAAATGAGAATTGGACAGTTTCAATTCATACAGGAAAAAAAAAGGTTAAATGGTAAAGAAAAAAGGTCAAGATGTACATGCTGAGTGAGGAAGAATTTAAAAAGTTTTGGATTTAGAAAAGAAAATGCTAAGAAATGGGAGAAAACTTCACATTTTTTGGGAAGAGCCGAGAAACCAATTGAAATACTTCTAATGCAAAGAAATAATAAAATTAATCCATACGCCTGCAACAAAGAAGCCTTGAATAAAGCAGTTGCTTTGATAGATAGCAGCAACTAGATTGAAGAAATACTACTTCCATTTTTTGATTGCATTTTTAAATATATTTGTTAAATCTTCTCCAACTTTTTTTAAGCAAAAAGTGATCTTTGTTCTAAGACAAAGCTGCTAAAAAGTCATCCATCCTAATGCTCCATCATACAATCCAAAAGTTTAACAGTTAGGGATCGACTTTCTTTTTGTCTTAAAACAGGAAGCTACAGCTTTACAAAGGCACTAACTGTGTAGACATCCAGCAGAAAAAAAACACAATAAATCCTCATGAATCTGAAACAGAAACCCGTTTCTTTCTTTCAAATAAAACAAAATACGAACCAAAACATTTGGTTTATCGAATGAGAACGATACAAGCATGTTTGCTGTGTTTCCATCTAGATGTTTGCAGATCAGATTTGTAGAAAAAGCCTTTAGATATTCTGTAATCTGTTCACCACTGATAAGCAAAAGTTAAAGGGGGGTAGAATGCACTAAAAGTAATCCTATCATTATAACAGTAGCTTTTATAAGCTTTGGATTTATCGATTTTATCCATAAAAAAAAAAGATAAAATAAAATAAGGTAATTTTCCTGTTTAAGCTTGTAGCTACACAAAACCTCAATTTTATTAATTAATGTTAAACAAACCATTGAATCTTTTCATTTGAATGAACTTTCTGGATGTTTCAATAATTGTATAAATGGTTTTTCCTATTTATTAATTTTTATTTATTTATTATTATTTCACTAGGGGTGTGAATAACAATGGAGGCTGCTTTACATCTGCTTTCCGTTTTGTTTGTTTTTCTAGAGGAAAAAAACCCAGCAGTGAAATAAGAGTGACATCAGATATTTGATGGTCAAAGATCAAGTTCCACCTTTTTTTTTTTTTTTTTTTTGCTTCAGCCATGAAAATACTTAATAGTTGATCATGTTCTTGAATTACTCTGTTTAGAATTAAATAGAAATGCGAAAAGAAGTGGTTCTTAAAGTCGGAAATTAAATGTAAAAACAAAATCCATAATTGTCATTAAATACTGATACTTTTTTTTATCAATTTATGATAAGTTTAATAGTGGGCAGCTAGTGTAGGATTGCAACAAAGCTGAACCAATCAGCACACTGATATCTGCTTCTCCCTATGTATCCTTATTGAATGAGATCAACTATCATAGAGGAGCTTCAATCTAATGCAGGATATAAATCTGAATATTGGTGTGAAGATTAAATATGTTCAATGATGAATGTTCTTACCCATATATGAGCTGGGCACACAAAAAAATAACAGAGCAAGCTATTGCTGCTACTTTATTGGAGCCCATGAAACCCAATTTTTAGTAATGAGTCGATAAACAATTACTCAAAATCGGAAGCATAAGGTAAAAGAGGTTTTCTGGTATGAAAGGACCCAAACTGTCAGAGTATAAAATGACTTAAGAGATTAAATGTGCAACAACTGCACTAAAAAACAAAAACAAATATGAGATAAATAAATCCTAATTGAATTTTGGTTGAAAACGTTGTGCATCTGCAGACATAATGGAGAAAACCGGCCTATTTGAAGCCTTGGTTTTTCTTAAAAACATTCCTTGGATACAAATCATTCATATATTTCCTATCAGCACCTTTAACCAAAAACAATGCTGAGTTATGAGCACCTTTGGTTTGTGACAGATATGATGGCGAGTTGAGAAATCGAGCCGCCTGACCTGGAAAAAGAGCTGCTACAGAGGTGCGGCGCCACGCGCTACAGGTTCTGATGGACGCTTTGCTGCAGAAACTGACAAAAAAATCATTCGAAATGAAAGACTAAAAGCAAAAGATTACATTTACATCAGAAATAAGGCTGGTTTTCTGCTCTGTGTGCAGAACTTCTTATAAATTAACAGTACGATCACATCTGCTACAGTGTGTGAAGGAAGCAGCGGTTGTTAAATCTAAACCGGACCCCTTAAAGAATGCAGAAATGCTGCAGAGCTGCATCAGCAGAGAGGATTCTGCTTAGATTATCTGTGGCAGAACCCAAACAAGTTGGGGTTTAAGCTGCAGCTGTTTGAATATGCTTTCAGCAGAGCATAAAGGCCACAATGGGAAGTTTATTCCTGCAAATTCTGCTCCTGTTTTCCCTATAAATGTCCCATTTCAGATATACGTGCAGCTTGTACATGAATAAAACAATAAAAAAACAACTTTAAGAACAGAAAACTTTCTTTATGATTCCTGATTCTGCTCAATAAAGGCTGGTTATAACTAAACTGTTTCTAACTCTGATCATAAACCAGCCACTCAGATGATTCCCCCTCCTTTCAGGTGTTCCATGTTCCAGTGAGACAGGTAGGACTTGCAGGGCAGAAATGCTCCTCCTAAACGATGAAGGTTTACTCCCTATGCAGTAAACCAGTTCTGCTCTGCTGTTAACTAGCAACACTTAACCCGTTTTCCTTTAGATTTATGGGGATAAATGTGACAGTTTTTGTTCAGTCCAACTAGCTCCTCTTCCTGCAGCGAGACCCAAATATCTTAAAAACATCTCAACCTACCGGTTTAACGTCCAAAGTTCAGGTATTTTCAACCTTTCTGTTTGTACCTTTTGTACAAAATGTTCAATGAGATTAAAAAGGAAAAGAATACTTTGTTATTTGTATTATGTAATAAATAATAAAACTTTGTCCATATATGTTGATTATGCAAAAGAAAAAAGAAAAAAAGAAGAGTGACTGGCTGAGTAAATAGCAGCACATAATATTAAGTCTTGGTTTTCTCATCTCTAAATCCTGATGAAACTAATAAAAATAAAATAAAAAAAATCATCCTCCAGCAAAGACAGATGTTTGTTTCACCTGAGGAGTTAGGATGAGATCTTTCTTCTTCTGTTGCTTTAATGTGAAACACCACCCAGCCACTCCCTTCTCACAGCTTGGCTCAAAACATGGATCCGTCTGCAGAACAAAAAAAAAATGAATGCAGGCCTCAGATGGCAACGCGGAAGGAGTCCCAGCTGTCCTCTTTGCCGCTGCTGAGGTTCCCGTTCTTGGCCGCGGCCATCGCTGAGCTGCCGTCCCCGGCCTCCCCGTCCGGATGCTCCCCGGTGGGAGTGGAGCCCGGCTCTGCGTAGTATTCATCATCCTCGTCAAAGTAGCCGTTCTCCATCATGCTGAGGCTGGAGGCGGCGCTGAGGTCGTGGCAGCTGCCCTTGTACTCCTGGATGGACTCGTGGAGCGACCACAGCTGGCACAGCAGGGACATGTCCTGTTGGCGCAGCCCTACCTGTAGGGGGCGCAGTTCAGAGACTTTCATTAATCTTTAAAATTTAGACTAAATTATGAAAATAATGGTAATGTCAGAATGTATGAGGAACAACCGTCAATAGGGTAATGAGAAGACACTGAACGCAGGAACTGAACAAACAGCGACGAGATATTGAAAATTTTTTTTTAATGTTTCTTATAAGGTTGTTTCTGATTATTTAATTTTAGAAAATTTACATCAATTTATCTCTTTTTGTTTCCATTACTGATAAACTTGCTCACGGTGTAATACCATTAGCTGTTAACATGTAGTTTGTTGTGAAAAAAAGCAACAACCAGTTTCTGAAAGTAATGCATGTCATTTGTAATCTTTTAAGAAACTTAAACGAGGAAAAAAAAAAAACATTGGGGTAAAATAAATAAATTAGATTTTTAAGTCATATCGTTCAGCCCCGAATTCTAAGAACTGGACTGAATCTTGTTTTTTATTAATGAAAAGACACGACTTAAAAAAAATGGATTTGATGCTATGTCTTCTACGGAAGAGGATTATGGCCACTGAAAAAAAAAAAAAAAGTTAACTGATTTTTAAATTTTATTTCAGTTTAACATGGGAAAAAAGTCAGAATTCTGAAAATTTTCTTAGAATTCTGACTTTTTTCTCAGAATTCTGACTTTTTTCCCATACTAAACTGAAATAAAATGTAAAAATCAGTTAACTTTTAATTTTTTTTTTCCACTGGCCTTAATCCTCTTCCGTAGTCTTCATTGAGCCTGTATCGTGTCAGGATTTTATGCTGCTCCAGTTAAACTCAACCTGGGTCCTTTTTCCATTTAAAACATACAGCAGGTATCTTATAAAAAGGTCATGAGTGAACAGAAAAATGTGCAAAAGCTACAAGAATGGATGAAGGAAAAAAAAGTTTCCAGAGTCCGTTTGCTTTTCCTAAACAATTTGGAAAATTCTTTAAATTCCAAACTTCTTCACACTCCTTGGGATCCCTGAATGAATCATTAATATTGTTCTGTTTGTGTTTGTTCAGTAAATAATGAGTTAAATGAAATTTCACCAAAATTTGAAACTGCAGAAAGCTTTCTAGAAAAAAATGAAAATTCCAAAATCATCTTTAAGGCATGTTCAAGATCAGGTGTCAAACGTATTTTTATTATACATCTGATTTAGTTCAATTAACCACTAAGAGCAAGCATTATTTTGAAGACACATGATAGTGTAGTTCCTAGACAGCAAACTGAAACATTTTCTGTTTTAATGGTTTGCTTTAATCTTCTGAAATTTTATTCTTTATATTTTTATCAGCACTCTCCTTACGGTCGAGCAAAAGCACATGATAATGAAAATCTGATTATTCATTAGACTAGCGGTTCTCAACCTTTGCGTCCTCAGCCCAAATGGGATTGCAGGATAATTTCTGGGTGTCAGCAAAATCCTTTAGGAAAAACAATAAATGTGGAAAATGAATGTAGCTTCTGACCAGACATTAGAAGGACGGGGAACAGCTGGTCTCAACTCACCTTAGGAGCCTGCTTAAAAGTTTCAATAAGTATTCCCCAAATTATGAGAGGCTGATAAACTGGATTTTGCCACCTTGACCACGTCATCAGAGCTGCAAGACGCCCTGCTCCATCTCTCCTCTGATCGCACATTACAGACTTCTAGCTCTCTGCCTGCGAGCTGGAAGAGTTCCGGTTTTCAGTAGCAACAGAGTATGCAGCTAGGGCTAAAACAATTAAGGCCAATTCATGCTTCTGACACATAGCCTCTGCAACCGTCAAATCTGTCGCTGTGTGCGACCACGCCCCCCACGCAGAGGTTCTGCAACCGTCGTCTCGCACCTCAAAGAAATCCTGACTACGCGTCGGACGGTCGCAAACCCGCGCAGACCTTAAGCGGAAGTAGCAGACAAAAAGCAGCTGTGATTGGTCCTTGGTATGCCTTTCCGGCTGTCTGTGTGGTCATCCTTCTCGATTCTGTGCCGGGGCGCCATTTTTAAAAACCCAGGAACAACTACAATGGACAACCTAGGCGTCCTCCTTTCTCTTTTTGCCAACTCCCTTAACAGAACCTGTTCCTCTTCAATGTCTAGCAACTCTAGATCCATCTCTGTGATATCTTGCAGACGCGGCATTGTTGTTTTGGAAAATAAACACTCCAGTCGGTGCCGCCAAAGTTCTTGTGACCATCCGCCAAAGTTTCGCGAGTTCTCGAATCGGCTCCCCCTTGCGCTTTGGCAGGAAACTGCTGTGCGTCCCTAGAAATTCCGGACCGATGGTGCAGAAGCTACCAGCAAAACTAGTTCGCCACCAGACCCAAGCGACATTTGATGTGCGATAGCAGAAGTATAATCTGCCCTTTAATCAGATTGTGAAACCCGATTATTGAAATAATAATCTACTAATTCAGTAATCAATTAATCACTAACTAACTGGGGTTAATGATTGGCTAAAAGAGCGACCCACTTAGAGCAGTAATTGTACCAAGATCGTACAAAAAATAAGTATGCATTTTGCATTTAAGATAAAAATATTTTCTGTCTGTCAATATGCTCTTTTTAGAGGAAAAGTTTTAGTTTCACCTGGTTTAATTTCACACAAAAAAAATCTTCTTTAAGGAACCTTTGGCTATCCTATTATTAATTGATTAATCTAAAAAACAATCAACAGATTAACCGATTTGTAAAATAATGGTTATAGCCCTATAGACAGCACTGCCAAAGATTGCAATTGATGTGTTGTTTCCATTTGGATCCGCAAAAATGTGCAAATAAAAGACCTTTTTCTGCACTGAAATACGTGAAAAACTAATACATATGCTAACCCCTGAGAGCCGAGAGCGATGTCTGCTATGTTTCTAACATAAAGTCAAGAAGCTGCTCTGTTCAAACAAGCAGGATCAGCCGTCACGTTTAATAGGTGAAGAAAAACATCTCTGCTTTTTCTCAGGAAGCTATTTTCCTTGTTCAAGCTCTCAAACGTGGTCTGTTTTCTAGTGTTTTTTAGTTCAACACACACTGTTATTTATTTCATTACAAAGAAAATAAAGTTTGTGTTAGTTGTTTACATTTTAACCCCAACATGATGGGATGGGGTTTAGAAAATGAGCGTTTTGATGCTGCTTTATGTTCCAAAACAAGTTGATAAAGAAGCTGAAGGGAGTTCATCATTGCTTGTCTGATGTGTTAACCCTGCATTGTCCTTAACAAACCTATCTGAACTCCTGTGCTCTGCAGACCAGGGTGTGGCTTTATATAGGACAACTACCATATCATTAAGCTCTGTGGACTTCAAGCTGTTGGTCAAATGCAGGCAGCTACAAGCAAAGCAGCAGGTTGCTGGACCAGCTGTTAGGGATGAATATTCCTGCTGCTGGGAAAGGACTACTAGAGATTATGTGATCACATGTCTGGTGTATATTTTTCTTTTACTCTCAACATACAGAAAGCAGTATGGCGTTGCTTTACGTGGTTTATTAACATGCCTTTACAGTTACAGGTACACTAGTGTTAAAGGACACTGAAACATCACTGGTTTATGGCGGATCAAGAAAAAATGAGGTCAGCGGAATATGCTGATTCTTTCAAACTCAGATTAGAATCTTTTTAGTTTAAATTATTTGAAGATATTACTATGTAGTTTTATTTAATTCATTTATCAAATTCTATGTTGATTTTTTTCTTCCATTGCATTTTTAATTTGCTTTAAAGCCTTTATTTTGGTTTTTATTCTTTGCATTTTCATAATAAATTACATGCAAGTTTTAGGTTTAGGATTTGTATGCAAATATATTTTTAAGCAGTGCATCGTTTTAGTTTTTGTTTTGGAATTCCTTATACGTTCTATTTTACTTGTCTGGTAAAATTTATTGCAAATTATGCTGCTGAGTAACTAATGAACAATTGAACCTTACATGGAAGCTCCCTGCTACATCTTTGCAGGTGATTCATATTTATATATCATTTTAGAAACACTAAAATGACATTATAAGCTTTTTATCTGGTTTGTGCAACATTGAGTTTGAGGTGTTTACATGGTGCAGAATGTCACAGATTGGGTTTAGGCCTTTACAAGTAAATACTCGCATGCCACTGGTTACAGCGCCTCTGTACTGGCTTCCAGTAAAGGTTAGAGGAAATATCAAGGTGTTTTAAAATAAAAATAAAAATTAAAAAAAAGACATTGATGTATTGTGCACTTTTTGTTCTATGAGTGTTGAAACAGTAACCTCTTTGTTTTGGCATTGCACTTTTGTCCAAAATCTCTGGTCTGACATGTGTAAGTTTATTGCAGAAAAAAATTGAGAAAGATTTTAAGTTATTTTGGAAGGATGTCCTATTTGGACTTTCATTATTAATCTGATTATTCTCTTGGCAAAATTCTACATTCATAAATGTAAGTTTACACATTCCAAAATATCTTTTATTGCTTTTAACAATGAGGTCAAGCAATATGTCAACACAATTAAGTATTCTCTTAATCAAAAGGCAACAAAAACTGTAAATGTGTATAAACAATTTGATATCTTTTTGTAAGTTTGTACTTTCCCTGGCAAAATGTGATGATGAAAATTTTCATTTTTGTTTTTTTGTTTTATGTTAAAACACCAGCAATGTTGGATACTGCACAGTTTAACATTTTCACAATGGAGACGAATGTTCATGTATTCATGTAAACTGTGCAATTGTTGAATTAAAAATAAAATAAAACATTTATAGTATTGGGCTTGAACTTATGTCTGCCTTCAGATTGTAAGCAAATATATTTATAGATCAGAATTACATTTAATGTAGTTTCATGTAAAAGATTTGCATTGTTACTAAATGATTTACCTTGCTTTTGTGGAATTTATTTTATCTTTTCATTTGCAACATGTACAGACAGAAGAGGAGTAGGGCCACTGAAAAAAAGAAATGTTGACTTTAGTCTCACAATTATGACTTTTTTTTCCTCAGAATTCTGACTTTAATCTCAGAATTTTGACTAAATTCTGACAGCTAACAAACACTCTTCCATTAATGAAGTAGCATCACTGCAGACCCCTAAGACATGCAAAAAGTCACCTAATTACATCATTTACCACCAATGTGTTACTGGCCCTCCAAAAAGCCTCACATTTTTATCAGTGAAGCTGATTGCTCCACATCTCTTCCTTCCTTCATGATTAAAAAGTCAGAATTCTGAGATTAAAAAGTCAGAATTCTGAGATTAAAGTCAGAATTCTGAGATTAAAAAGATTCTGAGATTACAAAGTCAGAATTCTGAGATTAAAAAGTCAGAATTCTGCGATTAAAAAGTCAGAATTCTGCGATTAAAAAGTCAGAATTCTGAGATTAAAGTCAGAATTCTGAGATTAAAAAGATTCTGAGATTACAAAGTCAGAATTCTGAGATTAAAAAGTCAGAATTCTGCGATTAAAAAGTCAGAATTCTGCGATTAAAAAGTCAGAATTCTGCGATTAAAGTCAGAATTCTGAACTTTTCCCCATATTAAACTGAAATATTTACTTTTTAATTTTTTTTCAGTGGCCTCTTCTGTCTGATGCTTTCATCATTTATCTTGAGTTTAATATTCACTGCTTTTTTTCCCAGCTTAAGTATTTTTGGCTCGATTGCTAGTTTTATTTTTACTTTTCATCCAAACTGTAATTTTTTTTTCTTATATCAACGTTTATTATTTAAATCAATTCAGTTTTTCTAATGGGTCTGCTTTTACTTTTAGATTTAAATTCCACATAAAAAATATCAGTCAACATACATTCATAAGGTACGCCTTAAAAATAATGTATTTTTCTTGAATTAAAGTCTGTTATTTTAAGTACAGCTGGGAATTATTATGATATAAAAATGTTTCATTAATTATCCAAGCAAAAATAACCAAGCCGTTTGGTATTTTAGAAAGAGAAGCAACATAAGGCTTAACAACCAGACTTTCCTTTAGGAGTTAATCTTGTTTTTCATGCCTGTTTCTCTGGGATTAAACGGCTTTCTCTCTGGTGAGGAAAATAAAAAGGCTCGGTGAAGATGAACACTCCCTGAAATGTTACCATCTCTTTCCGCAGGAGAGCCAGAGCAGCGTCCAGGTTGGCAGGCTTGCTGGCCAGGAGGCTGTCGGTGTTGTTCCTGCCTCGGCTCAGGTCGTCCTGGATCATGGTTTTCTTCACGTACATCCTCTCCATTTCTCTCCACGAGCCGCCGCTCGAGTTCAGCAGCCCGCTGAGGCTCTTCGGCAGCGGCGGTAGACCCTCGATACAGGCCATTCCTCCCAGCGTACCGTTAGCGGACTTTCCATTCATGTTTCCGAGTGTCGCCGAGTGAGGACAGGCTGCTAATAAACGCAGGTCCTGAATGGTCAGTTGTTAAAGCCTACAGACACAGAGAGGGCGCAGCCGTCTGCTGAGCTGAACACACCAAGCAACAGTCGTGGCTTTCTCTGCCCGAAGCGGAGAGGGACGCTGAGATAGTATAACTCAACCAACGACGTCACACTTCCGGGACGATATTACAAAATAAAAGCATAATCTCCTAAACCGCAATTCAACTACAACTGAGCATTTTAGTTATTTTTAATTCAGACTTCTAAAGCATAAAAGGAAAAAATATAAAATATATAGAGCGGTGTCAAAAGTACACACATACTTAAGTAGAAGTGTAGATACTGCCGTTTAAAAACACTCAAAAAAACTTTTATTTGGATTTAGTTTTACATATGCATATATATATATACATACATACACACACACATATATATATATATATATATATATATATATATATGTATATATGTATATATATGTATATATATATATATATATATATATATATATATATATATATATATATATATATATATATATATATATATATATATATATATATATATATATATATACAGTATATAACGATCTGCCTCTGAGCATAAGACAGGCCTCTTCTCTTACTGCTTTTAAGTCCCTTCTTAAGACTCATCTTTTTTCCTTGGCTTTTGACACAATTTGAGACGTTTTACTTTGTTTTATTCTTTTTGTATACTAATATGTATTTTACACTCGTTTTTTTCTCTATTTTATAATTTTATTGTATTTTATGATTGTGTACAGCACTTTGGTCCTGTTCGGTGTATAAAGTGCTTCATAAATAAAGTTGGTATGGTATGGGTATGGTATATATATATATATATATATATATATATATATATATATATATATATATATATATATATATATATATATATATATATATATATATATATATATATATATGTATATGGTTGTAGTGGGCACCATCATCCATCAATTATTTACAGTCTTCTTATTTGTCTTTTTACAGGGCAGTAAGGTCCAGTAGCAGATCACATATGAGTAATGTGAAAAAAAGTGTTTGCATTGCAGTTAAGTGAAAAAGGATTCAATATTACAGAAAAAACACCTTACCTAAGCTTAACAACTTTTTTGTTTAAAAAAAAAAGTTTTTTCCGAAATTGCAATTTCATGGGTACTGGAAACACAACTACTACCTTGGAGGACACGCTCCTCTTGAATGTGGCAACAGTAGTCCAGCATCTTGTCACTGACTCTGCAGTAATCCCTCATACCAAACATGCATACAGCGACAGTGGAGAGGAAAAACTTCTTTCTTACAGGAAGAAACATCCAGCTGAACCAGGATCAGTGTGAGAGACCTTCCACAGTGGCTGACTGGAGATTCAAAAAGAGAGAAGCAGACATACAAAACAAGTATAGATGCACTGATCCATTAATGGTTTCTATGTTAGAAAAGGTAAAGATGACCTGTCTCCATGAGTGGATCTATCTAGAAAGAAAAGGGTTAGGGTTTGGTAAACAAGATGAACTCTGAGCTAGTTTTCATGTCAGAGGGGTGAAAGAGCACATAAATTTAGGGGTTGAACTAACAAAAACTGCAGAACATGAGAAACGAGAATAGAATAGAATAGAGAATAGATTAAGCAGTTTTTTTTTTTTTTTTTTTTTTTTGGCCTGAGAACAACAGTTCCATATAGCCACAACACTTAATACCTACACTTAAGGTAGTCTCAGTGTGGATGCATCCTAATTGCCTGGTATAAAAGTAAAGCAACGTCAAGCGACTCCATTCTGATTGGAGGGAAGTGAGTATCCAAAGCTTCTGATTGGACAGGATAAATGTTATAATTCAGAGTGATCAATGAAATATGGCAAAGGTCAAATCCATGCTACTGGAGTTTAAAAGTTGGATGCATGGTTTATTTGGGTACTCAGTGTCACTATTTCAGTTTTGAGATGTAATTTAGATGTTATAATGCAGAGTGATCAATGAAATCTGGCACTGACAAATCTGGCAAAGGTCAAATCCAGGCTACAGGAGTTTAACCTGAATTATTTTGCCAAACTTCCAGAAAAATCAATTAAAGTTTGATTATTTACATAGATTGAAAACATATTTTATCTGCCAATTATCAGAAACTAATAATGCTTCATAATTTATTCTTACACACATAACTATGATGCATCTGTTTAAAAAAAAAAAGATATTTGAACTTCCATATAGTCTTGTTCTTTAAGTCTATTCTCTCAACTATCCCTATCAAAGAAAGCAACACAACCTTGATTAATATTGAGTAAATCAATTCCTATTTAAATACAATCAAAATTAGGCTTTTATTTTGAAATTCCGTTCTAGTAACCCCATGACTGATAGATGAAACTTGACCAAATACTGGATTTTGGCTGAGTAGTAAAGTCCTTTTCCTGTCATTTTCACACAGTGGCAGTGGGGCGTTCCCAACAAACACGTAGGCAGGAAAAAAGAAAATATGGCATAATTTTTTTAGGTTTTAATTATACTTTTTAGTATTTCACTTTTGTTATTAAAGACATAACATAAAATAACACTTTCTTTATCAGACAATATAACTAAATTGTCAGATGGAATAGTGTGTGTGGGTGTGCACTTGTGTAGAAAGTGAGGACAATTTTTCCAATTTCACCATCACAATGAGGACCAGTTGTTGTGATGTGAGGACATTTTGCTGGTCCTCACAAGGCATTTTGCAAATGCTTAGGACTAAGGCGTCAATTCGGTTATGATTAGGGTGAGCTATACATAGGTAATGGTTACGTTTAGGGTTAGTTTTAAGGTTAGCACATAGAAAGGGTTGAAAATGACTGAAAATCAATGGGATTCAACATATGGTCCTCACTACATATAGCAGAACAAATGTGTGAGAGTGTGATATTGTGTGGGGTGTGTGTGTGTGCGTGGTGGGATGGGTTGAGGTCATGGAGAGGAGTTTGTGTGTCAAACACAATGGTTTGAGTACTATGAAGAGATGGTGGTCCTCATTTCCACCCCCAACCTCTGCAGCGTCCGAACAACAATGGCACCTAAAGAGCCTTGAAGCTTGCACACAAAAGCATCACACATGTCCCTCAGAAAAAGGGGGCCATGTTTACCACACACAGATTTAAGACAGATGTATGATGCCAGAAGCCTTGAATGAAGTTACTCTGAACCATTTCCTTTTCTTTTAATGCTCTTTTATTGATAATAATTTAAAAAAAAAAGAATGAAGGAAATATTCCAATCACAAAAAGTAAAGTCTTAACACTCAAATTATTAATCAAATCATCACTATTGGACAGGATGCATCTTATTTTGTCTGTGTTATGGAGGTGAAATAAGGCTATTCTGTTTCATAGAAAAGATTTTTTAACAGTAAAATTCTAAAAAGTTCCACCGACTAAAAAAGTTTACACAATCAGTTGAACAATTTTTGACAAACTCTTTAAATTTTTGTCTTTAACTCTTGGTTGGAAAAATGGATAAGAGTTGAAACATTCATGAGGAAATGTTGGATTCATTTTTTTCTATGTTATCATCTAGACCATTGATTCCCAAACTTGGGCTCCTTGAGCAACCAGTATGGGATATTTAGATCCACTACAGAAATTAAATTAAACAACAAGCATTTATTTTGAATTTCTTATAGAAAAAAAGCATCACTAAGTACCTGAAAATAAACGAATTACATTTGTTGTGTTGTTCCTTTTTTAAATTTTTATTACACCAATGATTGATTTATGGAAGCGTTTGTGTACTCATCCAATAGTTTGGGTCATGAGCCAACTCTTGTTGGTGTTTGTTGGTGAAAAAAAAAAAAGAAAAACATTTGGGAAACTCTCATCCAGACAGCAGAAAGACAGTAGCCAGAAGATTTTTATAAGGGTGGCCAGTCAAAAAAAAAATGTACACTGAGGGGTGGCCGAAAGAAGATAGGCACCAAAACCTAAAGGTCAATCTTCACGGTTCCAACAGGGAAATTAACAAGCAAAACATCCATATTTTCTAAATAAAGAGAAACTGTACTTTCCCACAGCCTTTGCTAACAAATAGAGGAATATATTCAAACATCTGTGCTTTCTAAATAAAAGATATAGTGGATAAAATTCTTCCATGTTTGAGTTTTGGGCGGACATCTTTTCCATTGTTATTACTTACCTACTTTTATCAGTTATCATTCTGCATAAAATTTATATTTACAAGTAGTGTTGCACCGATACCAATACCAGTATCGGACGGGGCCCCGATACTGTCCTAAAATGGTGGTATCGGTATCGGCGAGTACCACAAATAGGGCACAGATACCATTTTGAAAGCCAAAAGTTTATTCAACTATTGTCACCCATTCCTGGTAGGCAATAAAAAGTTTTACTGGATTCACTTTGTATTAGATTTTTTCCTGCTTCACAAAGGTAGGCAGCAGCTTGACAAAGCCATGATGGCAATTATTTTACATTATTATGGTATCGATATCGGCCGATACTGCACAGCCAGGTATCGGGGCCAAATCGTTATTTGCCCACATTTTCATGTCGGTGCGTCGCTTTTTCTAAGAATGCTTGAGCAATGTAGAAACAAATGCTAAAGTATCCAGGACTGTTGTATTTAAAGGAGGATGCCTTAACTGCTACTGGCTGTTACCATAGAGACTTTGGGAGAGCAGAGTTGATTTATTTTGCAAAAGTATTAGTTATTTTATTGAATATATTAATGATTACATTAGCTTCATATAGGCTAATAATCACAGGTATTTGTTTCTGTTGGTGCTTGGTTTAAAACTGTGCTAACTCCTCTTGGACCTTTGGCCCGAGATTAAATTATCCGCTTAAGTAGTTTAAAACCTTCTAAATGCTGGTTGTTTTTTCACACTAAATCTCTTAATCTTAATTCTGCATATTTTTCCTTGAAAATCATCTCAGCCATTTAATCCTGCTCTTAAAACGGTGAGCTGCTGGAGATCAAGGTCGACGTTGGTTTTTCCGGGGCTTTATCGGGCAAGAGGAGCATTTCATAAACATTTCCATCACCACCATCACTGCCCCTTGAGACCAGGGGATTAGACATAAGATGGAAGATCCATGTAACCGGAATGGGGTTCTGTTAATCCTCCAGGCTAAATGC